CATGGGATGGAGGTCAGAGTAGGGCGGTTCACCTTTAGCTAATTCAATCGCTGTTATACCAAGTGACCAAATATCCGCCTGAAAAAGAAAGACAATACCAGATAGTTTTCATCGGAGTGACTCTTTTCTTACTGAATAATCGTATTTATGTTGCATGATCACTTCTGGTGACATCCAAAATGGTGTTCCAACGAATGTGTTTCCTTTACTAATCGAATCCGTTAATTGTTTAGCGACGCCGAAGTCAGCTAGTTTAACATCACCGTTTTCCGATAAAAGAACATTCGCTGCTTTGATGTCACGATGGATTTTCTTCTCCGAATGTAAATATTCGAGGCCTTTGAGGACTTCTCGTAAGATTATAGCAATATACTGTTCGTCAAATGGACCTGGTTTCATAAGATCAAGTGCTGAGCCACCACCGAGATATTCCATAACAATCCATAGTTTTGTTCCCTACAAAAAAAACATACATTAATATTAAGGTTTAACCACCATTTTGTTTACTTTTAAATAAGAACCAAAGTATTTCGTGATATATGGCGAATTACACTGGGAAAGTACTTGAATTTCTTGTTGAATATCTTCGATTTCATCTTCAGCTTTCTCCAAGTCGATTATCTTGATGGCTACCACATTGGACGATTTCTTATTTATACCTTTATAAACTTCCTAAACGAAAAAATCAATTCACTGCAAATCTCGCTTCATTTCGGAGAGAAAAACACCTACTCCAAACGATCCTCGACCGATATGATCATGCCGTTCGAATATTTCTTCAGGATCAACTTTACCCTAGTCAAGAACAAATATAACATAATATTTCTCAGTTTTTTCTTCTTTGAATACAAATGCGTATACCTTTTGTGGAGTTAGATGCGAAGCGGCAATCATCGAAACTCTAAAAAGAAGAAGAAGAAGAAAAAAAAACAACGAATGACTGTTTCATATTTAATGTTGTTTTTTCTCGTAACTTACGTATTTTATTCAAGAGTTTTATTCGGTGAAATATTGTCTTCAAATGTTGTTCCGCATAGACACAGGAACGCTTATCTTCTACTCGTCGCGTTACTGGATTTCGAGTGTGTGCATTGAGAGAGAGAGACAGAAATAAATATACAAAGCAAAGCACACCTTCGTTTGTTCGTTTGTTCGTTCTTCGATGATGATATAGGTTTATTTAGCCGAAGATTTTAACTGCTAAGCATCTCATTGGTTCATTCTATTGACCATCCATGAGAAAAGAAAACAAGAAGGAAAAAAAATAAAACACAACGATCAGATCAGAATGAAAGCAAATCGTTATTAGATTATTGATCTAATCAAACATGAATATTCATGGTGAAGTTCGATTTTCGAGGCAAAACGATGTTCTAGTCGCTTGAAATTTTTCTCGAACATACGATTTGACATTTTAGAACAGCAATCATGTGGAGAAGTGAAGACATTATATATTTTGTGCTAAAACTGACACATTTGTGTGAATTCTCATCATAAACAACGATTAAATTATTGCATGGTTGCTTGATTGATGTCAATAAAGAATAAATTTGTCGAATTTTAGTTCTGTGAAAGAAGAATATTCAAATGAATCATCGATTTTTATTTGTTTTGTCAGAATGAATGAGTAATAACTGAGAATCTGTTTCTAGATCGAAAATACCATTATGGGTGATGAACAACAGCTGGAATTAATTGAAGAATGTAATGTTTTGGTATGTATTCGAACGAAGATGTATTATCAATACTTTCTTTCATGTTTTCAGCGTCGTGAATTAAGTGATTTGATGAGCAATGATTTCGATCGTATTCTTAATGAAACCAGTGAGATTCTTAAAGTAAGATATCATATTTCTCATCGCTCATGCTTATTCTACGATTTCAGATGTCAATTCGTTCGCTGAGACGCTCCGATGATCGTAAGTTGTCGCAACTGCCACATCCTTTCTCAATTCTCCGCTCTGAAATTTAGCAACGGAAGCAACAACTGCTGAAGCAACTGCAAAACCCATCTTATTATCTTTAACACATCCTCAGTATGAAAACATGTCAACTAATCCTTCATTCACTTCAATGATTCTGTTTTCTAGGAACAGCGAAATACTCAAATGTACTTTAACACTACATGGATCAGATATTACGAATGCTGTAAACAAAATCTTCTTACATTTCCAATACAACGTGTTTTGTTCCATTTAGGATGTGATTTACAAAGCTGGAACTAAAGTTCAGCCACCAATGAACACCGCATTTCGAACAAATATCGCTACACAACAGATGAAATATTGGTTTCTACAACAAGTAACAAAGAAAGTTAGAATAATCAATGGAGTAACATCTGATTTAGTTACATGAATGTCGACAACATCTTGAACGTGCATTACGCTATGTTGAATTAGCTGATTTCGAACGCAATATCGATCAAATCTATAAAGCTATACAATACCTCGACTTGATCATTGATTCTGTTAATGATGCTAAAGATAATATTTTATTACCAAAGAAAAAACGCATCGATGATTTACGGCGAAATAAAAATACTGTAAATATGTTCAATTAGATATGAAATTGATTAAAAACTTTCGTCTTTCTAGTCGATTTTCACTCCGGCTATTCCCGAAAACATTGCATTTAGTTTTTACGTTCAAGGCTCCAAACTTTCCTTTGCTGTTTATCACACGAGTGTTCAAGGAAAATCAAGTGGTTATTTTAAACACGCCGTATGCTGTAATTCGATGATTACTTTCTGAAATAACGTTTCATTTAGGTTGAAGCCAATGTTTCCGCACTTGCTGAACTTTTAAATCACTTAACTTTTATTCTTCTACAATTGCAGCAATTTCGCGATAAAGTAATATCGAAATATTCATTGATGAGTTCGTATAGACTGATTCGTATTTGTTTTAGTTACGTATTTTTGATGAATATCAAAATGGATCCGATTGGAAATCTTCAATGGAGAAACAAAATACTAACGATAGTCTAATGACGATGTTTTAATGTACTTTTTCTTTTTGAATAGTCTATTTTGTCAAGTGTAATACATATATCGTTCATCGTACATTTAATTGTAGATGAATTTATTAAGAAATGTCTCTCGAATAAGCCGATATTTGTTAGATTCGAATCCAATTCATTCATGCCACTGTTATTTATCAACGGATCGTCCGGAATCAATTTCGGCAGCTTTGAAAAAGTTCTATCTCAAAGTTCATCCTGATCTCTTCACGCAATATCCAAAAGAAAAAGTAAATCCAATTCAATCAAGTCTTCTGAACTCGAACACATTCGTTTCGTTAAGGATGTAAATGAAAAAAGTTTGCAACTAGTCAGTGCGTATCTTTCCGGCTTACAGAAAAAGGAATACATGGCAGCAATCACTGTCACTTTCTTTACGAAACGACCAGCGACTGAACTACCTCGTAGGTTAGTCCTATCGAGCGATTCTCTACTGAGATTTTCATTGATTTTCTAGCGGCACCAGTTCTGTTATCTCCACATCGAGTTACCCTTAATTCAAGAGATTTACTGACTAGTGTGAATAGTATCCTAGATGCGTTGAGCTTACCTGTGGTCGATGTTCCCAAACAAGCAAAAGCCACGATAAAACAACGAGAGATTCTATTTAAAGTGGTGGAAATCGAAAAGTTCTATGATTTCTCCAAAATTCCGAAAATATCAATTGAGTAAGCATAGATTTCCTTTGTTCTACTCAAAGAAACCGTTTTCATTTTGTTCTAGAACATGGTTAACAAGTAATGTGGATGCAGCACGCGCGATTGCTAAACGGCATCAAGCGTTAATGAATGAAATAAGTGCTAAAGTCAATAATATCAAAGAAAGATTCAAATTGAGCTCAATCGAATATAAAGATGAATGGTCTGTCCCACAATTCAACGCCTGTTTAAGCACGTTACTCATGTATGTGGATAAATGGCACGAAAGACTTCTATCGTTACAAGGTATTTTGATCGAAACTAATTAATGTTAATTTATCTTTAATTGCCCCTGAAAAAGCTCGTTCAGCATAAAAGTTCTTCTGACTTGATCACTTATCTTATCTCTTATCTGTCTTGTCTTATGAGTTTATTTTCAGTCGAACGAACTTTTTCATCTCGAGTATTTTCACTGTTTTTCTTCGTGAAGTTATGATCTGACTTCAATTTGCTTATTCTAGGTAAACGACTAGTGTTCGGCGATAAGTCATGCTTACTTCAAGATGGTTCATTGGAATTGGGTGCAAATGATCCACCTGTGTACTGGGATCATGTGATCTGTTGTGAATTAATTGACTCCGATCAATATATGGGCAAAATCGCTACCTACGAAAAGAATATTGCGGAGTATTTTCACGGAATCCAAATCCGACAAGATCCCGATTCACAAAACTTGTGCCGTGCTCATACATATTTGTACCATTTATTACAATTAAGTCATCATTTTGATCTGAACCGTGATCACGAAGCACATAAACATAAATTATGGACGAATTTTCATTTATATATCAATCCGTATAGTTCGGATCCCTCAGTAACCAACAGTGGATACTTTCAAATCAATGCATATGATGCTACCATTGATATCTTGGATTTCATGGTGAATAATCGAATAAAAGCCAATGAAACGAGGAAATCCTATGAAACGCAAGCGGAGAAAGAGAAGAATATCTTGAAAAAAGTCAAAGAGCAATTCCGACTTACAGATTTGTCAATCAATCAACGAATAATGAAAAGCGATATAATCGAATGCTGTCAACGTTTACTAAACCAACGGCAGTTGTTTTCGCATATTTTATCTCAATGTCGGTTAAAAATTGATAAAAATTATAACCTAGGACAGAATGGAACTTTGACAATTCCGTGGGATTGGTCATTTGGACAAGAAGAAACTATTTAGATGTTTGTTATATTCATGCATTTGTTTTTTTTTTGTATTGCAATAAATTCACATCTTTATGCACTATTTAGAATATTCAAAATCTATCTTGTTTACTTTTAGATATGCTTCGTTTTGATGGTCGCGTTGTTATTGTTACGGGTGCTGGTAATGGTTTAGGCAAAGTGAGTAAAACACAGACAAACAGGATTTGCTCAATGAGAGATTACCTTTAGGAGTATGCGTTGGCTTTTGGAGAACGTGGTGCGAGTGTTGTAGTCAATGATTTAGGTGGAAGCACATCAGGTGATGGCAGTAAATCATCTCGACCAGCAGATGAAGTTGTCGATCTTATTAAATCACGTGGTGGAAAAGCTGTGGCTGATTATCATTCTGTCGAAGACGCTAAGGCTGTCATTCAGACAGCAATTGATAACTTTGGTCGTGTCGATATTCTAGTAAGTAGAAGATTCTCATCCGGACTTGATTTTTGGGATTTTTTGTATTGTCAGGTAAACAATGCTGGTATTTTACGTGATAAAAGCTTTGTTAACATGACAGAGCAAGATTGGGATCTTGTTCATCGAATACATCTACGAGCTGCTTACTTGTTAACACATGCAGCATGGCCATACATGCGAAAACAGAAGTATGGAAAAGTTATTGTCACATCATCAACATCGGGATTGTATGGCAACTTCGGCCAGGTTCGAAATACTGCTTCAGTTTGAACTTTTGTTTTATATCAGTGTATTTTCAGGCAAATTATAGCGCCGCAAAGATGGGCTTAGTTGGTTTATCGAATACTCTTTCACTCGAAGGTGCGAAATACAATATTACGTGTAATGCAATTGCACCAACAGCATTTTCTCGGTTAACTCAGGATCTTCTCCCACCAGGCGCGGAAGAAAATCTTAAACCAGCATTCGTCATGCCACTTGTTCTTTATTTATGCCACGAATCATGTGCCGACACGGGTTCACTATTCGAAGTAGCCGGTGGATGGATGGGTAAAGTTCGTTTGCAGAAATCATCCGGAGCCATGGTACGTCGAGCAAACGCACCAATGACGGTTGAAGATGTACGAGATAATTGGCAAGAAATTGTCAGTTTTGCTAAACCACTCTACCATTTAACACAAGCCGATCAAGTCACACACATAATGAATGCTGTCGAATCAATCAGTAATACAGATCAAGGGAATTCCAATGTTTTAACTGAAACATTTACTTATACACCCAATCAACTTATCTTATATGCGCTTGCTGTTGGATGTTCATTACGTCAACCAAATGCTTTACGCTTTCTTTATGAAAATCACGAGAATTTTTCCGCTTTGCCAACGTTTGCTGTGATACCCGCACAGTCCTTATCGATGGCTATTGTCAGTTCCGGTAAAATGGGCATTGACATCGATCTCTCTCGGGTAAATCTACTCTGAAACTATCACACAGAATATAATTATCTGACATTGTGAAACAACTAGGTTCTTCATGGTGAACAATACGTTGAACTCTACCAACCATTGCCAACATCGGGTACAGTCACTCTCAAAGGCAAAGTTGTCGATGTACTTGACAAAGGTTCTGGTGCTGTTGTTATCTATGATGGTAATCAAATCATACTAATTCCTTTCTGACTTGTTCTTTTACCACATCGATTCTAGTTGAAATGTTTGATGAAAATGACACATTGATTGCCCTTAATCAATTCGTTATCTTTTCCGTTGGTTCAGGCGGTTTTGGTGGTAAAAAAGTTAGCGAACATCAACGGCCAACAGTAGCAGCACCAAAACGAAAACCGGATCATGTATGCAGTGATAAAACCACGATCGATCAAGCAGCACTCTATCGTTTAACTGGTGATGAAAATCCATTACATATCGATCCGGCATTTGCATCCACAGCCGGTAATGACAGAACATCACTGATTCTAACTATGACACTATAATGTGTTTATTTCTCTGAAAGGTTTTTCACGACCAATTCTCCACGGTCTATGTACGTTCGGTCATTCGGCTCGTCATGTTTTGTCAACATATGCCAATGATGATCCCGCCTTATTTAAAGCAATCAAAGTAAAACGATAAGTTCAAGTCTTTTTTCAACTCTGATTGATATCTAGGTTCGGTTCACGAAACCTGTCGAACCTGGTCAAACAATAGAAACACATATGTGGCGAGAAGGAAATCGTATATTCTTCGAATCAAAGGTTTGTTCAACACTTTCTACCTTCTTTGAGGCACACTCATATTCATACTAGGTACCAGAATCAAGTCAGACAGTGTTGACTGGCGGATATGTTGATTTACATAATGTCGTACTCAATACTACATCACCAGGAGCCCCACAAGTACGGATAAATTCTCTATTATATTGATAGTTTTCAATGAACGGTGTTTCAGGAAATGAGCAAGACAACACCCACATCGTCTCGAGTAAATTTGAAAACCAAAGCAGCTTTTGTTGAAATCAATAAACGTGCACAAAGTCAACCGGAACTCGTCAAGAAGATTGGAGCTATTATTGTATTCGACATAACAAAAGATGGCAATGTTCAACAAAGTTGGAGTAAGTCCAAGGACATAACAACAACAACAAAAAAAACTCCATTACATTTCATTACTGACTGACTCTTTTCTTTTTCCAGCAATCGATGGAAAGAAAGGTACCATCTATGAAGGCTCACCTCAAGAAGGCGCCAAAGCACAAGTCACAATTACAGTTGATGATGATGACTTCGTTGATTTAGCCACAGGCAAGGCTAATGCACCTGCAGTATGTATTATTAATATTTGTTGTCCCTGATTGATTATTACTTTTTTCTCTCTCCATTGATATTCTTATAGTTGTTCGCAAAAGGTAAAATAAGAGCGAAAGGCAATGTGATGTTAGCACAAAAGCTATCAACATTATTCAAAGACCAAGCAAAACTCTAGAGATTGTGCGTTCAACATAGCATGTAGTTGGGCTTTTAATCATCATCGAAAGTGACGATTTTAATCTGCGAGATTCTTTTTTTTTATTTTTGATTATCACACTGTGATTGTGTTTGTGATAGATACATCTTTCTTTCCGTTTTCAAAAAATGAACTCTTTCCGAACTTTAATCAAACATTTTATTTGTTAAACAGAAACAGCACGTGACCTGTCTACCTTTTGAAAATTTGTTAAGTCAACTTAGGTCAGGTAAGTGTCGGTAAAGCTAAAGTAGAACGCGAGTTGGTTTAAAACGAGCTTTTTGGGTGATTGACAACCGTTGGAAACGTTGTGACGCACATTTCTAGTTACATTTTTGATTATTCATGGATTTGTGCTGTTTAACTTTTAATAAAGTATTGCCATCACCATCAAATGTTGTCAAAAGAGAGTCGATAGATGATTTTTATTATTATTGTCGTTCATCTAACAGCAACAGAGATAAAAATATTGTCCGTCACGTACGGTCTACTCATTCTAAAATCATGAATTGAATTACGGTGGATGGCAACGTGCGTCATAGTCAGATTTTATTCCACTCAGTTCTATTGATTGAATCTACAACTGTGCACAACTCTGTTGCTCGTTGTCGTTTATTGTTCAATCAGTTTATGAATCTCACACGGATGCAGCATCTGAAACGGCTTCATCAATAATCGAAAACTATCAACTCTTAATATCTGAATGAACGCAACAAAAGTGCTTCGTTTTCGTACTCCATGGTCTACACAGAAAGGAAAAGTGACTGGAAATACTTGTATTTTTATCCCAAATCGCGTTGATTATAAAAAAGTTATTTTTCCGTGGTGAATAGTCCGTTGAGCTCGGTTAGATCGTTTCAAAAGCCCAAGTGTTATTACTATCTATGATGGTAATCAAATCATGCTAATTTCTTTCCGATTTATTTTTTATCACATCCATTCTAGCTGAGATTCGTGATGGAAGCAACACATCGATTGTTGTCAATCAATTCATTGTTTTTTTTTCTGTTCAGTCAGCCGATCTCAGTAGAAGATCAAGTTATTAGAAACTAAGGATCAACATTGTCACGAACATAACAAAAACAGTCAGGTCGTATATTTATGCAAATATATTCCAGCACCGGAGCAAACAGTGCTTGCTTGTGAATATGCTGAGTTACACCGTTCTATTCTAAACATGAAACATGTCAAGAGTATCTGATGTAGACAAGAACAATCTCGTGAAAATCACAGTTCTTTAACAAAACAAAGACTCGATAAACTCAGAGAGTCTAACGACACGATTGTCTGGACTTAATATAACGAAAATTTGGCAGTGTTGAACAAAGTTGAAGTAAGTCCAAGGACAAAGCAACAAAAAAATACTTCATCACATTTCATTACAGACTGAGTCTCTCTTTATTTTCAGCAATTGACGGAAGGAAAAGCACTATTAACGAAGGCTCACCTCAAGAAGACGCCAAAGCACAAGTCACAATTACAATTGATGATGATGACTTCGTTGATTTAGCCACAGGCAAGGCTAATGCACCTGCAGTATGTATTATTAATATTTGTTGTCCCTGATTGATTATTACTTTTTTTTTCTCTTTCTCGCTCTCTCTGTATTGATATTCTCTAGTTGTTCGCAAAAGGTGAGAAAAGAACTACAATAGTTCTAAACATTACAAGTAGTTTGACTATTCTCTTCATGAAGAATGTTGAGTTTTGTTGAGAAGATTCTGTCATCATTGTGATTGTGATTAATACATTGTTATTTCTTTTTTTGGAAATAAACTTATGTCAACTATCTAATTTAATATGTGTATTGAATAGAAACCAATTGACATATGGAAAGTATTTTCCTGTTTGATGTATATGTGTGTATGAATTGAAAGTTCGTTAAGTTGAATAGAATACGCTGACAATGTGCGTGTGTGCAAATCGTTTCGAAGAAATCTTTTAATTGAATAGTCTTGAAGGAATGCGATCTATTTTTCATATATAATTTATTTATCTTTTGATGTTTATCTGATCGTGTGTTTGTGTTAACAAAAGAACATCGAAGATATCAAAAAGAGATCTAGTTGTTATTATTAAAATCACTGAAGAATAAAACGAATATGTGCAATTACCGTATACATGAAGATTTGAGCGATATGACACGGGGATATTATTAATCATGTCAACGACAATGAAAGTAAAAGAGATTAAATTCGAATGTTTCAACGAAGTTCTTAGTTGCAAAAATGCAACGTTCAATGATGAATACCTCGATTTGTCTGTACTCTTGTCGATTGATCTCGTATTTTCATTTCTATTTTTAAACTCTCACGCACATATTCTTCAGTTCATTATTATGATCGACATGAAAAGGATTTCGGCGATGGATCTGCTTTTACTAACGACAGTGCGATCGTATGCAAGATATTTAATTAGTACTATTGAAACGCAGCATAGAAGAGTGGGAATAACGGGAAGATCACGATATATGTGAAAAAAATGTAAATTTATGGAAATAGAAAGCTATTTATCAATCTAAATGAGTTATTTTCAAAAGAAAATATTGAACGAAACATTCAGGTCAAAAAAAAACTAAATCGGAAACTTTATTATCTCTAGTTGAGTAATAATCAATCGTTAAGTGAACAAAACAAAAGTAATTGACATTCAATAAAATCATCGATATTGTTCTCTGTTCATCGAATGACACAATCGATGAAATGAAAGGCTAGCAGAGAAGAGAAAGAAGGAAGAAAAATCATTGTTAACCTCGAAATCTATTGATCTAGTTTATATTTCGATACTTTCTTTTGACATTTAAATTTGAAGTCGAGGAATCAATGTGAATACCAATAAGAGATGAGTGATGAGGGTAACGCCCTGCATATTCTATCCTATTTCTATAATCGTTGTCGTTCGTCGCATAGATTGGATCGTGTTGTCTTCGTCCTGTAGTTGTTTGTTAATATTTCTCTCTTTTTTTTTCTTTCTTTTATTTTTTTTCTACTCCCTATTCATTTTCTCCCTTTCTCTTGCTCCATCTCTCTCTCTCTCTCTCGATGAAAAATAACAGTAGAAAACGAGTCGCTGTTCCTAGTTGACAGAACGGAACGGTGATTATTTGCAATTCAATATATATCCGATACAGTTAGCTTTTCTCCAGTTAACAATGACTGATTTAAATCCTACTCGACATTGGTGGTCATGGCGAAGTTGCTTTGCCGCAGTCAAATACACGAAGAAAAAGTCGAAAAAACCGATAAATTATCAATCAAAGTAAGTTACTTCGAGCCACTCATCGTCGATTTTTTTTCGTTTCTTCCACAAAGTCAATATATATCTCATGCTAGTACTTTTTCAAATGGTCATACAGATACGAAACGGTTGCTACCAGCTACAAGTAATGCCAAGATTTTATCAGAATTCGGCTTGCAAACGTCCAATCCCGTGTCTAATGATGATAACTTCAAAGTCGAAAACGAGAAAATGTCCTATCAGAGCATTCAGATGCAACAGTTAGTTGATAGTCTGAACATGAAAATGTTCAGTTTAAAATCTTCATCAACAGTTAAACCCACACCACTTGATGCGATTGTTGAAGATTCCAGTGAAGAAAATCTCGATGAAATCGATGAATTCGAACAGTCCGATAGGTAGAAAACGTTCTTTTCTCTTTCTCTTCTTTCTATTAAATTTCAATTTCATCATAGCTTATCTAATGATCGCGATTTAGTTAATGATTCTACTGTACTTTATACTCGTTTATTCGATTTAAGCAAAATGGATCACATTGTAACGCAGTTCAACGATAATGGTTATTTCCTCGGTGAATTCACACATCAATTACATAAATTCAAATTAAAAATTGATGCTATCAAACTTGTGAATGCCAGAACACCACGTGATCCTGAACTACTCGAAGCGAAGTAAGAAGAACGAGTTCTATTCTAATCTTTCTACATCTATCTCTGCTCATCTAGATATTCGACGCTATTAGCTACTATTGAATGTCTTTCAATATTATTAAAAGTCGCTCAGATCTCGTCATCTCGTTCTCTGATTAATCGTCTTATGTTTTCTCTTGAAGAACGCATAGAACAATTGAATAAACTTGTTCAACTGTCATTGTCAATCAATATATATTCAAAGCAACAAGATCTAATTGATGATGATTTGCCATCGTTTCGTAGTGCACTTTCATCATATGAACAACTCACAACACTGTCTTGATAAGAAAAAAAACGATTTTTTGTTCAAGTAGCTTTTCGATTTATTGTGTTTTAATACTACGAAAGAAAAAGGATATATTTTTCTAAGAAAAAAAAACACTACGCTTGCTGCTGACGGTCGTCTTTTCTTCTTACTGGTCAATTATTTTCTCTTTTGTCTGCGGAGAACGATAATATTCTTCTTGTTTATTATGTATATATAGCGAATCATGTGATACCAGTTGTTCCGTTAATCAATCTCCGTCTGTCTACTTATCGCGATTGCTTTTTTTCTCCCATTCTCGTCTAAATACGAAACAATTAACGACAGAAAATTGTTATATATACATTACTAATACAGATACATATCGGTTAGAAGTTGTTCGAAGAACTATTCAATGCTGTTAGAATACTTATAGCGAAAAACAAGAATAAACAATTATGCCTCGACGAACGGAGATTAGTTTGTGTATTCTTCTGATTTTGGGATTTGTTTTTATAATAAACACACAATATATCCCATTATGTGAATCATTAAATGAAGTTGAAAATAATGACCAGGAGCGAACAATTGAAGAAAGCAAATCACGACGTGTACGAGCGCTGTGTGACGCAATTTATTCAGCTCGAGATCAAATTGACAATGAAGAGTTGGATACAATACCGGATTTTGATGTCAATCATATGAATTCAGGTAAAAGATTAGTCTTTTCTTTTCTGGAGAGATCGAAGAATGTTTGTACCTTTTGTTTTAGATGACGATGCGAATCAAATTTTGAAACGATTTCGGCGAAGTCGCTTTTCGAGCAGTCGTAGCTCGTCAAGCAGTAGTAGCAGCAGCAGTAGCAGCAGAAGTAGCAGTAGTGGTTCGCGTTTCTTTGGTGGTGAGAGATATTTCATTGGTTTATGAAGAGTAATCAATCGAAATTCATTTAGGTAGTCGATCATCATCGTCGTCTTCATCTGGCGGGTCAAGGATTTTTGGCAGTGATTATTATATTGATCTTTTTCGATCATGTTCTTCGATGTATTATTCTGTTTAAGGTCGCAGCTCATCGTCCAGTTCTGGCAGTCGTATCTTTAGTCGAAGTAAACACAACTAGTTATACACTGTTAAATTTAATTAGATTCTCATATTAGATAGTGGTTCGCCTTCTAGCAGCAGAAGTGGAAGTCGATTTTTCAGTCGCAGTAAAGATCTTTTCCGATTATTACAGTCGATTAGACTCTCATACTAGGTAGTGCTACTTCATCGAGCAGTAGCGGTAGTCGATGGTTTGGTCGAAGTGAATATTTTCCTCTGTTGTAATTATGAAATGTGTATTTATTTAAGGTAGTGGTACCTCTTCATCATCTTCAACCGGCAGTCGTGGCGGAATTTTTTCACGTTAGTATTGTGAGCTCTTACGACGAACTTTAACATCTATGTGATAATCATTTAGGATCGTCATCGTCATCATCATCGGCATCTGGAGATAAGGGCCATCGCGTACGTCAAGCCATTCGATCAATGATACGTAAACCAGCCACATCTGGTTCAGGTTGGTATTCAGTTTGAAACAATGTACCTTGACAAATGGATTCTATTGTTGCACCCGAATCAAAAGCATTGAAAACATTTTCAAGGAAAAATAAATCGACGTGTATAGACACATACGGAAATGAGAAATATTTACCTTGTTTTCTTGTTTTTAGAAATCTATAGGGAAAAGATGTGCTATTAAGTAATATAAAAAATGTTATTATGGTTTTTTTTCTTCTTCAAGGAGCTACAGCCACTTCTGGAGGATTATCGGGCACCGGAGGAAGTAAACCAAGTCTCTCTGATAAGATTCGTAAGTGAACGAATTTTGCATTCTCATCCCAATTACACGAAAATATTACTACACTCAGGTAAAATCACACACAGCGGTGGTGGTGGTAGTGGTAGCACCTTCCGTTCGTATGGATCGGGAGGAAACCGTTATGGATCTGGAATAAGTGGAGGCGGATTTGGTATGGGAGGTTCTGGCGGCAGTGGCGGAAATGCCTGGGTAAATATTGTCAAATCAGTTCAACTTGAAGATACTTTTGTAATATTTCTTCTTTATCAATTTAGGTTCGTGCTGGAAAGAAATTTCTGCCCCATGCTGTTCGTTTTGGTAAAAGATATTATCAACGACGAAAATATCAAAAAGGTATGTATGCCGCTGCTGGCGCTGGCGCAGGTTATTATGCAGGAAGTCGTATGAGCGGCCATCATGGAAATTACTATCCAGACAGTAAGAAAAATATTCATCAGTTAATTCTCGAAAGGAAATGTCATCTTGACTGTTTTTAGATTATTATGGATATCCTCCTGTTGTTGACAACGAGCCGGCTGAAATCGATGGCAAGCCTCCAACTGTTTTCTATTGTATACAAGAAGATCTCAATACTACACTAGTCAATCAAACATTAGATGCCGAAGGGTTTGGTGTATGTAATATATCTGGTGAACTAGTCACATGTCCAATTGAAATCGAATGTAAGACAAGTGAAGCAGACACTTGTTGTGAAGGTAAATATTTCTGAAATTCGACTGGTTCTTTGCTGCAAAAAGCGACATTTCAGATGAACAAGGCAAACCAATGTGCTGCGGTGGTCCAATCCCAGATGAATACGTATCGGCATACGGTGGTTATGGTGACGATTTGTACGATGCAGCAGAGAACTTTAACAAAATGTAACATTCCCTTGATTTTCAATAATTATTTCCTTCCTGTTTTCTATTTTTAGATTGAATACGATTACAGCTATATCGGTGCTTTTGGCAACCATATGTTATACTATATGGCGCCGAGAAGAATAACTTTCATCTTTATTCATGCGTATGAATAAAAATAATTTCGCGTGCATTCTTTTTCTTTCTTTCACTTGCGTATTTTAAATAAAGTTTCGTGAGTTAATTGTTCTTTTTCTGTGATTATAATTCGATTATATTAGGCTGAATTTGCACAACATTTAATGAATACAACACAAAACAAAGGAGAAAATTCGAGGAGATATTCCACAGATCTTCATACATTCAATTGATTCGAAACCGTTCTTCTCTTTATTTTTATTCAAAAGCACGTTTGTTGACAAGGGTATACGGCAAACCATATAAAGATAACAGAAAATCACTTTTGCGTTTGTTATGCACATATTCACCTTCATCGAAATCGTGATCACTTTCTTTCAAATTTCGGTATTTGTCAGCATGTAAACGTTGCCGTTCAAATGCAGATAGATCATTGGAATACTAAAGAAGTAAACAAAATTTACAATCAGATGTCTGTTATTCTCTCAAATTGATTCAGAAAACAATATCTTACTTGATTAAGTGCTCGGCCTTCAACCTGATTGCAATAAAAAACCGAGCAGAGAACCAATAAAACCATTAACGAGCAGATTACTTTTAGCATATTGGAAATAACGGATTAAATATGAAAATAAATGTTTCTGAAAGAAAAGCAATACGATCATGTTAACTACTTACAAAATAAACCCGCGAAAAGTCTCATGAAGCAACACACAAATGATTAAACACCATTGATTTATATACAAGGGAGAAAATTCATTCTGGGAGGCCTCGTTTTCTCTCATATCAGTGCTTTTTGACGCTGAAAACAAAACGATTTTCGACTGTGATGCTCTTACACTTACTAATCTTTTCCTTTGAAACGATAATTATGTACAAAACTCGGAAAAGTCGGTGTGCTTTATATTCAGACTTTGAACCTATTCTATCTAATCAAAGTGGATCGATCTGACAGAATTAAACGAACTTCCTCATTATTATCAATTAAATTCACACAAAAACGTCTAGGAAAGTCATATACCTCTGAGTATTGTCGTCGTTGTCTTAACTTAAACGCGGAGTTTTGATGGGAAAATATATGACTAGGTTGGACTTATATATACATGTTGAGTCGAAGGAGAAAGGAGTGGGTGAGGCAAATAGATAGAGATAAAGAGAGAGAGAGAGTGGGAAAATTGTAGATTATTCACTCTAATGCTTTACTTTAATGCCATTTAAATGCAATTATGAAGTTCTGTCAGGTCTTTCTAGTTCGAACGCATCATTAAAGTTCACGTTAATGGAAATGAAGAAACTAGGCACGATAAAAATAATGATTTCATACTCTCACCGCTTCCTTGCTCATCTAACTCGAAGAGAAGAAGCTTCTGGATGATGACTTCTAACAGACAAATGTTCGTTTTTCTTCACGTAAAAACAACAAATATCATTGTTAAATTAGTTTCAAACCTGGAGATGTCAAGAGGTTCCTATTAACAGTAAAGTAATAAGAGACGATTAAAGTTCCGCAAAAATGACACGACAAGATCGTTATCCTAATGTTTTTCTTGCTTAACTTATTTATGAATGAATCTAAGGAAATTATCGAAAGATCATGTTCAGGTTTAGCGAGGGTGTAGATTGACTTAGAACTTCTTATTTGCAAATTATGTTTTCTTCGAAAGTTTGATTACGAAGAAAAATAAGTCGCAAACTTAATCACGATTATTTGTATTTACCTTCAATCTATTCCAGTCAATAGTTCGGGGAATCTCCCACCCAGCATTCAGGTATTAGAATAAGTACGTCATAAATGTTAATAATTATGCACTCAGACTTCAGTTGAATAATTTCCGAGCTTCACTCAGCTCTCAATGAAGAAGAGTGTCTTACTTTGAAAATGGTGGACAATATGAATTGCAAAGGACATGCAAACATTCAAATGTCAAAAGAATCCTTTGTTACGGAAGATACATTAGATGGAACATTCTTTGTTATTCAAATGTTCTCATAACTTATGAATTATATCTACGTCAGCTTTGTAAACTCTTTCAGAGATACTAATATGCGATTAACAGTTTCAAACTTATGATAAAACTAATCTAGTTCGTGTCGAAAGTACCAACGACATATTGATCAGTGGGCCATAATGTTCATTGTTCATGTTTTGTATTTATCACTTGCATGATTGTTATAGTTCATCGAAACATAATTAAAATTTGTCTTTATACATCATAGATTTCTTCCGCTAACTGATATGCGTTCGTGTCTGTACGATGTCATTTCTTTAAAACATTTACTTTAGTCATCGGATGAGCGAAACTTTCGCTCAAACCATCTAAACTATGAATGATATAGTCTCAATGTTAAATATCATAATCTTTTTCTTATTCACTAATACACCAAGGTGTGATCAGACTCAAGGCAAGACTATTTCACGGATGATTAAATGTGTTACTATTCCGAATATCATTCCAATGTATTGTTTTGTCTATGTCTTTTCATAATTATTTGAAATTTCATTTGACAAAGTCGAATATTTATCACAAATGGATGTCATATTTCGACATTTTAAGCCAAAACATCCGTTAACAAATGCGTTCTTTCCAACGCCATTGTCATTTTGCTTATCAATACAAACTAAATCTGCTCTACTTTTTCTGTTTATTTTTTTCGAGATAAAACCATACTCTTCGTCGTTATTTAGTAATTCGAAAGTGTAACATGCATTTATTTCTTGATATTCTGCAGTTTCTCATACAGATCGTATACTAATAACGCATGAATGAGTCCAACGAGACGATTACATTGTCAGATTTTGACTACACACAGAAAAGCATATCAGGCACCGATCCTTTTCATAGTGTCTACAAAGAGCAGGTCTTTTGACTAATCTATCATTTCTTTCTTTTCTTCGTTTTTTCCTTCTCTACATTTGCTCGTTTCTTCTTATGACCGACTCGCTGTTGTGTCTGCTTCCGTCGATTCGAACTTTTTTCTTCACATATCGTTCTCGTTGCTGATGTTATACTAAACGCGAGGAGTGTGCTTGTCTCACTGTCGACGACGAAACTGGCGGGGTTCGCTAAAAAGTTGGCAGAACGCAAAAGAGAAAAAGAAAAGAAAGTGCATGTCTATCGACCAATTATACCCTTGCACATACACATTTCATTGTTAACATCGTCGTTTTCTTTTTTTCCTCTCCCTCTCCTTCTCCGTGTTACCGGCTGGTGGAAACTTAACCAAGCTGTGCGCCAATAGTGAAAATCTCGCTCTAGTTGGACCATTTGCGACCAATGTAAGTAGCAACGAAGCTCGGGTTGGCTGTCCGATTCCCACCAGTTGAGTTTGAGACAGCGAGAAGAAAAAAAAAAGAACATAATATACGTTGAAAGAAAATATATAAAATTCATAGAAGAAAATTCATGTTGCTGTTGTTGTCAATGATTAAAAAGAATTCCATATCGTCACTAATGAGGTATATTCGAGATTTAAAAATCAAAGTTTATTTTTTTTTGTCTCGCATTTTCGATTGATAAAATTTCAACCGTAAGAGATTTGATTTTTTTCAGTCCGAATAAATATGGATTCGTCTGGTACACAACAAAATTCTACTGGGACGACCGGTGGAAATGTTATCGTATTGAATAATAACGATTTTCTGCAGCAACGAACGAGTCTTGGAAATGGACAACAGGTATTGCTGATGAAAGAAATAGGTCGGCATTTAATTGATTATTTCGGTTTGATTCAGATTATTCTTAAAGCAAATACATCACCAACAGCTAATACAACATCAACAGCACTACCACAAGGACAAATTCTTCAAACAGCTGATGGCCAGTTGATTATTTTACAGAGTGCTGAACAGCCACAACAACAGCAAACACAATACGTTCAAGTTGGTGGACAAAGTAAGTTTAGACACGATTAAACGATTTGATTTATTGTAATTATTTTCATTGTGTATAGTTTTACAATTGAGTAATGTTCAAACAACACAACAACCACAAACGATAACTATTCCAGCTGGTGCTCTTCAACTTGGTGGTAATGGACAACAAATTGTACAATTAGCCACACCAACGAAAACTCAAACTGCAACGACAGCAAATTCACAAAATGGAACCATTATCATGGTAAAAGCATGTCGAAGATCAGATCATCTTAACGTTTGTATGTTCATTTTAGATGGTACCAGGTAATTCCGGACAATTACAAGCTGTTCAAATGCAACAAAGTAGCTTGACGACAGCAGCTGCAGCAGCAACTTCAGCTCAGACTACTGTAGCATCCGAGCCCACAGAAGAAGAACCGTTGTATGTGAATGCCAAGCAATATAATCGAATATTGAAACGACGTGCTGCTCGTGCTAAACTCGAAGCGGAAGGACGAATTCCACGCGAACGTAAAGTATGTTCAGAACGATTTGTTCTCTGGTTTGAAAATCTTATCAATATCGTCGGATTTTTCGTTTAGCGTAAATTTCTACACGAGTCCCGCCATCGACATGCAATGAATCGTGTTCGTGGTGCCGGTGGTCGTTTTGCTCCAGGATCAAAACAGAAGGCCTAAGAACAACGTCGAACTAATTCTTAAACGATTCTTAAAATTTTCATGTCATTCATTCTCTTTTTTCATATGTGTCCGTGTGTATGAATTTTTCTTTTGTTTTCGCTGTTTGTCTGTCTGATTGCGCCTGTGTTGTGTATATTGTAAAGTCAGACAAGCGAAATGAGTAGATAATATCTATTGATGAAATCGCATTTTGTTTCCTTTTGATTTTGTAGACATCGAAAATGACTGCATTGAGAAGAGGAAAACAAAGAAGTAACAGGCCTAAGAAATTTGTTGTTTGTTTTCTTTTTTCGTTGATTCGCTTTCCTCGTTTTTGTCGTTTTGTCGATATTTTTGTTGCTGAAACAGAAACAAAGTAAACAAGAATAAAAGTATATATATAAGCAAAACAAATTACTCGTTGGAAGGTTATCGACAAATTTCCATGTGATGATGATGCGTTATGAAATGCAATGTATAGAAAAGGTTATTGTTATTTATTCAATTGAGTGGACCTGGAATTCTTTTTATATGTAAATGGGCAATAAAAAATGTATGGGTATTTATTTACCGGAAAAATGTACATCGAAGTCATAAAGACTTTGACGAGTCATTTCGGGGGTGTAGATACTGCAAGGCAGTAACGATATTTCCGTGTTGTTTTACTTTCCTTTGATGTTAAATGAGCACAGGTGGTAAAATACCGAAATAAAATATTTACTTTGTTCTCGTACTTTTCCATTTATAAATCAAAACAGGTTTGTACTTTGCTTCTATGTACCCAAGTACATTTTTTTTCGAGTAAATAGGATATCATTCATTATTAATTAAATTTAAACATAAATAGGTCCATTGACATCGTCTAAGCATGACAAACTATTCGCTCGGATCATTTGTGTACCTGATATCACTTGTCAAGTGGGCCTAATTCGACCTTTACCCTTTACCTGTTCTTGTACTCGGGTATCTTATCACAAATATACTTCATATTGATCGGCAAGGTTTTGTTTTAACAGATTATTTATTATTTGTTTCTTTAAGAAAAACTTCGATAGACACTAACTGAATATGAAATGAAAACAAGACAGGAAAATGACTTCATTTGTAAGAAAGCTGACGGTTTAAACAAATCTTATATATGACTTAAGTAATGGTTACATATCGTATCTGACATATGTAAAAAAAGAAGAAAGAAATAGATGAGTGAAACTTTTTACAAAACAAAAAAATTGATTGTTGATTGAATTGAAGATTTGGAGAATTTTATCGACGTGCATGGGATTGAAGGCGACGTAATTCTGATGTCTTAGTTTGATGTACGGGTTTATTGATACATGAACGTTTGGAATGAATCTAAGTCGAGAGATTTTTCTAAGAACATTTCGTTTAAAAAGAGACTTACTTTTTCTTGTTGAAGAATATCTGTGATTGGTTTTTTATTCGAACGAATGCAAAGATTTTTTTCACTTTTTTTGTTTATTTCAATCTCGACTGAGCGTACTGATGATGCATTACTACTGCTGTACGTTTGACTCGTTGGCGAAGGTCGACGAGGATTACTTCGAGTATCTTCTTCCTCTTCATCATCATTATTCAAATATCGAGGATTAACTAAACGAGAACAACAATTCTCATTCCATATTGCTACTCGGAAGATCCGAATTCTTACATGATGGTAAAACTTGAGCAATCAGATTGCGTAGCAGTGCTTCCCCCGCTTTTTTGTCATAATGTTCGTCATCGTCATCAGTCATATCCGTATTACTATTACCATTCATTGGATCATCATTCTCTTCATCACATCGATGTTTCTTTTTTATTGTTATCGAACGTGTTGTTGACAAAGAGGCGTTCGAAAGCGAGCGTTTCGGTGCTGAACCCATTGGTAATAAACTATCGTAGCCACTCTCTTGCATCGCTGATGAAGGAATTGTTATATCATGCGATGATAAACCGTGACTCGAAGAATCTTCACGCATTGTCTAATGATAAATATAAAACAAATGATTGTATCACCAAAGGAAAAGAAAGATGAACTATTACTTGGTCATTCATTGATGATGATGCAATTTTCGTATCATTTTGATAATCATCATCATGAACTTTCGATGAAGAATCTGATGTACTTGTCAACGATATGTGATGATGAGGTAAACGTTGTCGAATAAGTTCGAATAGTAATCGTTTACCATTTTGATCTTCATCATCGTCGTCATCATCATCATCGGTTGTTGTTGTTGTTGTATGGCTCATATTAATTGATGAACACTGCCGTTCTTTTTGTTCATGTAAACTTTCTTCATTGATAACACTTAAGTTATGTTTCAAATTTCTCAAATCATTAAAATTCGATGATGATGATGAAGACGGTGGTGGTGGTAAAGTCAATGAACTCAGTGATGAATGAATCGAATTATTATCATCATCATCATCGTCGTCTCCATCACCATCGTAGCATACTCGCAGTGGTGACGTCGCATAATTTCGTATACTGTCAACATCATTATCATCGTACGTACATTCCTCTGAACGTTCAATAACTGTGATTCCAGTTGAACGAGTGCTATTTAAAGGCTGCAAGAATGTTTGTTGTTGATCATTGCCAATATCATCATCACAACCACGTGGTGGAGAATCTGGAATATCACTTGGCGATAAAATGCCTGATGGATTGGTGCTGTGTTCAGATGTATATGTTGAATTGTGTGAATGGAAGTTAACATTGAAACTGGATAAAGTTTCCATCGATGAATCACGTGAAAACATGAGTGGCGACGAATAAGCAGATGAATAAATAGAATCTTTCAAATATAGATCATGTAGAATTGTTTGTTTATCGATGGACATTACTTCTTCAGCATGTTTTCAAGTAAAATTTATTTATCTAAATTCAACACCAATGATATGTTCTAAAAAGCAAAAAAGACATAGGATTGTATTCTAGCATGTCATTCGAGTTTTATCTTTCGTCTTTCAAGTAAGGTTTAGGACTGACACCTTGCTAGGTAATGATCACTAGAGAACTAGAATGATGTTCTGATGTTGCTATTGTTATTGGATTTTTCTTCTTTTCGGTGTTTTAAATAAAAATAAAACGCATTCACATGAACACAGACATTTTACTGCTGCTACAGTTGGAGAGAAAGAGAAAACAAACGAAATTGTACTAGAAGAGTGTAAAAGAAGAAGATGGTGTTAAAGGAATCTACGTTCTTTTTCGTCGAAAGCGAGAAAAAAATTTGTAAAGAGAAGGTGGATGGAAAGTGGAGGATAGTCTGATTGAGATGACTTTGTGTGTAATATTTCATCTACATGGATTTTTCTTAACCACCGCTGGTATCGACTTTGACACCAGTGTAAACTTGTACTAGTTTATCGAAACCAGCCAAGACACCAGCACCGGCGATACCTCTGAGAATATTGGCACCGGCTCCTTTGAATAATGAAATAACACCTTCAGCACGGATAATCTGGAACATGCAGTCCAATGATCCTTTGTATTTAACAGCTTGACCTGATGTCATCATCATACGTCGTCGAATAGTATCGACTGGATATGAGATAAGACCTGATGTAACTGTGACACCATAACCAAGTAGAAATGAAAGGAGAAGACCAGCATCGGGTCCAAGTAAGATTGGTTTCAAAGTATCATAGAAACCGAAGTAACAACCACGGTAGATAATGATACCGACACATGAAATGACGAAACCACGATAGAGACCAGCAATACCGTCGGTGGCCAATGTCTTTCGGTAGACATCAACAAGACCGTTGTATTTACGTTCACCTCCACCTTTCTTCGTGCTCTTGACGTCATTTGCCAAACGTGTACGGGCGTAATCAAGTGAGTAGACGAAGCACAATGACAATGCACCAGCAACACCACCACTTGCAATGTTCTTGGCAAAGTTGACCATATACGGATCATTTTTGTTTTGTTTGAACATTGCTTTTATTTTGTCTTTGAAAGCAAAGTTCAAAGCCTAGAATATAAACATCAACTAATGACTTTCTCTATCAACAAACAATGCATTGACATCAAACCTGGGTGGGAAAATATCGAAGACAGTTAGCCAAATTGCCTCGCCAGAATGGAAGAAGGCCTTCGGTTCTGAATGTTCGAACGGTACAATCGACAACACCTTTGTAAGGTTCGGTGATGATACCTTGTTTAAGCATTTCCCCTTGATTTTGGACGAGCAATTTTACCCGTTCAATGGGTGCAGCTGCTGTTTTCGAAACGACAGCAGCAACGCCACTGAGGGCAAAATTTTCGATGAAGTTCAATTTGGGCTTCTCTTTCTAAATAATTAAATATAGAAATAAATTCCTAATTAACATACTCTCATCGTCAATTCACTTACCACTGCCATTGCGCTTTGTTACAAAATTTATCTAAAAAATAGAAAATTCGAACTTTAGACTTTCGTATATGTTGAGATGATTTTTGCATTTAAGTAAAAAGGAATAGGCGGTTTTTTACCTGTTCTCTTACGTGTGTCTGTGGATGATTTTGCGTTCGTAAAGCACAGCAAAGTGTCGAGTTCGATGAGAGCACAAACACAACACCCACAAAGATGGCCACCGAAAACAAACCTCCATAAAAACGCATCATCTCCGACACTGAAGTTGTTCCTTCGGTCTTTGTTTTCGCCATCCTTTCAAGTCATCAATGCACTTGCACTTGACTGCTCTCTATCCAGTGATTTTATTGGTCAATACGAAACAACCAATCATTTGATCGTTGCTATGGAAATAGAAATATGTGCTAAAATGAATGATTTCGTTCGCTCGCATGTTCAATTATGCCACGATTAAGCATCTTCTTTTACTCTGTTCAGGTTTGTTCTGAATCAGAGATAATTTCTGAGTATGTGACACACTTACAGATAGATTTGAAGATCGTTCAAAATCATCGTTCTTCTGTCCGCTAATATACTTCCATCGACGAATATCTAATATGGTAAACAAAAGAAAAACATACGTCGATCTTGCTTCGTTTTACGAATCATTTCAAATGATTTTTTTTGTTGTTTCATCGGATTCTATAGAATATCGGTGCGTGGGCATTAGGAAAGCATGAACTAACTGATTGTTATGTTCAGTCACATGAAACCCTCTCCGAAAATACCAATGAACTTTTTTGGACAAAATCTTTCCTACAAACTAGTCCATACGACGATCAAAGATATCGTCAAATTGCTTCAAGTGCATGTCAACGCATTATTCGTATGTTTTTCTGTCCAAAGATAAATCGACCAATTTCTCACCATTCTATCTAGAAGAAGAATCCAAAGCACATTCCTCTCGATCGACGTAAGATTCGAGTTTTCATTAAACATACATGTCAATCGACTTCGTACAGTTCAAATCGTCCACCGAGTACGATAGCGATTAGTTTAAGTGAAACAAGTACGCGACAAACGACTCATCCCACACCACAAGCAATCACTCTGCCGGCTACATCGAAGAAACAGTCTTCACATACGCGTTTTTCATGTTATTTAAAATCTCATTCGAAACAAGCGAGAAAGACACACTCTCGAACTATAATACCAAAAAATAATAATCACTACCAAGCGAAAACGAAATCTTTAATCCCAAAACAAAATGTGATCAAATTAACGACTCAATGTCGAGAGAGAATGTGTTCAAAGTGTTTAAATCTTATTCGCAAAAATTCAACCTGTATATCGTCGAGTGTCCTCTGTCAACCATGTTTAGATATAGTTCGAAATTCGAACAATATTATCTCAATAAAACGACTTGCTTTGAATAAAACCGAAGAAAATGAATTACGTCATATAATTGAGATTGTCATCGAAGAATTTCAAAACTATTTTGGTCAAGCCTTGACTTTGTCCATCAAGCAAATGACCCAACATCTTCTATCTAACGTTAATCTATTCTATAATCACTATCAACAAGAATTCGAACAACTGACAAAGAAGTATCGTCTAGCGTTTCTCGAACGTTTCATTCAATTGATGAATAAGTTAAATAGCAAGAATATTAAACAGAAGATGAAATCATCGTTATCTGAACACGTAATCCTCTGCTTTTGGCTTCCTTCAAGTCATTTTTCTCTCTAGGCTTCCATTACTCGTCCACCGAATATCGTGTCAATGTCCTCATTAAGTGGTTCGCTAGGAACAGAAAAAGATCGATGTGATACTATCACACAATTAATCTCATCATCAAATTTGACGTCTATCTCAACTACATCAAATCGGTCGATTGTTATTAACGAAAAAGTCAATCTCAACAGCGATCGAAAATGTTCCGCACTCCAAAACAGCTCTTCGAAAAAAACTTTCACCACAACTCGAAATAATCCTAAACAATCGTCAAGTAAAACTTGTACCTTCTGCCAAAATATCACATTTACTTCTTCGTCATTCCGATAGACAAAGTTCGAAAACCTCCACCACCGCCGTCGTCCTCATCCTCATCTGCTTTTCAACTAATCGACGCTTATCGCTTCCGCGAAACATTACGAGCAAGCAATGCTCAATATCGCACCTTACGTCCAAAACTCCAATAAACACATTTCATTCTTCTATACATTCACTAATTCTTAGAATGCTATTACTCATACCAGCTATTTCAACATGCAGATATGAAAGAAATGTGTTATTTACATTATAAGACAGAAGTTTATCTCTGAAATGTGATTTATTTTTTCCATTTTTATTTTTCACGATTACAATTGTAAATGTAAAACGAAGAAGAGTTGAAAATCAAGAACAACTTTACATGCCGAACTCACACACATACGCACAGAAAGAGAGAATAAAATAAAATCGAACAACAATTAAAAAAAAAGAACATTCGCCGAACTGACAAAGTGTAAAATCCATCAAATTACTTTCACCGGCCAAAGGAACGCATACATATATACATAAAAAAAATAGAACTTATAAAAATATATATATATATAGATAGATACATATAGATAAATCAAGATCTCTGTCCGAGTTGCACACATGCACGCACATCCATTCAAATAACACAAAAGATAATATCCACGTGTTTTGCTTGTAAGAAAGAATATACAAATACAACTTAGTTGTTAAAATAACCGAAAGAAGAGAAAAAAACGAAGACAAAATTTTGGGGGATGTTACGAATATGACTGTCTCAATTTTGGAGTAGACATCGATCGCATAACATAGTGTGTTTGTGCTTGTCGAAAACAAACCGGATGAGATTCACAATACACTCATTTAGCAAACCCACAACGAATGCGTTCGAAATACATGATAAAAAGAAAACGAAGTAAATATGAGAGATTGGCGAAACTTTTGATTGTTTGTTAAAAGAAAACGAAACATAACTTAGATATCGAGATCCAAAAAAAAACGATCGATCTTGAACACGGATGCGTTTTTTCGAATTCAAATATCAGCATTAACAACTCAACATGTCGAATACACAGTTGCCGTTCACTCAATCTATGGACACGTTGAACAACACACACAAACACAAACGGAAAGAGAGGGTTAAAGAATGAAGAAGAAATCAAATTTAAGAAGTTTTCTTTTCATCAGTATTGCACGAAAGACGAAATACAAGATCAACAAAGACGTTCTGTCATTCTAAAGACAATTATGTTTTATTTCTTTTCTATGTTTTTATGTATATTGCCCACGGACACATGCTACTGTTCCGATGTTCTCATATCGAAAGTTCGAACAAATAAACAAGCGCAGATCTGACTTGAAACTCTACTCACAGATACATAAATACAGAAGAAAACGAAAATTTACAATTGAACCAGTGTGTTTTGTTGTACAGACTAGGTTGGTACCACTCACTCTTACATTATATACAAACAAGAAGAAGAAGAAAAAGGAAAAATACAATCAAAAATAATGTTTTCTCTCTTGGTTTTCTCTCAACGTGACACCGGGTTTAAACCAATTACTATCGAAAATGTTTTTTTTTGTCTCGCTCACTCGGCTTGCTACGAATCGTTTTCGTCTTCCAGGGATTTTGAAGAAGAGGGAATGTCGAAAAATAAAAAGACAAGTCCGTCCAGTCAGATGATCATCGAAAGAAAAATATCTCATCTGACCGGAGAAGAAAATCCGATTTGAAAGATATATATATATATGTGTGTATGTGCATAACCAACAAATAGATCGAAATTACACGCACCTAGTTCGATAAATGTTTTGAAAACTAATCATTTGTTGCTTGAAGCTATTCATATGTGCGGATATGTACATCGAAGGTGATGATGTCGATCTGTGATTTATCGACATAGGACATGTGTAGTTGGTGTATTTGTTGATGAAGTATTTGGCGATGGTTCGACCATGGTCGTTTGTTGATCACGTCTTTGTTGTTGAGAATGAAAGAATTCGAAATGATTTGCTGGTTGGGTAAGACTGAAGATGATATTGGATGTTGGCAGAGTGGAGACTATGGGAACGGTTGGAGTTGATTGATCGGGATTTTGACTGTTTAAAAAGACGTGACGAGATGATAAACGTGAATTGAAATCATCCAACGAAGATGATGTAGGGGAAAAAGCAATCGAATGAGAAAATTGTGAAGCTAGTGATGATGATGGAGAAAGACAATTGGTCAATGAAGAACTTGTATCACTTAGTTTTGACGAATATGTTATAACCATTGGAGCTGATTGTAATGGCCGAGTTTGCGTTTCATCTAAATGAGATTTTCCATTGTTTTGTTAGACAAGAGCGAATCGCATCCTACCTGCTTCATCTTTTCGTTTTTGCTCAGCTGCAGCAGCCAGAAGTAAAAGTCCAGATGATACTGCGAAGATGAAGAAATCAAAATCAGTATATTCAATACAACTGAAAACTGTTTTACCTTGACCGATACCTGCATTTGTATCAGTTAACATTGAAGTATTTGTTTCATTATCGGATTCACCATCCCCGTTTGAATCATCCGCTTGAGGTTCATTCGCATCTGACTTATTTTCTAGAATTAAATCAACAAAAACTGCACTGAAAACTCACATCTACAACACAAACATACTTAATTCACGTTTCTTCCTTGGTCCATCCACTGTTATTTTAATTGCTCGACGATAAGTGCATTGTTGCGGTGGAGTTGTTTCGATAACAATCGTCAATGTAAATTTCTTACCTAAAACAAAACACATTCTTATGTTTGTTCGAACACGTTCGCTACAAACCTCGCCCACTGGCGCCAAGAAAGCGCAAGTCATTGAATTCAGCTTGGCTACCACGAAACCAACTGATATTGTTCTTCAATGCTGCACATGGATTGTAATCGTTACCCGCAAGTATCGTAACACGTGTGTTGGCTTTGATGTCGACATCGTCTTTTGCACGTAAAACGAAGCGGAGGGACTTGTTTTTTCTCCAATGGCTAAAAATAATATTTTGTTTTTACTTTTGAAAAACAATGCGTGGATTACCTTGGCAATGATGAACATTGAAAGTAAGGATTTAAATCGACGAACGCGTTCTTTGTACGCGCTAGTAACTGCTCAGCTGGAGAAGATATAGTCGAACTTCGTTTGACCATATTTATGGGCTGTTTCATCGATAAAATGGAAAGTTTTTGATCCGCAGAGATCGTTGGATGAACTCGATGTGGCGATATTGTATGGTATGTGGTGGTTGACTCTGTTGAATGATTTGTACTTGTTGAGGATTTATCACTCTCAGTTGATAAACGTCGTCGTTCATAAGCCATGTCTTCCGTAGAATCTCGTATGTACAATATGTATAATTTGCAGAAGAGAAATATTCGAAATCAGGTCACTTGACCTAAAATTTCAAGAGAAATTTAATGCTAATTATGATTGGTGTTTCTAATCAGTAGATCGACAAAACCAAATGTAAGAAACGGTCGAGATAAGATATGTTTAATATATTTAAACTAAGACAGCGTAGGAGAAAAGCACTAATTTACTTTTCTGCATTAACCGAAGAAAAAAAGGAAAAAAATATTTTACGTATTAATAAACTATGACACATACAACTCGTGATTACGTTCCTCTGTATTTATAGTTCGAGTAGAGTATATAAGCGTATGTCGAGAGAGAAAAAATACGAAGGAGAAAAGAAAATTTGCCATATTGCACAATTGAGAAAAACGATGGAAAGAAAGAGAAGCATCGAGCACATGACACACTGATGTCTGTTCGATTCTGTCAAACTCAGAAGTATCAACATCTTGTCGGAGAATCCAAAAGGAACAGATAGAATAGAAAGATATGTTGTTTTGACGAATTATTGCGATTAACGATTAGTCATCGTCTTTCATCGGAAGTTAAATAAAATCTTTTTTGTTAATCACCTCATGTGATGCGATAGTTTTTCTCACCTTTTACATTTAAATATATTTTCTTTCACCCTCCTCACCCTCTTATTTGTTCCCTCTTAAACCATCGCATATTTTCTTTCTTCGTCGTTAACACTATGTCACGTTCCTTTCTTCTTCCTTTTCTCTCTCTCTCTCCCGCTCTCTCTCCCTCCGTCTTTGCTTTCTACGACGCTAAAAAAACTGTAATGCCTTTTCTACTTTGTGGTCGGACTATTGATGCCATTGGTAAAAACAAAAATAAAATGTCTCAGCTATTAGACGAGTTTACTTTTGTTTTGATTTAATCAAAAACAAACCTAAGTTCATATTTCTATTCAAATGTCGAGACTCGACAACGCCACGACGTTCTCAATTGAGAGATAGAAGAATTTTGTGGATTTAACAACTGCCTAAAGCCTGCTTCTTTAACTCGGCCGGATTCTTTTTCTTTCCTCTACTCGTCTCTCTTCCACCCTACTCTCTGTTTTGTGGTAGTAGTGAAGTGCACGAGAGTTGCTATATTTTTTTGCGGGTATTTGGTAAAAAAAACATGACGTCATGGAATCATTTGTGTACGTAGGTGTACAGATATGTGTCTATAGCAACTGACACTGACATATCAACACGTATTTTTATGAAAACTGAAAACAACAAGAAACTATGTCTGATATGTGAATAAACGAAAATGTTATGATTATGTTTAACTATTTGTTACTAATCTTCGACGAAGGGTGAGCAGGAGGAATGCGTCTATTTCTCTGCTTACTCGATATGGTTGTATTTACGAAAGAACAAAGAGGTACAGAGGAGGAAAAAATCGTCAGCGGGTCTATGAGTATGGAAAAGAAGAAAAACCGCTGCTGTCAATACTATTATCATTGCCCTCATCACGAGTGTTGGAGGTTTTTTTCGTCTTTCTTTTTCTCTGCTCTCTCTCTCTCTCTCGATATACGCGCGTCCTTTGACATTCTTGTTAAGACCGGCTGATAGTAATGGCGGTTGTTTGTGGTGAGAATGAGAAAGAAATAGAAAATGACATAGAAACGGATGTTGATGATGAAAAACAGCGGAAACCTCGCTATATTTGTGGTGAAATTATGAAAAGAGAAAGAACGAAAGAGAAAAAAAAAGAGAAAAACAGTGATCTAGTTTCTCATACACTCAGATGAACTTGCTTTTTCAGCCTTCTCGTCTAAAAATACAAAATCATTTTAAAATATTCATGTCCGTTGACTTGACAACAGATAGTTTTTGTTGTGAGTCTTCGATTCTGCCTTCGAAATGCAAACATCCACTTGAAGTTATCAAACAATTCTCATCTTAGATAACGAAGACTGCTGAAATTGTTTTCGCAGATCAGTTCACCTATGTAGTTGAAAGTTATTTACAACTAAGAAGATAAAAATACTTATCAAGTGAAACATGCAAGTTTCATCGGAAAGAAAAAAATTAATCATCGAGATTAGAAAATTTCAGAGCACATCGACATAGAAATGGTACTCTTTCCTCGTTGGGTAATATACAATCATGTGATGCTAATGCTTTTGCGTTTCTTTTGTTTACCGTCATCTGTTTGTGATTAATGAAGTAAATAAATATCTTTATCTCAATCACTGAACGTCATAGTATACTTGCAAGATCTTTCTCGAGAAAGATCTTAGTGCAAAGTAGAATTCATTCGTAGGCCAACAAGTGCAACGAGATGTAGAATGGTTCCAAGATGCTACCGATGCTTAAAAATAGAATTGTACTTATCGATTAGCAGAACAAACGAATCTCTCCCTATGAGATCTTTTCCACGTGATGGGGATACATCTGCTTGTCTTCAATAACAATCAAATTCGAATTGGATATTTTTATTAAATTATTTCCTCTGATATTATATTCACATTCATATAGATTATGCTAATTAAAACACAAATACATGTTCAATCGAATAAAAGAAAGAATAACGAAATATAAATATAATCTAGCAAATAAAAGCCCTGAGTTCATTTCAATCTGTAAGGAAAAGCAAAGAGAAGAGAAGAGAAGAAAATGACCTAGTTTTGAAAGATTTATGGGTATATTGTCAGTTTGATTTTCATCTCTTGTACATCAATGACTTGTTCTTCTTCGCATTCATGAATTTGATCTAAATATGTTAGAATATCAACTAAAGAACATTCTTCTTGAAAATCGCCATTGATAAACGGGAGAAGAATCTCTTGATAAACATTATTTGAATACAATTTATGTAGAACCAATCGGATCTGGTCACTGGTAAGCCAATTATTGTCATCAATAGTTGAATTTTCATTTTCTGAAACAAGTAATTTCGATCGAGAACGATTCAGTTCGATAAAATGACGAATTGTTTCGATCGTAAACAATTCCAATGATGAATTCAGTAAGAGATCGTATAAAAGACGTTTGATGTTCACTAACGGAAATCCATGAACGTATTTTATATACAAATCCAAAAGAATTTTCAACTTGTCGAATGTCATCTCATGAAACACGATTAAATTCATGATTTGCATAATAATTTGCTTATTCAAATGACTTAATGGATATTCGAATGTATAATGATAATGTCTGAACAGATAAGTTAAATGACGTACACATAAACGTGTGTGATAACATTGTTCCGATGTTAACGAAAGATAAATTTCTTCGCATTCAAAGTCATCCACTGCTAAGCCCAATAGAACAATTGCTAAATTTTGAATAATTGTATATAATGATAGAGATGTATGACTGTTCGGTGTTGTTAATATTAATGGTCCTTTATAAACAAAGGAAGAATTGAGAAAATTGGCGTATAATGGATAAATAATTGGATTAGCAAAATTAATCGTACTGATGGCATTGTCGATCTAAATTTACAGTCATATTGTCTCAAGTATGTCTAATAACTTGGAAGAAAAAAAAACACGTCAAAAGAGTTGTTTGCTTTGCCCGAGTGCAGGTTATACGATCGAGTATCGTGAAGACTCAATTTCTCAATTTGAATGTTTTTCTGTGCAAAGCAAAACTGAATCCTACCAAGATCTGCTGAGAATAGTTTAATGAGAAGTTTTGTTTGTTGTTCGATTTTTAGGTAGGAGGAGAAAACTTACTGTTGTGATTAAATATTGTTTCGTGATTGTATGGCCATATGTCATCGAATGATATATTCGTAATACTTCAGCGATTCGATCGATAATTTTTCCTGAGAAATCATTCATATCGTTTAGTAATAAATAGAAAAGATTATTCAATTGAAAGGACGAGATACTTGATGATGAAAAGGAGAGAACGAATTGTACAACGGTATTGAGTTTGCCGGTGTTTAAAATAGTTTTATTAGTTGAACGTTGATATTTTTCTAATTCTTTACTTATGTTAATGATTGATCCGACATTAAAAGTCGAAAAATGGGTTAGTTCAACGTTATTCAAAACAAGATAAAAGAGTCGTTCGACAAAAACACGTTGTTGTTGTTGATGAAATAAACTAAACGAAAGGAAAAGATTCGGATATGTTCGTCGAGAAGAGTTTTGGAAGATTTACCTAAAACTACGAATGTTAACCGGTTGCGTACGAACGAACAATTGAAATAATTGAATTTTCGATTGTAATAACATCTGTGCATTGTCTTCATCGTCGAATTGATCATCACGATCAAAAGATTTATGTTTTGTATTGAGAATAAAGTTTTCGTAGGCATTCTGTAATTGTTTCTTTTCTTGTGGTCGAAAGAAATCATTGTCTAGATGGTAAAACTCCGGCATTTCCCATATTGCTGTAGTTGACACCATGATTTCGATCTGGACGAAAAAAAAAGAAACAGATCACACAATACTGTTATCAAAGCATGATTTCATGTTGAAATATCAAAACGGAATTGCTAATGTAATGTAATTCGAAGCAAAAAAAATACACATGTAAAATTCACTAGTATAAAAAAGCATCAAACTAGAGTGCGGGCAGAGAGAATCTTGCTGGACGGCAAAATAAAATGAAGAAAAAAAAAGAAAGTCGAATGTTGGCACCGATAGAACTATAGTCATAAAAAAAAAGGAATGTGACGTATTTTGTTTAGTTAATATGTTCGTAGAGTGTTGGATTTGCGAAGATCGAGTTTAACAGTCATGATCTGTTGATCGACACGTTCGATTTCTCGTTCGAGAACATCATATAGTTGATGATCAGTACTAGTTAAACCTCGAGAAGGAATGCGATGAAGTCGTGCTTCTAAATCACGTTTCTTCTTCAATAAATGATCGAATTTTTGTTCTAATTGTTCGGTTTGTCTTGTCTGTCGATCGAATGAATCCTGGAAGAGAAAAGAAGAAATAGTAGTTCGAGAAAAGCAAATGAAGTTACTCTTCGAGGTACGGATTCCGTTCGACGACGAGTTGGTGATGATTTTTTCGGCGAATAAACATGTCCTACAAAAGCTTAGTACAATCGAAAAGAATCTTTCGAATCGATTTACTTGAAGGTGAAACATGCAATTGAGAAGGGAGACACTTCTCAGCTAAGTAATCAGCGATTCGTGATAAGGGTCGAGGTGAATGATATGAAGTTCCTTTGTCTAGAAAGAGAAACAATACATTTTCTTAAACAAATGTTGGATCACTAGCATTACCCGTTGATTGGTATCTTGTGGAATCAATGATTCCATCTCTTGGTGTACTCATTGTCGATGATGCGTGTTTTGTTGTGTTTGTCACTGTGAAATGTTGATAATCTTGTGATGGAGAGATGGTAATAGGTTTAGCAACGCTCAACTTGTGATCGTCAGGTAATCTTTGAGAAAGTTTAAAAGATATTTTAGAAGAAAATGAAGTTTTGGTCGATGTTACCGATTTTTAATTCGATTATTATCACTTTCTAACAGAAATAGTTGTCGTCGGAGCGTTTCATTTTCGTTTTCCTGTTCGCGAGAACGTTCTTCTAATCGAAGAAGACGCTCCTAATCAAAATTCGACTGAAAAATTAAATTCAAAAGCAGACAATTGAATAATTACTCGTGTGCGATTTAGGTCAATCTTGAGTTTCTCATTTTCATCTCGATACAGTGATGCTTGTCTATCAGCATGGCGTAACTTTTCATTCTGTCGTTCCTTTATCTAAGTAAAAAAAACGAAACCTATCATTTGATTTTAATTTCATACTCAAACATACATTTTCCGATTCGTTTAATTGCCGCTCGAGATTGGCAATTGTGCGATAATGTGTTTTCAAATCCAAATCTTTGTGATTGATTTGTTCGCGTAATTCATCTAATTGTCGTTTTAATGCAACATTTTCGTCATCCGAGACCTTCTGCAAAAGAAAATTCAACAATTTTAAGTGATCGTTTCGAGTGTACATACCAATGAGTGCCGTGCACCGTTCAATTCATCGCGCAAACGAATATTTTCACTATTGATACGTTCAATGGTGCTCATCGATTGCCGAACAACACTTGATGTATGACCACTATTAAGAAATCAGCAATAGAATGAAAACTGAAACGATCATCATACCTCAATCGTGATCGATTCAATTGACTTCGAAGATCATTTATTTCGTATTCGTGACGTAGTTTTATGTCATCAATATGTTTGCTATGTCGGAATGGTAAATCCGAACGAAAGCTAAAGAAAATATTGTCTATTGATTTTAAACACTAACATTTATCAGTGCATACTTGAAAGTATCATCTCTGGGTTGTGATGATGGAACATAATCAGTGATGACTGTTCGTTTCGTGTCGGACGAAAGAACATTGAGTGTTGAATCTGCTGGATAATAATGAGAAACAAGATCTGTAGCTATTGGCCGATAAGTATGACTGTAGTGTTTTCCAACATTTAAATCAGTTGGTACTGATGTTGGAACACGCTTAGTATGTGCCATGTTATCATAATCTTCTGATCTTGATTCTTGTGAACTAGACAAAGTTGAAATGTATGATGAATTTGCTAAGAAATGGCCCTACCCATGTGTTAACAGAGTAATATCATCGTAGCGTCGTTTCATTTTGTCCTCGAGCGTGTGCATATAATCCTCGTACTGTTTTCTTTGCTGTTCAATACGTACTTGATGTTCGCGTTCAAGTCTGTCTAACATGGTTAACCAATCGTCCTAGAATTGAGAAAGATCAATAGAGCACTATCTTCATTCGATCAATATTTACATCCGCATTTCGTGTATTGATTTCTTCGGCTTGATCAATATGATGTGACGTGGAATATTTTTGTTGCTGCTGATGCTGATGATTATTCTTTTTCCGGTGAGAGCTTGAACGTTGTGGAACGTAGGTTGAATGACGACTACGATGTTGGCTATGACTCTGCCGTTGATTTGACAAGTTCCGAAGCAAACTCTCATTTTGTCGATTCAGTAATTCATCATCGATAATCGCAGTCGAAAGAATATCAGGTGGTGATAATGGAAATGAAAATGCGCCGAGATCATCGGGTGTTCGTTCATCTTTTCCTGTATCATTCGATGGGTAACGTTCTTGATCGTGAAGAACGTGTCTCAATTGAATACTTAACTCATCGAGATTTTCATCGATCAACGTTGCTTGACTGTCTTGTCTTAAAGTTTGTGACGGAATTAATGGAACTTTGTGCTGTTTGTTTTGGAATGATGCGGAATGTTTTTCTTTCGATCGATGTAAAGCATACTCGACAATCGAGTCTGTATCGGATGATGAATTGGATGATGAGATTACTTGACGTGGACGAGAAGGTAATTTCTGTTTAGTGAACGAACTAGTTCGTGGTTTGGATTTTTCATCAGATGAAACAGCAGGTCTGGGTTGCTGTTGTGGAGTTCGTTTAGGTGTGGAATGGGATTCAATAACAAGTTCAGATGGAGCACCTTCATTTGATATTTGTTCAGTTATTCGTGTACCGAATAGTAAGTTTTCCCAAGTGACTGGAGACGATTGTGGTTGTTCTTGTTCTTGCTCTTTTCCATCCTGCTGATTTGTTGACGGCTTTTGCGGTTCGACATGTTTAGTTAACTGAGAAATCGTTTGTTTGTTTTCATCAGTGAGATCAAAAGTACGTTGATTGACGATATGTTGAACTTTGTTAGATTTCGGCGATGAGACGATGTTCTATTCGAAAGAGAAAAACATAATCAGATAAGTTGATGTGAAAGCCGCGACATTCTTATGGGGTGTAATGATGAAACCATAGAAAGCAAAAGTTTGAAGGTGTTAAAGACACTTGAAAGGAATCGATTGAGAATGCGAAAGAAAAGAGAGAGTATATTGCCTTTTTCGCAGTGTTATTACTAGAATTTGCTTCATGTCTTTCGTTAATTTGTACAAACAAAAAAAAACGTAGAACAACTTTCATACCTCTTGTTCGTTTTCGTGAAGATCATAATCTTGTGTCGCTTGTTTACTTGTATCGTCTTCTTCATCGAATGTTGCTTTTTTCTGAGAAGTGAATTTCTCCTCTTTGCCTTCTCCTTCTTCTTCGCCACTCGGACTCTTATCAGTTGCTGCTTCTTGAATAATCGTAGCTAAATTATTCAAATCGTTTTCAATCTCATGAACAGCGTCGAGTAGTCGAGTATCTTCTTTGGTTTTGTCATTGTTATCGATGGTAGGAGCGTTCGAAAGCTCATCCTGAGATGGTGTTGAACGTGCAGACGAGAGACTTTGATACTTTTCGTCATCAGTCGTTTGTCGTTTATTGTCATTGTCGTTGTCATTGTGAGTCGACTGACTATCTGGCTGATCAAGTTCATTTGTTAGAAGATTTGTCACATCAACCTTGATAACAAAAGAAAAAAATTTGCGAAGATTTTTATTTATTTATAACAACGGTCAGAGGTTTTTCTCCTTTTACCATTCTTGCTTGACTAAAATCAAGTTCTTTTAATAATTGACTATATTTTGGTTGACTAATGCGAAGATTACTTTTTTCATCTGAGCTTTCGTCGTTCTCATCTTTTCGATCTCCTTCATCATCGTCAATAGTTTCTAGAAGAGAAAAGAGAAAATGAGAGTGAGAGAGAGAAAAATAAATCGAAATTTTTTCTCTCCTTTGTCTCCCCCCTACTTCAGTTCTTGGTTTTTATTTTAGACTTTTTAAGATACAAACAAACAGTCGTAGTCCTCTCATGTCGAACAAGCATTCAATTAAAGAAATCTTTTCTCTCATCTACATATTTATGTGTGTACATACCTGTTCGTTCTTCTTCTTCTTCTTCTTCTTCATCGTCGTCATCGTCATCATTGTTCTCTGCTTTCTTTTTCGATTCAGATGTTGATTGATCATTGGCCGAAGAAACATGCGTATGATGATTAGCAAAATTGAAACCTCCTGCGAGTGTACTCGGAAGAAATACAAAAGGAACTATAATTAAAGAAACAAAGAAAGAAATCTTGTGAACAAAAGTGACTTACATCCACCGTGAACGAAAAATGGCTGGGATGAGGGAGAAGATGTATCATTCATATCGTCACTTTCCATCTAAAAAATCAAATGTGAAGAGAAAGAGAGATGGACAACAGAAAAATCGTTTCTCTCGCTTTCTCTTGCGTTTTTAGTAGTTTCGAGTGTCTCTCAACGCAAACAGACTTCGTAAATGAAAAAAAAACTCGTCCTCTCATTCTTTTTCCACTTATACATATTTATAAATTCGAATCGGTAAAAAAAATAATATTATTCCACTACTCTCTCCCTTTTTTCTTGACTAACCAATAATACATCACATAGCGTCGACTAATCGTAACAACAAACGGAGTAATAGACAGTATAAACAGTTTGATGAAAACATAAATGAAATGTAACAATTTATTTGTTGACGTTCCCTTTATAGGTATGTATATCAAGAAGAATCAAGGCTGGCTCAACGGATTACCAGAGTAACCTTGTCTTAACAATATTAAGTGCAACGGCGAAGAAGACAACAAGTAAAGTAACGATAATCATTTTTTCATATTTCGCTTTTCTTTCGTATTGATTAATTAAATCACGTGATGTGTTGATCAGATGTTCATTTAAAATGTATTTATCAATTGTTTTCGAGAGTGTGGACGATGAGTCACCTAAATCAAATGTTTAGTTTGGAGTTCTTCGATTTCGTTGAATCGTTATTATTTACTGATAACATCTAATGTTTGAATACCACGCATGTCGGCATCTTTCAATAGTTGTTGCGCTTGTAAAATCAAATCTGTGTTTCGATTCGCTTGCTGCATAATCTAAAACATAAATCAAATATCTTTGTCCTTGCTTTCATTTTCACATTTTTTTAATAAAGAGAAGAAAATATTCTATCTGACATGAAGAAGAGAAACATTATTGATATGAAATATTGTTGAAGAGCATTTCAATCGCCGTGCTCAGAACCTTGCCTAACTTTCTGAAAACACAACACTGAAGGATTCAATAACAATAAATCAGAAGAGTTTTACCGATTGCTCGTAATCTTTTTGATTACTGATAACATTAATTTTCGTTCTTTGTCATTGGAACATTGTTGATATGATTGAAGAAGTCTATGGGATAAAGAGAGAAAAAAAAACGTTTTTTTTTCTATTTCTCTTCTTCTTTACGTTATTATTTACTTTGCTGGCGTTGGATAAACTTCAGTCAATGCTAAAACATTGTCTACTGACATGCCAGCTATTTGCATAAGAGCACGAGCAAACATCTCTTTTACTGTTGGCGGCTGAATTCAAGTTTCATTTTGCAAAAAGACAACAAAAAATTCTATTCAAACCTTGCTTTTAACCACACCGGAATTAAACGAATCAAACGTCATAACATAATGATCAGTATCATGAAAAGATATTTTATAATTATTACTCATATCGGTTTCGCTCAGTATGTGTAGGGTTTTGTCCTGGAAGAGAATTTGAAACTGGGTGAGAAATGAAACGAAAAGGATGGTACTTTGAAGTGATTGATTAGATATTTGGTCATTGTTACTAAATAATTAGCCATTTCAACAGGATTGGAAACTTCACGCACAAAGAAATCTTCAGCGATCTGAAGAGAATTTACGGATAACTGTCTGGGATGAAAATAGTTCATTTACCTGAGTATTGATAATGGCTTGATTGAGTGCAGCTGGTGTTAAAATTCCCGGATTGTTCGTGTTTTTTAAACTTTCTACCAAGTAAACTAAATTTGTGATTCCACATTGTTTTAATCGAAACTAGACGATCGAAGATGAGTCAATTCGCTTTCTTTGCATCAGTTTTCACTCGGCCTACTTTCTGTTCGTTATATCTTCCATCAATAATACTCTTCGAAAGATCATCCAATCGTTTACGTTCGACAATATAATCGAGAATAGCTTCGACTTTCACATCTCTATCCGTTGCTACAACGAAAATGGATTGGAAATTGTAAAGAAAAGAAATCACTTACGTCGAACGGTCCAAAGAAAGTCGCCGATGTTCAGTTTCCGCACATCGTAATTGATTGAATTTTTGGTCAGATGTTCCAACAGAACTTTTTGTGTCGATCGTGATGCTTCGGCATTGTCAACACAGAGTGTGATTTGAAATGAGCCAGGTTTGAGAACTTGTACAGTTTTCGGTGAAGCTGAAGACGTTTTCGTTGATGAATCGACAATACCAAGTAAAGTGGAAATTGTTGTTGGTTGGGTTGATGACGTACTCGGATTGTCAAATAATTTTGCACTTGCACTATTTGTTTTTTTAATTGCTCTACTTGGCTTCTTGTTTTCAATCGTTAGTTTCGATTGCTTTGCTGGCGGTGGTGTTATTTCATTATCGTCATTATCGTTAATGTCAATAATTGGACTCGAATCTTTTTTCTCATCAATATTTGACATTGAGACAGTTTTATGAATAAATTTCGTCGTTGAAATATCTGTTTTATTGTTTGTATTCAATCGTCGGTCAATTGCTTCGCATATTTTCTCACCAAATCCATATAAAATTCGACAATCTGAACCAGTTTCTAATCGTAATGGATATTTTTCTAACGAGCGCAATGCCTATGGAAGAAAAAAGTATCTATAGAAATTTCGTTCTTTTACATAACTTTTTCATAACTCCAAGCACCTTTTGATAACAACGCATTGTTTGTGCACCGTTCGCCTTTGCATCGTTATACCATTCTTGAACGAGTGCCATTATATGTTCATTTGGAGAATTAAAACGTCGTTTACGAATTGGTTTAGTCGCATTGAGTGGCAATGCTGAAGTCATTTTTCCTGTTCAAAGTCAATCGACTTCAATCAGCGAGAAGTTGTTATTCATTCTTCGATCGATTCGATGCGATGCATATATAGAATTTATTTATTTGACACCGAAGCGAGAAATGAGTCATTGGGAAGTTGTACGGCGGTTTTAATAGTTTGTAGAGATCGCTGGCTAACGTGGAAATGATTTTTTTACTTAATAACGTATGTCTTCGTCAGGCAGAGAAAGGATTCTTAGTTATTTCTTGACAAAATATTTCTTTTTCATCATTCTAGTCAAATAATGACATTCTTCAATTCTGACTCGTAGGTGTTGGCAACAGGAACAAGAAGAGAGACAACAGGAACTACAAGTATACATGTATACACATATCTTGTTTTTATCAATATATATTTGCCAGTCTGCCTGTCATTTGTCCTTGCTCTTCAGGCTTGAGCAACAATGCAAAGAAAAATCCTGTCTTACATCAAGCAAATAGAAGAACATAAATCAATCAGTAACAGTTTGTCCATGCGCTTGAAATGTTTTTTTCTTCAGTGAAAACATTCGCCACTCTTTTAATACCTGATATAATTGAATGACATATATTTAAAAGAGAAAATGCCCTTACAATAACAACAACAAACAAGGAATACATGAGGGAATGCAGCGAGAAGTGGTTCTTGTCTGGTTTAAGAGTAAAATATAACAGATGGGAAAAGAAAATCGACGCTTAAATTAATACTGACATGGTAGAAAGTAGAAAAATGAAATAATCATCGTTGGAAGTATCTCATGTCGATGGGTTTCATATTTTTGTTCATTCTCAAATACTCATGTGACTAGTCTCAAGTATTTTGATTGGATTCCAAGTAGAAATATGATTATTTCATCTCTGATTCATTCAAAAAATTCACACGAAAAGAAAAAGATTCTAAAGAAAGGAAGAGTAAAAACTGTGTCACTGTTTCACACATTTAGCCCCCCAATAAAGAAGAGATTCACGAGACAAAACAATAAGAATAAAGGAAATACTACAAAGACAGATCGTTCATTTGCAGATGTTGCTATAAATAGCATTTGTTTAGTAGGCTGGCGGTTGATAATTCGATTGTGCTTGCTGAGTAGCAGTAAATGGCGGTTGAGAAAAGCTACCTGTATTATTACCGGCTGGTGGATAACCAGCGTACGTCTGTCCACCGCCTGTCGAATGATCTTCATACCCTGCACTGAATAAATTTGAGACACCTTCACGATAACGACGAAATGTGAAAAATACCAATCCACCCTTGAAAGAAAAAAAAACATAAAGTATAATCAGGTGATCGAATTCATTGATTTATACAATATTACCCAAGCTAGAATTGAGAAGAACGAAAAAGCGATAGCTGCTTGAACACTATTGCGACCATTCCATCCTGGAATATCTTTGGGATCCTGTTGTCGCCATTGATCCGCCAAATAACAGAATCCGATGAACCATAAGAATACCATAATTGCTAAACAAAATATTAATGAACTGTAAAGAACAAACAGGTGATGGGGAAAGTGTGTACCTGATATGATCAACTCAGTTACCACAATGATCTTTCGTGTTTTTATATTCGCAATATTTGGAAAATAAACATCGAGTCCCGTAAATGCTATGGTTAAAAGAAATGCGATCACACCAATAGCAATACCGTACCCACAAGCACCAGAACCATTGTAGCGGCATTGACCATTTGCATATCCTTCTTGTGCAATACATGCAAAAACAATAATAGCGAAAACCTCGAAGAATAGGACAGGATTATTTTATGGAGAAAATCTTTATAAAGACATACCCAAGCAACAATGCGTAAGATAACTTGAGGCTTTTTCAGAAATTCGATTGCATCGAATGCCGAGCCAGCTCGGCCGGCGCCGAATGCTTGTGGTTCCATCGACGGATTCATTTGCGTTTGTCGAATAAAAATCAAGAGGAAATGAAGCAATTTGAAATCTAGAAAACGAGTTTATTTCGTCAGGTTCGTTTCTTCGCGTTAAAATAAAATAATCATAAGCAATCGAACATATTCTCCTTCCTGTTAATAGAACATAATAATGAAGAAAAAAAAAACTTCTTTCGATGAATCATAGAAGTAAGGAAACATAACAACAAAATATTTTCATTTACTGGAACTGACATCTACTGTGTAAATTTAGACGAGAGACTACTAGGTAAAAGAACCAGTATTTTATTAGAAAACACGAAGAAGTGAACAGGAAAAGAGAGAATTGTTCTCGTGTTACTCATACAATGACATACCGTGGCAGCACCAGTAAATTTACGAATTTAAGATGTCACTAAATATAAATCAGCAAATATCAAGTCACTCAACATTTTTATAGCGCGCCAAGAAGTCAAGTCTATTTTAAGTCGATGGCTCTCTCGTCTATTCGATGTTCGACATTTTCTCATTGCTAAAGAATTCTATTGCGATATTTCTTATCTTTTACTATATGAACTTTCCCCAATGTGAGCGTTATGTATACGACATGGAAAACATATGTTTTATTGAAGCAAAAAAGATATTGAGATATATAGTAAAGTAAAGCAACTAGAGATATACAAAATATGGTAATAAATGAGATTAAGCGAAGAAGAAGCAGAAGAAGAAATGTTTCAGAACTAAATTGAAATCACATTTTGTTTTATCAAGGCAAGAATCATCATGCTTGGATCGGAAGACACACAATGCACAAGAAAAGACCGGAATAATACCAATGCTCAAAATGAACTTTTTCATCAATATCAACGTTTCCTTTATTCTCTTTGATAACTTCGCGGAGCACTTGCAGCTCGTCGCGCTGATCGCTGCCGACTACGACTTTGACGGGTACTAGGCTAGTAGAGACACCGAGATAAACAACATGAAAGCAAACCAATGGTTAGTTTCATACTCGTGAGCCATGCCAATCTAGCGAATACTTCGCGATATTATCTAAATAGGAGAGATTCTTTGACCAACTATTTGACCAATCATTTCGGTTTAATTCGGGTTTACAATCAACAATTCTTTTGGCCATAGTCGAGTTCTCACGCGATACACGTAATAATTCTCGACGACGTTTCTCTTGATTCAGACTAAATCATCAGATAAGTACTGGACAACATGTGTGCACATGGAACTCCTTACCTTCTTGCTGAATAATAATTGCGATTATCAACATTATCTGCTCTACGCATCGTATGTGCCATTTTTTCTAATAATATGCGATTATCACGTTCGATAGTTGCTGTACGTTCTTCTTCTAACTGAAGAAAAATAGGAAAAAATTTTGCAATAAAATAGAAAATCAAGTTGAGTCACACCTGAAGTTTTTTCAATTTCATATGCAAATGCATATATGTGCGTGGTGGACGTGTATCAATAGTTGGTCGAGCATCACGTACCTAAATGAAACCATGAAATACATCGATAAAGATGAATGGAGAATCTCTCTTACCAAGATTTGATGTTCTGAATGATATTTCTCATCCCATTTCTTTTGAAGAAGACGATTAGTAGCGGGTCGTATTGGTTGATATGATTTATGCATTGATGTAACCCGTCTTTCGATATCTAGAACTACATTCAAATGAGTAAAGTAACATAAAATTTCCCAACAAAAAAAGAGCCGCAAGCACGAAATGTTTCCGCTTATTTTTTGTTCTTACAAAATTACAGAAAAAGAGGATAATGTTTATCCCGATGGCGAGACATTCTCATTCGTTGGTAGAGCTTCTTCAAATTGTTGATAATGAAAGCGACTTGACTGTGCTGTGACCATGATACGAACAGCCAAAATGCCGAATATCATTTGAAGCACAAGAAATGTTATATAGATAATTTCCACTGCAAATACAAGTGCCAGTTGAACTTGCATTTTTGCGAGTAATTGATAAATAAGCAAAAATACACTTAGTGGAAGTTGAAAAATAATCGTCAATAAACAGAATGCCGTCAATTCAGGCATACGTTCTGCTAAGTTGCCTGCGTAACCAAGATATAACCGAACAAATTCAATAATTGCTTTGAAAACAAAAGCAAAAACCATCAAAATAACATGTTGATTTGATGAAGTTAATGCTAGGACAGGTAGAACAAAGATTAATGAGAATAACCAACATGGAAAGAAACAAACGTTGAAATACAATAGCATTTGTAATGGTAAACTAGATGAATAATCAATTTCAATACGAGATTGTTTAGAATGTAAATTATTCGTTCGTTTAGGATCATTTGCATCGATGGATGTGAAAACCGATGTGGCTAATCGATTCAATCGATCATTAACAGCTCGAGGTAATTCAGGTGCTCGTCGTAGCATCTCTCTTCTCTTTTTTTTCTGTCAATTATTAATAGTTTCACAGATAGAAATGAATCGGACATGACCATCATGCACACGGTTGTTCTGACAACAGATGAGGTTAAATGAAAATGTTATATACACGATAGATGTCTCACATGTTCAATTTTTTTTTGTCCACGACAGAGAAACCTACCAGACGACGAGAACTGTCAAGTGAAGTACATTCAAAAAATTAATTCAAAGTTTTTCAATTGATGATCATTAGTAAGTATTCGTGGTGACTAGGATCAGTTTTCATTTGGATACATCATGCAATGAAAGAAAGAAAGAAAGATTTTCTATGATACAATGATTTATTTTATTATCCGAATTTAAGTACAAAGAATGTGCAAACATAAGAAGTACATTTATTTCATTTGTCATAACAACAATCGAACAAAAGAGTTTCTTTACATGAAGAAAAATATCTGACTAAGTTGTACCTTTTTTCTTCTTACGAATTCTCACTACTTTTACAGGGGTTTTCTCATTGGATTGATTAGTGTTACAATCAGCTGGTGGTAGATTTTCGTTATTTTTATCAATATGTGTAACGAATGTTGCATTATTAACTTTCGGAGGTGGAAGAATAGTTGCGCAGTTTGATTTTGTTCGTCTAAAAGAAACAATTTATCTCCATGAATTTGAGTTCATTATTCTACTCACTTGAGAATTGTTTGTTCCAATTGTTTCCAATAGTTTTTCTCTTGTTTGACAAGAGTCTTTATCTGACGGTTGTAATTATTAATTTCATTTTGTAAGACTTTCAATCGCTAATAACAAATCCAACCGAATGAACAGAATCAACTTTTGCATTTTCACTTACTTTTTGTAAACCATCCGATAATGAAGTTGATTGACAATACTCATGCAATAAATCGCGATCACGCAGTACCTTTCGTAACTCTTTCGCTAAATCATTTTCCGTGTATTGTAATTGTCGATATATTCGTGTTTGATCTGAAGAAAGTGAAAAATGAACGAATGATTTTCGATTTATGAAAACACTTACGAATCAAAACACTTTTGCGAATCAAACGTCGTGCCAATCGACAAGTACCTCGATGTTTAAAGAACAATTCATTATTCCACGTTGTCCGATACTCAATGATTGTTTCACCACTCATTTAATTCAATCTGAAAACGAAAAAGATATCCGTATTTGTTTTCTATATTGCATAGAAACTATTGTTCCTTTCGTCTTCATTTTTCTTGAAAAACAAAACCAGAAGAGCACACAAACAAATACAAAAAAAGAACTCATGGAATTGAAGAATAATAGCGATAACAGCGTTATTCAAGAAGAAGGGAAACACGCAGAGAAAGAAAAAAAAACACAATTTCATTTGTGTAAGACAAGCTATACAAAAAAAGAAACAACCAAGAGAACATCATTTTGCAAAAAAGAGATATAAAGACGTACAGCAGAATTGCACAAGAGTTTCCAATATTGTCGTTTCAGAAAGTTTTAGATTTCAAACAAAAATACATTGCAACAAAGAAACAGAAAATAGAAGATCCACCGGCCACCAACAAAACAAAAAAAACAAATTCATCGTACTGTTGAGTTCTTGTTATTCAAATACTTGGAAGTTCAAAGTATACAAAAAACAAAATCAAATGAGGATCCATTGGTTACTCGAAAACAAAAACAATATTTCAGCGACATATCCTGCATTGGGTAGAATTCATGTGGATGTAGTTTTACTTAACAGCATTGGCTGTTTCTTCGAACTAAAACAAATGAAAATGAAAAGAAGATGCGATAATTCGATGGAATTTTTCAACATACCACAAAGGACATGCAAACAAGACAACATAGACAAACAAACAATGAGATTTAGATCTCGCTTACGTGTAATCTTTGCATGATACTACTGTATAATTGAGAGTTCAAATCTTTTTCTGGTACACCTTGCAATTCAAAACTTCCGCGAGTTTTCTGTTTAATTGAAATGAATCAATCAAAATTCAACTTTGAAGATTGTCTTACTTTAACTATCAACATTAAACAAGCTAGTTGATATGGATGAAGACTGATTTCTGTTCGTTCGCCCAACCAAATAAAAATGTACTGTGTTTGTTGTCGATACCATTCCTAATGAAATAAACAAATGGAAATTTGTTTTGAATGGGAAAATCTGAGAGACAAACTTCGAAAATATTCAATGTGAATATTTCATCACTTATTTTCTGCCGTAGTTGTTCGAGATTCGTATTCACACATGAAACATATGCCTGACCATCTTCATTGATTGGTTTCTAATAAGAACAAGTTGAATGATATCATTTCATGAAAATTTCTTACTGCTAATGAAAGAATTTGAGCAAAGAATGTTCCTTCATCGTAACGCGCAAGTTTTTTGAAAACAGAATCAAGAGCACTGATTAATTTTTGTATTAATGCTTTCGACATATCTTTAAGAATTTTCTCTAAATATTCATCAATACGTGTGTGATATTGATGAAGATCACCGCTATTCAATGCACATAGTTTTAAAGCCTAGAGACAAGACAAAAAAAAAGGCAATGTCATTTCGATGAGAAATTCTCGGAGAATCGAGAGTCTTTACTTGAGCTTTACAATCAAGAATGACATTCACCATTACACAACATTCAGCTGGGAGAAGATAATCAGAACTCGTTCCACTAATTAAACCACCTTTTTTCATCCATGTTTCGAAATGACGGTATACTCTACACGGAAATAGAATATGTGAAGAAAGATCTTTTCAACTCGATCACACCTTTTCCCACATGCTTCGATCATGTCTGAAGCCATTTGTTTTAATCGTTTTTCTAAATGTTCACCAAAGATTTCGTCCGGCTAGAAAATGAATACAAATATTTATTCGTTTATTTATCAAAAGATCAATTCGTACCCAATGTAGATGACGAATGAAATCTTGTAAAGCATCAAGTTTCCATAAAATATCTTCACTTGTTGCACATCCATGCCTAAAACATCGAAAATCAATGTGATTCTCATTACCATCATAGAATAACTCACGTTTTCATTTTCCAGTTTTCCTTTTCGAAACCTTTATGTATCGATTGAGCTATACACGATTCCATTAAATCAACATAACGAACAACCAATGGAACAAATGTATCACGTAATTGCTGATGAAATCGACCTAGTGCTAGAGATTCTACAAGAACAGAGATCATCGAACTTTTTCAAACAAAACACATTTCAACAATCTTTACCATGTCCTCGAAGATAATCATTTAACAATTGAAACAATGGAAAGGAATCCCAACTTTCAATTGGCTGTTGATCGATGACATGTTCCATGTCAACAGCGAATAACGACCAGAAGATTTCTTCGTGTTCGACTAACAATTCACGATACTGTTGAAATGCTTCTTGATAATGTTCAGCATCTTGTTGTAGCAATTCAATGCACAGTTCAGCTAGATGAATCAAATCGTCGATTTTCTTTCGCGGTGAATCATCACTATTGTAAACCGTTTCTATATAAAAATATGAACATAAATCAAAAGAATATACAAGTGAAGAAAACAAGTTATTGTTCATTTCTTTGCTGTAGTATCAACTCATTGATCATCGATTTTCGCTAATATCATAACTTTAAAATAGAAGAATGTTCATCGTTTATTAAACATCATTCAAATAGAGATTGAGTTATACGTAAAAGTTTATTGTTAATCAATTGTTTCAGTATCTCTCGCTCGCCTGGAACAAGAATAAATCAATCAAACTAACACATATATCCTCGTCTTAGATATTGATAGAGCAAATAGCAAAACAGGAGATGTTTCTTTTCCAACAATTTACCTTCAATCTTTGCTTGGTCGGAGACACGAGTGTAGTTGATATAAGCAGCATTTTCCAGACATTTTCCAATGAAATTCCGTATCTCGTCACGAGAAATCGGTGTTGCTACATCTTTTGATGAAACACGTTCCAGTAAACTCAACGTTGCTTTCAATGCACCTTCTGGCCGACCGAATGGAAATGAATATCTAAATAACAAAAGGATATCCACCATTGTCTCACATTCAGACGAACGAACTCACCGAAAATTGGTTACTTGATGTTCAAGAAACGCTTTCAGACGATCTTTTATTTCATTGAAACGATCTTTCTCCTCCATTGTGATCGTCGTTACATTATTATCAGGTCGATTTCCTGAGACATGTGAAGCACAAAATACATAACTATAATGAATCAATTGTGGATCAACCATAAATCCTTGTTCAGCTCGATCAAGTAAATCATTTAAATAATATAAATGCCGCACACAACCACGAACGCCATATCGAGAACAATACTCTGAAGAAAGAATCGATTAGAATTCCTACAAGCAACTCGGGCAGTTACCTTCCAGGATGTAACTTTGTCCAGGACTTAGCCAACCCTAGAAAAGAAAAACAACGGAAGCAATCGTGTCATGTGTTCTTGCTTATCGCTGTAAAACTCGATTGTTTTCATACGTACTAATGAACAATATGGATCGTTCAATCGATAATCCAATGTTGCTGATTGTAATACTTTGAAAAAATCATGATGGTCAAATTTACATGGATCACTTTGAATGTATTCGTCAAAACCCAGCTTTTTCGATCGATCTGCGTCTAAAAGAACCAACAGAGAAGAATGTTAACATAAGTTCATAGACGATGTGTTAAATAGATATCATTCATGGAGAAAGAAAATGTTCTCATGCAAAATGAATTCATCATTCAAATATGATGTACATGCCATGCTCAAAAATCCATGAAACTCAAACTTCACATTGCTTCGCTGGAATTATCTTGAATAAACTTCGAAAATAATTGGCTCGCTCAACGAGATCGTACGACTGAGTACGGGAAACAGGTAACTGTCCTACAGAAAAGATTTCACTTTTCTTCATTTGATCTTTCCAAGAAAATTTATCAACATTTCGATATTTTCTCTTCTGAACTACATACCAGCTGGATCTTTTGCAGTAGATCCAACAGCACCTTGACTTGTTTTGTTTGTCGCCGTTACCGGTGGTGTCGGTTTATGTGATTGACCAGTAGCACGATATAGTGCTTGTACCCAACTATGACGTTCATTCTCTTCATTTGTTGCAAATGTCACAACGTCACCTTCACGTACAGCTTTAAAAAAATATTTCGCATCGTGCATCACCAAACCTATACAATCATAAGCACAACGATAGAATGTAATGATTTAACCGGAAGATTTAATCTACCATTGTCTGGTTCAGCATAATCAACCGTATAACCTTCGAGGGGCATGGTTTCGGTAGGTTCAGATTTCTTTTCACGATAACTACATATAGCAAACCAATATTGCGAAACCTAAATATTCCGAAGATGGATTGTGGAATTTCAGTGATCGAAATTGCAATTACCTGAACTAGTGCATAGTATCGTCGCTTCCATGTCTTCCAAACATTTTTTCCACGAGCATAGCACCAACTGAAAATTCATAGTCATATTTGTTCTGTTTCTTTTCTCTTCTATATTTGATACATACCCACACATTTTAAGATTCTGTGGTTTCTCCATTCGTACATCTAATTTAACTTTTAATTCATCTGTAGATGTACTTTTATTTTTAATCATATCCGTCCACCAATTAGTTTTGTTAAATGTTGGATCGATTTGTAGTGTCACTTTGCCAAGTTTATTATCGTCTAAACTAAGTATCCCTGGATTTTCCATATAAAGTTTCACTTTAACAATGGGTAGGATTAAATTCGTAGGAAATTCAGCTAAAGACTCCCAAACAGGTTTTCCTGCTTCGGCATGTTCAGTTCGGTATTTTTCACCACCATCCACTTCCATCGTACAATAAACAATACGATTTGATGGCACAGATTTCAATCCACGCACTTCCTTCACTGTGATATTCACATTAAAATTTAACACAAATGCTAATTTGGATAATCCCGGTTCATTGTCATCTAAATGATTGGTGCCATCGTCATTAGCTGGTCTTGTCGCAGATTTGCCACCTGACAATGGATTACTGCCAGCACTTGTAAGGCGGCCATGGCCTGGACCACGTCGTGGTCGTAATTGCTTTTGTTCGGAGCCACCACGTACGGGTAAACTTTCCAAATTACCCATCAGATCATTGATCGTCTTTTTTAGTTCATCAACATACAATGTGTCCATTTCCTTATGTACAAATTTCGGCATCAAGCCTCGTTGCTATAACGAAATAAACAGAACTCGATGAGTAAAAATGATGGTTCATTCATTTTCAATCTGAGTCATGCTGCAAGATTCCGTCTAATTCGTATCTCATGCAAGCAATGGAGTACTACTATCAAAGAAGACACCTTTTTCATCTTTTGACAAAGATCATTTAATATATCCTGGAATAAGTAGAATTAACTTGAACTTTTCATTTATTATTTTTACTAAATAGTTCATCACTCGAATAGATTTTTCTAGTTTACTTACTCGCTGCAGTGACTCTGCTTGTTTCATTCGTCCATCTAGTTCACGACGAATAGTGGCAGCTTGTTCGTCATTATTGTCAAGCTAAACATAGAATATTGAGAAAATCGAACTGTATTTTCTCTATCCTTACTTGAGCGCTATTGAAAATCATTCTAAAAGAGGAAAATAAAAGTATTTTTAGCAATAGAAAGATCATTGAAGTCCGTTTTCACTTACTGATGCTCAAATTTTTTAATATTCAAAATATTCTGAAACATATCGTATAATTGTTCTTTGCTCATAATTAATTCCGCTGTCGTTGACATATAATTCGATTTCGATAGACGACGATTCGGATTATCTTGATCTTGATCTTGGCCACGGTAGATAGCATCAAATTTTGACATCCATAGAGTAAGCACCGTGTCTTTGCTTATTTTTAATGAGTCAATATCAGGTAAGTTTCGCACACGTTTCTCGATATTGATACGAAATACATCACGAAAATCATCTGAAGAACAACCACCGGATTGGACCATCTTGGCCACACGTTCACTTTTCAAAAAGACTTCGTAATATGAACGAACAGCATTAGTAAAAGCTAAAATGAACAATATTATTCATTGAACGATAAAGAGACATGATAATCATACCTTCATCAGCTTCAATATGGGTTTTTCCATTGAGAAAAGATAAGAATCTTTCTTTGATAACTCCATATTGAATGAGAGTCACTTTCAAATGTTTTCGTGCCATATCTGACGACTGTTTCGAATTAAATGGGCATGCAATGCAACGACAAATGAAGACGTAAATTTGTAAACGTTTTCGTTTGAATTCTAATTCACGTTCGACACGTTCAATTTCTTCACGTTCACGTTCACTCAATAACGAAGGCGACGGGGAAGGCACACGATCAATGGGCACACCAGTAGTACTCGACAGTGTTGTACCTGAAAACGAAATCAAAATGTAGTTATTGCAGATCGAGCGAAATTACCAGTACTTGATACTGATGGATATCCATGTACTGAACGGTGTTTCGAATTGATCAATGAATGATCTGGACTTCGTACGACATTTGGTTGCTGTGGTTGTAGTGATGGATGTATTGGTTCTTCTGAAGATCCAGTCGAATCCGCACTCCTCAAACTATGTGTTTCAGCTTTGAGAATTGTCAAGGGTTGACTGGTGTCCTGTTGAAAACTGGTTTGTGTTGATGAACGTATACATAATGCTGGTGATTCAATAAATGAACTCGTTGGTAAACTAGGTAATATTCGATGTATTGGCATTGGTGATGGATGTACATGTGGATGATGGATTGGTGATGCTTTTCCTGTTGGCGGTAAATGATCGACATTAGCTGATTTAGGCGGTAGTAATGGTGAACTTGTTGTTGTTGCGGGATATGAGGCCGTCTGGTATGGTGTTACTGGTCGAATTGATAAAGGAATCGAACGATTTGGCGACACCTTATACAAACAAACATATCGTTTTATTTGAGGATGAGAGTGAAACTTACCGGCTGATGGCCAACTGCACCTCTTTCGAAATCACCGACAGCTTCATCATCATCATCATCCGTAGAATCATGCAACATAATTTGTTGTCTTCATTATTCTACATTAGGTAGCCTCATCAATAAGACGATAGATAGAATTAACCTAATCATCAATGTTTAATTACATCTTATCAATGACATCTATTTCGGTATTCTTGTATATATATATCTATATCTATAGAAAAATTTATTTTTGTTTTATTCTAAAACAGGTAACAAAAAATAATTAATAAAAAGTTAAATAGAAGAGTTATTAATGTCTCGACATAAAAGCTCTTATTTAATCCAAATAAAGTCATCGTTTAGTTCGATCCTAACAGAAACCAAAGTAAACAATCACAGACGGACATCCTCTTCGAATTGACTTGGCTCCTAACTCTAAACTCTTGTTGGTACGACTAATTGAAATCCGTCTCTCTTTTCAACTGGTAGTTCTCATCGATGATACTCGGTTTAGTTATTATTATTTCTTCACGAACGCACGAGTGCAAGCGTGCGTCGGTTCTTTCTATTGTCTCTCTAAAAAATAGTTAAATTATATGACGCGAAACGATGATAGGACAACCAATGATAGTCATATGAGCGAAAGAAATTCATATGCATATAAATAAATAATAATCTATATCTTTTCTTTACTTAATGGCTAAACCATATACTAGTTCAATAGTTCCATCTAACAATTGACTTACCATATATATAGAGAGAGAGTGGCTCAAGAATATTTATTCAGTGCAAAGAAATGCGACAATATGTTTTTGTTTATTTCTTTTTTCAAATTCGGTCATGAACGCTTATTTCATCCCTTTCATCTGTAATTTTCCTCCAGTTACTTCATAAGATTGGTACAATATCTTACATAAGCATAGAAAAGAAACAGCATGCGTTTGATGTACGCGTGTGCGAGCATTCAAACGCATAAACTAAGTTTTTTTTTTCTTTTTTCTTCTCGTCTGCGAACGATAGTTTACCATAGAGAAAAAATACCGAAGAGAAAGGAAGGCAAAGTAGAAAATTAGCTACTACTATCTAACATCAAGAGAGCTATGGTTAACAACATTGTGCAAACGAGTTACCTTCGTCATGTTGATGGTATATATGCGTGGAGAGTCAATTTCTCCTCGTCATGTGTTCACATAATTTGTTTTATCATAGCGAATGATCGTCAAGCAACTGTCAACAAAAGCACATGATCATCTTATCAATGTATTTGTTGATGAAATGAATTATTGTCAGAGAAAGTTAACGAAGGCAACATCTTTGATTATATAGTCTTGACGTATCAAGACACACGCACACTCTTCATGATGAACTGAGGGCAAGAGAAAGTACAGGAAGAACAACAAGAATCGCTAATCGATTAGATGCAAATCCTCTTCGATAGAAAAAAGAATGATGAGATGAAAACGATTAAGGAAATGAATTGGTCACAAACATTCTTACCAAAAAAAAAAAGAGAGAAAAATGAATATGAATAGAAATGCAAAAGAAACACCTTTTCCCTTTGTTTTCTTCCTTCTGCAGTATGTAATGAATACCACTCAATGGAAAAGCTCAAGCAACAATCTATACATATACTCATCTGGATGAAAGCCATTGACCTTGATATATACAAAAGAAGAAGTTACACGAGAAGAAATTTCTTAGAAGCTAATCATCGCGTCAAAACGACTACTTGTCTTGATACCATTTCTTCCACATATACGCACCTGATTAGTAATAGCAGACAGTTTTGATGTGTCTCAAACATAATTATCTCGAAGAACTAAAAAGAAGTGGAAGAAAAAAGCAAGTAGCGAAGAAAGACAAGCAAAGAACGAAGAGAACGGATTTCTTCTTTTTTTGTAAGTTAACAATGCCAGTAACAATCTTATCTTGAAACAAGCCGATAGTATTTGTTTTTCATCAATAGTAATTTGGAACGTCATCGGACACATATTATGACAAAGACATGTTAAAGAGAGAAAATCGTCAATGTATTTTTCTTTATAGATTCACCGAACGTAAGATAAATATCTCGACTGAACGAATCCATCATTTTGTCAATGTATACTAATCAAGAAGTCTGTTTTGCTTTCTTTGCCTGGCTTTTCCTCCATTTTTTTCCATTGACATTCTCGCGTCACTTCTCACACACCCCAGAGGACCAGTTTTCCTCTCGCTTACTCCTTTTTTTTCTCTTGTTTTAAAGGACATTTGGTGTTTACTTACATATTTCTAAAGATGGCAAAGAGAAAGACAAGCATTCTAACGAAAACACAAAAAAACGAGTATATGTCTGGATATATGTCAACAACACAGAAGAGTAGAAGAACTCCGAGACTAACTACCGAAAGCCGAAGTATATATGTAATGCCAACATATACACAAAAAAAAGAGAAAAAGACCCATGGAATACTCGAGCAACTCTAATTGACATTTGCGTTCTTGTAGTATAACACGTAAAGTCATAAAAAAAATCTGACTTTCATACATACTGATCTATGAGAAACTAGGCATTGAGTTAATGCCGATGCTTGCCGGTGTATATTTAATAAGTCATATCTAGTGACAACTGTGAATAGAAAATCAGACGACGATCAACATGATGAAATTTGATAATGATCTTGTGGAAACATTCTAATCTCAACTGTAGAACACAAAAAAGTAATAATCTCTATATCATGAAAAAAATTCTTCATCAATCAAACAGCTAACTAAAAAAGAAGAAAAAAAAAGAACGGAACAAATAAATAGAAAACAGCTTTTTCATTGGTTCAATTAATCAAACCTGACATCTAGATGTAAAAACAATCGGCTATTGGCATATTAATGAACCAAACATTTCGAATAAGGTTTTGTTCTGTATGTCATGTCACAGATAGATATATGTTTTTTCCTCACGTTCTATTCACATTAAAATCGCATGGCGAATTATGTCAGTATTACATCTCCTCATCGAGAGACAATTGTAAGTGATCATAAATATCGTTTACGATATTTCAAAACTCCAGCTTGGTGTCCATACTGTGAAGATTATATTTGGGGTTCGGGAAATATTGGTTATCAATGTACGAACTGTGGAGACTATTTTCATGTGGAATGTACATTAGTTTTAACAACAGGATCATGTCCCGGTTTGAGTGCATGTCATCCGAATAATCGAGCGTTAGTCACACATGATTCCAGTATACCTGTATGTGATTGGACGGTTAATGATGTGTGTGAATGGTTAGCTGTTGTAAATCTCTATCGTTATGCGCCGAATTTCCAATCGTTGAAGTATGATGGTGAAATTTTATTATCATTAACCGATGAACAGTTGAAACACGATCATATTCATGATGTGTTTCAGCGTCAATCAATATTAGATGCAATAAAAGAATTGAAAACGCGTGATAAGTATCGTCCGATCTCGTTCGAACGTTTTCGTACGCAGTTGACGACAAATAATCACGGAGATAATTTCATTTGTACGACATTCTACGAACGAAGAACTTGTGATTTATGTGAAAAATATCTATACGGAATTATTCATCAAGGTTTACAGTGTAGTCGCTGTGGTCTTGTTATGCATCGGCAATGTTCGAAATTACCTTCGAAACGTTGTGTACATACGAATAAACAATTGGAATGCCATATAATCATCGGTACCGATTTCAACGATCAACCTATTGATGCAAAAACGCAATTGCCTATTATTATCACACGATTATGTCAATCTTTAGAAATAATGGTGCAAGAAAATCCGGCATTATCATTAATTGATGCCTATCGATTCTCCATTGAATCTGCACGTATTGCTCAATTAAGAAAATTAATTAATGATAATGTATTAGAATATTCTTTTCTTATTCTTATCGTTTTGTTTATTTAACATTTCTTTTTTAGGACATCGAACAAATGGATTTCAAACGAATGGAACTATCCGAATTAGCAAGTTTAGTTAAAGTTAGCTTGAAAGAGCCAGGAATAGGTAAATAGCAAAGTTTTGTTTAAATTTAATAACCATTTGTACGACTTAGGTATCATACCTGATGAAAACTACGAAGATTTCCTTCGATTAGTCAATGCTCCTACTCAAGTCATTCAAGAATTTGTTGTTAATTATTCCATGCCTTTCTATGTTGATTTTCTCAAATTTATCATGTGTCATATAATTAAAATTTGGAAGCTTGATTATGAATTTGCTATGAAAAATATCAATCAACATCATGCTGTTAAACCCTATGAACCCGAACGAGTGGTCGATAAACTCGTTGCAATATTCAAACAACTTATCTTTCGGTAATTCATCATACTTCATCATAAACCTATCATTTTTTATTGTTGTTTAGACCACCATGGCCAATGATCATGTCCCATTCACGTAATGACAAAGATCATGTACATTTACTGAAACGTTTTATCTATGAAATCGATTGGGATGTGGAACGACCACCATTCAATGCTTTTCAACAAACACCACCGCTTACCACAGCTATTTCTCAAGAACAATCACTTGATCAATGCCCATGGTTTTACAAACGACAAGATCATCAGTTATTAGTCAATAAACTTTCGACGAATTCTATTGCAATTAATGACGGTGATTTTTATGTTCGATTTTCCACCGAGGCAAGTGTATCGGCACCTTTCACACTCGTTGTCCAACTCGATGGTCAACAGCGATTTATTAAAATCTGTATGAATAAACAAGGTCAATACGGTTTTTCGTTAAACTCATGTTTTTTCCCATCGATACAAGAACTAATTCAATATTACACACAAAATTCGTTATCAAAACACTTTCCTATCTTAAAATCCGATATGAAATTGAATAAACCCATCCGTCGTGATATATTTCTATCCAATACCGGTTATGACGACACCGATAGCTATGCTGCTGGTCTCTCGAACATCAAACACGATATTAATCTTTTGCGCATTACTCTATTAGAATTAACCAACAAATATACGGAAATGGAGCAAGAGTGTTCGTCATTAAAAGTTGAAATTGATCAAATTACAGCGTATATGAGTGAAATACAACGATCAACTATGGCATACGGAAGGTAGATCGTATTGAATTGAGGAAATGAAGTGGATGTAATTGATTTGACTTTTAGAATTCAAATGATTTACGAAAAACAAATGAAACTAAATCGTGATAATTTCCTACAATGTCAAAAAGTAACAGAAAAAAGTGAATTTGATCGTTCATTCAAGTACCTTGAACAACGTGTCGAACAATTTGTCAATAATCTCAAAGGATTAAACGAAACTTACACGGAACGGCAACTAAAACGCGAACAATTAGTTAAAACACTCGAAAAAATCAAAGTCGAAATGGTCAGCTGCGAAAACAAGATCGCCATGTGTGTTAAACTAGTTGGTGATAAAAATGTTGAGCAACATGAAATTAACAAGTAAAGCCGCATTTCTTTTTCATTCGTTTTCATCTAATTTTCTTTTCCGAAACTAGCTTTCTCGGTCTGCCAACTGATGAGCCATGGTATTTAGCAAATATTACACGCGAAACTGCTCATAAGTTATTAAAACCATGTGGTGAAGGAACATTCCTTATTCGTACATCATCCAATGGATTATATGCATTAACATTAGTTCATAATAATATGATTTATGATTGTCGCATTGGTCGTGATCCAGCGAATTCCTATGCCTTTCGATTTATTGCTTCCAATGTACCTAAAAATGCGCAGGCAACTACAATGAATGGAAACGTTACTGCTTATTGTGATCGATCTTTTTACTCATTGAAGGATTTAGTAGAATTCTATAAGAAAAATTCATTGGCTGAAAATAATCCTGATTTAAACACATGTCTAACAGTGCCGATTAAATTGCATGCAAACGTCAAAATATAGATTTATTTACTCTGTCGTCACATTCATTATCATCGCTTTCTCTTTCTCTCTCTCTCTCTTTTATATTTTATTGTCAATAACAATAAAGATATCTCATTTTATGTTGATTGTTCATACACTGGATTGCAGTGAAGTTTGATTTCACTCCAGCGAGTTCGTAGACGTTCACGTCGGTCGAGAGAATTCGCTTGTCTAAAGAAAAAGCTGAGTAATAGTTGAGATAAAATCGATTGGCGTACCTTTGAAGAAAGATTTCTTTGATTTTTTCATCAAATAATAAAGCAGTTTTGTCAATCTCAACAACCGGAGATGCCTTTTTCGAATGAGAAGCAGCTGCTTTGGATGGTTTTGTTTCCGCGACTGGTTCGACATCATCAACAATCGGAGGTTGACGTTCAGGATAAAAACTTTCCAATGAAGGAAAGTGTTCTAATGGTACACGATAAAGACGTAAAGATGATGGTGTATTTTCTTCTTCTGATGATTGATTCGTATTCTCAGGTACTGAAATCAATCAAGATTGATAAACAAAAAAGAATTTCGAGAATTTGATATGTACCTCCGATAATAATGAACCTTGCATCGTCTACAAATGCAATTTGAAATGGTTCGCTTTCATTTTTAGTCGAGTCAGGCAAGATTATTTCACATAGTTGTGTACATTTTAATGCATCGTTTATATAAATACGATTTAATTCATTGATAGTCACAAACTGAAAATTGAGATGAACTTCTAGGCTGTTTTCTTCTTTGTCAAGATGTTTTCCTTACCATATTCGATGGATTACAATTGAAAAACATCATCTGAATGATCTTGGATGCATCTTTACTTTGCTCTCTATTCAAATTTGTGAAAATCGTTTGATTTAATGATGAATAGTGTGCACATACGATGGAAAACAAACAATTGGACGTTGTTGTTCGTCCATATTTTCATCGGGTAATGTTGCTTTGAATTTCACTCGATAGATTCTACCATCGTTCGATAAAACAAAGAATCCGTTGTTTTTCTTTTGATTATTCGTCGTATTCAATGAACATTCATGAGAATCGAGTGCATGAATATCGAGAGCTGGAACTGAACCAATATGTAGAACAGTAGGGAGATCATTGACACCTAGAGTAACTCAAACAAGTCACACTTTCCATTGTTTAATCTCAATTCTCAAATTACCGTTGGTTCGTTCAATGATACAGATATTTCCTGACTGAAGGCCGACAGCAAGATGTTCATGCTTGGTATCATAGGATAAACTAGTGATCTGAGTGGAAAACGGCCATATTGTCATTGGACGAGCATCTGTTGATTCTGAAACAAGGATGCATCGAAGTTAATTGAAGCAAAGAACTTCGAAGATTTTCATTTACCTTTTCCTTTACTGTCAGGTTTGGCAACTTTGTAGAATAATAGTTGATTTATCGTTGGCCAACTAACTGCCAGTGTATTTATTCCTAAGAAGTTTGAAAAAAGGCATTAGTTATTCAAATGAATATTTCAAATACCTGTTGGTGTTCCAGCCGGAATGAAAACCATAGTTGGGATCCTAGAAGAAAATCTGGTAGATTGTTTTCATAGAGAAGGATTTTTACATGGATGGAAGGAGTTCTGATTTAGGTACTGTTATTGGTCGATCATTCACATCTATTTTCTTTGATTGTAACATGAGATCTCTGATCAATACCGTTTTGAAGTCAATAATTTGTGAAGTGAAAAAATGATTTGCTGTTCCTTGTCCAATATTGGTTGAGTTTTCGGTGTTTTTCATCAGCTGTTGAAAATTATTCGAACCTAAACATATGGTTAGAAAGTTCAATATATTGCATTTCTTCGCATACCTGGACTAAATTTAGGAGCTTTAGCTTTGAACAGAACTGTTGGACGAGAGAATTGAGCACGCACTAATGTCATTTCGCTGTCTACTGGTGGATCAGTTGTGTTCTCTTCGGATTGATTCTTACTCGTAGCAATTACCTATAATAATCACAATTGATAAAACGATTCGAAAAACCCGATCTAAATACTTGTTCTTGATTTGCAATTTCTGTTTTCCATTGCTCTTTCGGTAATTTGTACACTTCGATCCAAGAATCATGATTGACACCTAAGTTAAATCGAGATTATCCCTAACAATCTCTCCTGAACCAGTCATTTCAACATACCAAACCAAGAAACAATTAAGTACTCATCTTTCAATCCAGTTTGAGTTAGCAAACATGATGGACGTTTACTATCATCCTACAAAACATCCGACTAACTTCGAATAGCTACTCAAATGTTCTTTTCATACTTCTGTTTCATATTGAGTAAATAGTAGATAGTATTTTTGATTCTTATAAGCCATCATTTTCCAATATCCTTCAAACAAATGCATAGAGAAAAAAAAACTCGAAACTTTTCCATTTATTTAACTTTACCAGATTTATCGATAACACTTAAGAAATAGATCGTGTTTTTAATCGATGTTTCTGTTTTAAACACAACCATTTGTTTTAATAGACTGTCAATTGGAACTTGATTGACGATTTCATCGACTTGATTGTCATAACAAACAATGTATGACTGTTCATTTTGGATTCCATTAAAAAAACACAACGTTCCAGATATGTGACTGCCAATCAATGATACAGGAAATGGAATCTAAAGCAAAGAAAACGGACTTGTGTAATCAGAAGTGAAATTGAATAGATTCGCACGTTTATTATTGTCGAGGATGTATGTTGTGCAGAGACAAATTTAGCTTGTTCAGAGGCGCGATGCTTTTCGCGTTGTTCGATGATAGTCCAAGCTTCGTCAAATATCGATTCGAGAACTTTATTGATTCGTCTAAGGACATTTGCAAATCAATTTTCGTATTTTTTCTTCAGCAGAACATACCGAAATGGTTGAGGTAATTGATCAAACACTAACGATGGATCTAAAGTGAAATCTGTTCGGTCATTTAAAAATCCTTGTCGAGAAGGTACAGGAATAAATGGTTCGCTTTCAGTTGAACGATCTCTAAAATGATCAAAATGATTATCAACATAATGGTAAAGCTAAACAAACTTCAGAGAAGTTGCTGACGAAGTTTTCGTTTGGATACGACGACGAGCAGCACTCATTATTGAGAAATAATCTAAAAATAATGTCGGCGTGAGAATATATTGAAATTAGAGATTAAATTGCACAAAGAAAGGGGAGATGTGTAGGTTTTGCGTTTAGATAAATAGAACAACAAAGATGTTTAGTTAATAATTCTCAGTACATTGTCTTCGTCTAAATCTTTGCGTAGTTTTGCGTTAATTCGATTCCAATCAATGTCAACCTATCATAAAAGAGAAAGTGATCAAATAATGAAAAACAACACACTACAAAAAGTACTGTTTTCATTGCTTGCAGATACTTGGAAATAGTCTCTTTTCTTCGGTTTCCATATTCGTTCAAATATCTTTGTCGAAAACCAACAACTACATCCAAATATTGAGGATACCGTTGAGTCAAATCAATAGCACTAAAATCATTTCCTATAACGAGAACATTTTCGCATTAATTTTCAATCACAAACCGATCCCAATTATGTTCATTGATATATAACATGATAGCGTGTAGAGGCTTGTTTCCCCGAAAATAATACTCCGCTGCCTGTTGTACATCCCCACCAGTAAGTAATACTAGTTCAGCTTCACATTCGTCTTTCGATGTAACCAAACGAAGATGCTGTAGAAATAAAATCATTTCGGTCTAAATGAAGTTCAAATGGTATTTCCAATGCAGAATTTGATTTTACATTTGATAATTGAGCGAATGCATTCTCTGCTGAGTCCAAATCACGATTGTACAATGATCTCACTGCAATCAAACTGTAGATCGAATCATCCTAAACAAACACATCGCTATCTTTTCCAAATAAACCCATTAATTGTTACTGAGATGTATTGACACAATTGTAAAGCTTCATCTCCTCGATTTGCAGCAAGTAAATCCAGACAAAGTTCGTAGTAGATTGGTATTGCACATTGAATCAATGCACCAGTGGACTTACGAATCGTGATTTGACAGCCGAGGAAATTCACAATCGATGGATTTTTGCCGAAATCACTAAGAGAAACAGTCTTCTTATCGCACGTGCATTGCCATCATTTACAATTACTTTGATTCTATTCGATATACGGTTTTGTTTAGTAAACTTGGATCGATGAAAACTACGTTTGGATAGAGCCAAATGGTTAATTTTCCATCAGCAATACAAGCTAGCATACCATTTTTCTCATTCCAACGGAAACTGCTTACATTTGTACCTTAAAATACAAAATACAATAAAGGTGTGGACAAAACTTATCGAGGAAACGTTACAGAGCTTCCGCAGTTTTTGGTAGTTCGATTGTCGATGTTGTCCAGAAGTATGAATACACATAACGAAAAGATCTTGAAACTTATCGATAAATGCAAGTTTTCGTTCATGAGTTGAACTTGTTTGATCAAGTGTCAAATAAGTTATATCATGCTAAACAGAAGAAAAACTAATAAATACATGATGTTCAACGAATTGATTTACCTTATGCGAAGTGAGTTTTCCATCTCCCATTGGCTTTCCATTAATATCAAAGAACATGACGGCTAAGTAGACGAGAAATATCAACCATTGAAGGAAATTATTGCATGAACTTTAGCTTACACTTCATATTGGTTGAATCTCGTATAGCGATCGTGTCATGACTCACTGAAATAGTGTTTATATGGATCGAATTCGGTCTAGGTGATATTAACTTCAGAGTTGAAACAAATCGACCTTCATATAAATAGACTGAAACATTCATTCCATCGGAAAGAAGAAAATATCTATATAGGACAGAATTGTGAAAAAGATATTTAGTAGAAATGTTTATTTACTTCTCTGTTTGAACAATTAAGTTCATAAAGATATCGCGCAAATCGAATAGAACCGGATGACCGAGTTGTTTACAACTGAATAGAAGTAAATATGGTAGTTTAGTGGAATATTCTTGAACTTTTGATTACTTATAGATTAAACCTTGATTGGTAGTCAGAACGATTAAAAATCCAAAGCCAACAGACATTTTGACAAGACGATCTCTTAATTCTATTCGATCGCTCAATTCTGTTTCATAGTTATTGACAGTGATCATTTTCGAATCAGTAAGAATGAATTCGAAATGACGCCAGCTCATACCACTAAAATGCAAATGTTTCTACTTTCCATATTCTCAACCTCTATCATAAAACTTAGTACCGTTCAATTATATGTCCAATTCCAATTCGACCAGTTCCACACCCGCACGCTAATTGTGTGCTATCGCTGGACCATGATACACTAAATATACTGCCATCGTTGAATCTTTCAACCGAATGACACCACTAGAAAATGGAGAAATTTGAAAAAAAATCTCAATATATTCCATTCGAACTGTTTCAAATGCATACACCGACACTATCACATAATCGTATGGTATTATAAGAACCCACAGCAAAATTTTGACCATCAGGTGCCCAGGCGAGACTTGTTATAGGGTACTCATACGCTTGACTAGTATATAATAGGCGACCGAGTGCATCCCATATCTTCATGGAAATGAAACATATGGTATAAACGGATAAAACTCAGATGATACATACTTTATATCGACAGTCTTCACTACCGGAAATGATTAGATTGTTTATTGCATTCCAGTCACATTTTAGAACAACTTGTTCGTGTGCTTTCCACTACAACAAGGTATCAATAATATATACAAAGATCGATTTGTAAGATTTCTGAATATCCATACAGTATTTTGTTTTGAATTGGATAGAAGTGGTTTTATTACGAGATGTTTTCCAACACAATAGAGTATTGAATTGTTATCAGGCGACCAACACAGACTGAATATTGATGTAACTAAACCTTCACACAATGTAAAAATCAATCGCTTGTTTAAAAGGAAATACCTGATTGGACTAGATTCGAACGCAATATACCCGATCGTCCCCATATTCGAACTTGTCCATCTTCTCCGCCTAAAACTCGAATCTGCGAAATGAAATATATTTTAAATGGAAAGTAACCTGTTGCTATTTGACTGCCATCTGAACTCCATCGTACACATATGATTGCACCTTGATGTGCTTCGACAGCTTTTTCCATGCGTCCAATTTTATTCACAAAAAAGAATTTACCTACAAAATAACTGATATGTGTTGTCTTCAATAAATAATCTAAGGAGTTCATACCATCGTTAGTAGCTAGAAGAAAAAGATCGGACCCAATGGCTTGTTTGCCTCCTGAACCTGAATTGACCATATGAACGATACCACTACTACCTAGACTTGTTGTACATCTCGGCAACCAGTGCATGTCAAGTGCATACAGATCTTGTTCTAATTCACCAATTTTACTCAATTCATTTTGTGCACCATTGTATTTATATATAATATGATCTTCTCCTATCGAGTATAAATCATCTGGTGACATCCAACCAATACAGTCCACACGGCCATAGTGTCGAAATGTTATGGGAAATGTAAATTTCAAACGCATCGTTCAGTTGAACTCGATCTCATAAAGTTTTACACTTCAATCGATCATGAACGTTGCTGCCATTGCTAAAGAATGTAGCTTAGTAGACACCTTTCAGAAGAGCACCTACGATTGAATGATTGGATGCGGTTAGCTCTAATGAAAGGAAAGAATGAAATAAGCAAGCAATAAGCAAAGCAAAGTGGAACGAACAAAAACAAATGAAAATAGTAATTGTAATTACGTGTTGCATTTAGCAATTTATTATCATTTCTCAAAATAAAACTTCAATGCCACAAATAGTACATGAACTTTCCTTTAAACGTTTTGTTGATTCATTGAAATTAACACCAAAATATCGTCTTGTTGAGTTTGGTGGTACGTATTATGTTCTATTTTTGAATAGAAGAGTCTATTTCATCCAATTTTTATTTGACTTTAGACATATGGGTAGAAATCTTTCTTTGGTGCTTCATGACTTCCATTGTTGTTCACTTCATCGCTATGATAATCGCTATTGTATCTTTGAGAAGTCATAAAATAGGCCGATGGTACTCACTGTTGATTATGTTAGCTGGTATAATAACACCGATTGTTCCATCTGCCCTTACAAGTGAATAGTCTTATGTTTTAAACTAGAATGTATTGAATGTTTGTTTCTTCTTGTAGCTGCACTTTTATCAGCAATATTTTATGCTGCATCTGTGGAAATTAAACCATTCTTTTGCTTCCTACTAGGTGTTGGTCAGACAGGTGTTATATTATTTTTCTCCTTTTTCAAAATCTTGTCTACATTATAACTGTGCTCAGATCAAATCAATCAATCGCAAACGTATCTACATCTATGACATTATCAAACATGCTTCCATGATAGATTTATATGTGCATTACTGTAAATTTTACGACAACGAGTTAAGAATAGTTCCCAAGCAAAATTCATAGAGCGTTAACAGAGTACATACTCTATTTATTCTTCAGAAAAGTTGTCTTGGCGTACAATAGTGTTATTTTTTTCTCATTTTTACATACAACAGCAGAAGTGTGAATAGAAATCAAAACAGCTTGTATAAATAAACAATCAATACACAACAACAAATACGAAACGAGAAAAACAAGTTTGATAATATATCTTATACATATGCACAGAATTTATTAAAAATAACCGCCTTGTACTGGCGGTGATTGTGGTGAAGCAACCATTGGTTGTTGCTGAGATATTGGAGCCATCATAGGTTGTTGCTGTTGAGGCATAGTAACCATTTGAGCTTGTTGAGAAGGTACTATCATGGGTTGCTGCTGTTGTTGAGGTGCTGCGATCACCGGCTGAGGTTGTTGAGAAGGTACTACCATAGGCTGTTGTGGTGCTACGATTACCGGTTGAGGTTGTTGCGGTGCTGCGATTACCGGTTGAGGCTGCTGAGGCATAGTAACCATTTGAGGCTGTTGAGGCATAGTAGCCATTTGAGGCTGCTGAGAAGCAGGTGCTATCACAGGTTGCTGAGGTGCTGTCATTACTGGCCGCGGTTGAGAAACGGGTGCCATACCAGATTGCTGAGGAGGAGCACTTGCCATCATAGGCTGTTGAGGTGGTACAAAACCTTGCCCCTGCGGAACCGGCTGTTGAGCAGGCATCGACTGTACAGGCGCTTGCTGCTGAGGAACCTGCTGAAGAGGAACTCCTTGTTGACCTTGGTTATTCTGCTTTTTACTCGAAGACGAACCCATTGCACTATTTTCTGAGAGAATGTAACGGTGAAAAAGTATATGAATAAATAATAATATGACGATGAAAATGGTGATGATCAGCATCTCAGGTATGTAAATCATTCATGTGTGTCTTTCGTTTACTCTTTGTTCTATTCTACGTAAGAAAATAATCAAAACAAAACGTCATGAGAAGACGATTTCCATCGAGAATATCATATTCACATTGTCTAATTTATTGTACCACGTGCTCATCCTTAGTCTCCCGAAGTGCCATTACCGTAAAATTTGCTTTAATGATAGTAGATTGCTAAGCTTGAGTTCGCATTCAAAATAAACAGTCTAACGTATATGAATCAGCTTGTGTCAATCACTTCATTTACATTACATATTCCAAATTTGGAGTAGAAAAACGGATCAAATGAATTGAACCGAAAGATAGTGTTCTAAATATCATCTTGATGACTAGCAACCAAAATATCTTGAACATATCTAAGTTTTACCTTTGAATGATGAGAATCGCATGTACTGAGGAGAAAGTCTATATATCAGCTACGAAATGATTACTAATAGCTGTGTGTTAGGCTAGTTTGTCACGCATTTATGATTGATTTTCTATACCAACCATCAGTTGATTAATCCAAATGTCTGCATTTATTATTGATGAAAGACGTCGTATTTCGTATTCTTTTCCAGTGTCATGTCTCAACTTCTTCGTGATGTATATAGCTTAAAAGTTGTCAACAATATCACAAAAGGAAATGTAAAATTCGAAGAATCTAGTTCAATTTCTATAATCGATTAGTAGCAATAGTAATTTTAAAAAGACATATTTAACCTTTAGTCAATGTTTTTATAAATGACATTCTACATTTATCTTGGTGTCTTATCATCAAAACATTAACCAACACTCAAGTCAGACAAAGTTGGCAATAACAAAGTAACAAATAATAAATGAGTCACGAAGCAAATAAACCATGAAATTCTATTTCATTGCTTATTTTACGACTCTAACATGTAAAGATTGGTTTGCCCCTAGATTTGATCGACGAAAACATGATCAGTACACACTGTTGAGTCATGGTCAATAACATGTAAATCACAGTATCAATTTTTCTTTCTTCTTCTTTTGATTATTCCATACAAAATTTATGGTAATAAACAGTTGAGACGGGAAGCGGGCCTACACTCTTACAATTCTTTTCTTCGTATATAAACAAAGTCGTAGTCGTGCTATTTATGACTTATTATCTTTTGTCGGATGTTGATTAGAAATGCTAATTGGCTATATTAATGTGTCGGCAGAGCTGCATGTCATACTCGACAGACTTGAGTTTAATTAAGGATGAAATCAACAAAGTTTCTTTGTATTGTAAAACGTGATAGGGCCTATCGAAAAAGTAAGAAAAATCTCGAATGGTAAAGAACAGTTTTGTTTTTCGACGAATACAATAAGAGTCAAGGACGTCGTGCTCCTTTTTCTCTTATTTTCCAGTCCAAACGGAAAGAAAGATTACATACACTAACACATGGTCTTATGAGACGAACATCCATACTCTATACTACTTATTGAATAGTTTTCGTGTGGAAGGAAGAAAAAAACATATAGGCGTATTATTGCACATCGCGAATCGTATTCAAGGACAAACATATATCAAGACAGTTTAGCCAGCAGAGAAGAGATATATAGGAGTGATAAATACAGCGCGATAAATTTTATTACTTTTCTTTATGATTTTACATTTTAGGTACTTCGTTTTCAGTAAGATTCTTTAATTTCTTTTTATTCAAGAAAATGAGCGAGAGCTCGACATCACCAGTTAACAATAATGATCGCAATCGTTCAGCAGTTACTGAAAGACAATCTAGTCATTTTGCGCGTAGTCGCTGGTCTCACGCTCTTGCTCTCGCCGACCAACTTCGTCATAATACTGAAATAAAAAAAGATGAACAATTACGACAACTCGCATTTAATATTCCAGTAGCGGATAATCGCGAAACAAGTGTCATCACATCTGTCGCAGCTCAAGCGGATTACGTCGAATCTTTTCAAAATGAACTTCTCTTTGCCAAGACTGGTAATTTTACTTTGGATAAACTGAGTGACAATTTCACTGATTTAAAACGAACGTTCAATCGAATGCTGGAATTAAAAAAGGACGATGTTCAACAAGTCACACTAGCAACATCGATAACAAAAACTGCTTTATTAATTGTTTTACGTTCAACTGAATCAATCGTCGATATTGTCACTAAAGGAACACGACGATTTCCCACATTGAATTCAATTATATCATATATTCGTTCACAAAATGTCCTATTACCTTGCAACGGACGATTACTTGTCGATTGGTATAGAGCTGCACAAGCACTTGATCTACTTCTCAATGATCCTGACTGGCTCGTACAACCACGAAAATCGCATTGGGCCATGGAAGTCTGTAATGAAACGCTAACATGGGCACATGCTGTATTTAATGAAAACTACCGTTCAAAACCATCTGGGCGACCAATCTTTGATCGTGATGACAGTATGATTGCTCCCGACACAATTGAGTAATTATGAATAAGCATAGGATTATCACAGATTTTAATCACTTTTATTTATATTTAATGAAAAAAGAGAAGATTATTTCTACACTTTACTAATTTCTAAAAGATGTACGAAAGAATAGAAATGAAATGCTTTCTATAAAAATATATGTTAGTTCAGCGAAAAATGGATGTATCGAATATTTTGTTTATAATTTCTCGTTGAATGGTGCTTTTTTGAACGATCCTGCTGGTTCCGTGGTTAGTTTCATTTGTAATTTGGTTTCTTTTGAATGGGAAATCTTTGAAATATCTGGAACGGGTTCTGTAGGTTGTTTTGTTGGATCACTTGACGGTGGTTTTGTCATATCAATGAAACCAGCATTTGCATCATCATCAGCCGGAAAAACAGTGAATGGATTTGTGTACACAACTGCGGATGGAACCATAATTACACCACCTGATGAAATAGAAAACAGCAGATTTAAAATTTCGATAGAACTCAACCACAATGGCTTACGATCTTTAGTTTTGAGATGTACGTATCGCACGTCGATATAGTGAACGAGACCTTGTGTTTATATTTCAAAATTATTAGCAAAATCGAGAAATGAATGCTAACTTACCTTCAATTCCGCCGCCACTTCCGTGAATTTTAATTCGACATCCCCGTACAAATGGTTTACTAATGACGAGAAATATGCCTGAGATAAAATTCGTTGCTACTTCTTTCAAAGCAAAACCAATGGTAAAACCAGTTATACCAATACCAGCCAATAATGGTTTTGTATCGACACCGAGTGTTCCTAATGCACTAACACTAATAAATGCATAGATCGTGACGGCAACTGTTTTCGATATTAGTCGTGCTAAGTCTTCATTTTCGATGATCCGTGAATGTAGAAGAAGCCGTTCGATTGGCGGTGAAAGAGCAAGGAAACGTTTAACTCGTTGCATTGTTGTCGCCGGCGGTGTCGGTGATGCTGCAAAATTGATCGTCTTCGTTTCAATCGGTTTCGATCTTCCTGTGATCCAACGAAAAAATCGACGTACGCGACCAGGTGCTGGTTTAGAAGCTGTATTTTGAGCTAAAAAACGATGTTGTTGTTGAGAGGGAAATAGTAGTGGATGATTGCAAGATGCAATGACACATCGATTGAACACATGCGCTCTATTTATAGACAATTGAGAAAGCAAGATTAATGATCGACAGTACATCTTTGAATTTATTGCACAAATAAGATAATCTAATATGAAGAAAGATAAACAGAAGACCATATGTGTTACAAAGTAGCTTACTTGAGGGTTCTTATTTACTGTGAAAACTAGGATGATATATACACATATTCTGAGATAAGTTTTTTCTTTATTTCAACAAAATATAAGAGAAGAAAACAAACGAAAATGAAAATAAAAAAAGGCTACGTATATCTATGAATGTATTTATCGTAATATCCGTTTATATTGATGTAACAGGAGGTGGTACTCTCGATTTCTCTCGTTTTATTATATTACTCAGTAGAGTGATTGGAATTTTGCATACACCATAGGATGCATATGCGACAACATTGCGATGCGGCTCTGGATCCATTGAATGTGTTTCTAAGCCATAGAATGAAGCTAATTCGTGAACAACATGACGTTCGTTGATTTTCATGGGTTTGAATGAGTAACATCGCTTTGAAACGCGATGTCGTTGAGTTTCTTCAACAAGTTGACCAAGTTGTCGTTCGATGCCCTGAACAAATTCTAAATTTTTCTTCGCATAATCACGTAAGAAGTCTGTGTAAACAACGGTCGATTGTCGCGATTCTTCGGTATTGATCGATAATGCTTGTGCTAAATTTTTATTTCGCTGTATAATGCGACAGTCATCATCGCATTCAAGGGGTGCTGGCTGTGCGGGTTTTTGTTTTCTTGCTAATGATAAATCTATTGTTCGCACAGATAGTGCTTGAACGAGTGATTGGGTCAAATCAGCATCATCTTTGTCTTCGCTGGCTTTACTGGACTTGATGTTACAAACAACATCTTTCACTAATCGACCACATGGACAACGAACTTCGACTTTTTCTCGACAAGTTGTCGATGGACACGGTTCGCGTCCATGGCATTGAAGATTGCACGGATGACCACATTCACGTCGTTTAATGGAACAAAGCTGGGTGCATTTCTGATCGTTTGCTTGACATGGGCCTGAATGACAAGCACGCTGACATGTATGAACACCGCATGAAAGCGGTTTCCCACATGGTAGACCGCATAAAACTTCTTTTAAATGGCAAGGGACCTACGATGAAAAACATCACATTGATTGGAAATTAAGCATAAATTGCAAGCTTACATTATTACGGAGGGTGTGCTCTCCGACACACATCTTTGACACAAGATGTGTACATGGTGGACATTCATCATCGTTGTGGCAACTGTGGTAGACTGGGTGATCACATGCATGTGTGCGATTACATTTATAATTACATGATGGCGGTTTTGTGCCACATTCAATCGGTGGTTGAAGTACAGTTTGTCCACATCGACAAGATAATTCATCATAGACGTTTATTGGACATTTACGACACGGATTTTTATGGCACAATTCTTCGCATGTGCTACAAATAAGTGACGATTGATTACAAATGATTGATTCTTATAAAAGATACTTACTGAATACCACAATTGAGTGGTTTACCACAGACAAGCTCACAAACATGAATATCGCGATCGCAACATAGTTCGTTACACCTATAGAAAGAGAAAAAAAAGATTCTATGTCGTACTAAAGTGAAAACTATCATAACCGACCGATGTTTTCCGCATAATTTCTTACGATTACATCGTCGTTCACAACAGAATGGATTTTTGATTGGATCGTATTGTACTGCTTCGATACACGTTGTTGATTTACTAAGTTGCCCACAACGACATTGAAGAGTTGATTCTTTTTTACATGGCGGACATGGTCCGTTATGACACTGAGCTGAGCATCGATGACGATCACCAACCGGACCACAGGACAGAATTTTGTCACATGGTTTGTCACAAGTTGGTAACTGAAAACGAAAGAACCCTTCATTTCTATCAGTGATTCTTCTACTGAAAGCAAACATACGGGATCGATGCATGACATTCGTTGTTGATTATCCATTGTTGTTTTTCCACAGGCACATGTTTTACAATTTTCAGGCAGAAACAAACAATCTGTACAGGGTCCATCATGACATATTTTTGTACATCGATGCTGTCCGCATTCAAGTAATTTCTCACATATTTCCCCGCACGTGTAGATTTTTCTATCGCCCGTTTCAACCGTACATGGAACTTCTCGTTCGGTACCATGCGATGAACAAACTTGTTTGACTAAATGATCGCATGGTTCACATTCACGTGGATGACAAACCTCAAAAAATTCAAAGTAGATATTAGTTCGAAGAGAAACATCGTACGATAGATCATACCAATTCACAGTAATGGTGCTGACAGGATTTGAGTTTACCACATTTATTTTCACATTTTATGAGAGAATTTGAACTACACATGATTGTTTGAGATTCGCGTCCACATAAGCACGAACGTTTAACCATCGTTGTACATGTTGGGCATGGACCTGGATGACAAAGTCTAAAGGAGAGGAATCACTAGAGAACATAGAATTTCAATTTTTATTTGATCTTTACTCGGTGCAATGATGGTTGCAATCATTTGATTTTGTATTCAACCGTTTTGCACATCGCTCACCACATGAATGAGGAATTTCGCCAGGTTGAAAAACGGGATTTGTACGTTTATGACAAAAACATTTATAATTTGGATGGCTTGAGTAAGAATATTGACAACCTGGACAACGCCAGTTTTTATCGGTACCACTCTCTTCAGAATTAGCCCATTTTCTAATACAAGTCAAATGAAACATTTTATAACAAACATCGCATGACCATATTTCTTCGTCTCGGCTAAAAATAAATAGAAATTATATGAACAAATAACCGAAACAATACTATTCGAATAACATACTTAATTTTGATAATACATATCATACATTCATAAGTGTTTTCCAATAATTGTTCGATTAGTGTCGAGCGGAGATTTTCAACTTCACCTGTAGATCGTCCTGATGTATGATGACTAGATGGACGATTAGTCACTTGTTGATTTATTTGTCTCGATGGTGCAGCATGTCGCTGCTGACCTCTTCGATATTGTGGCTGCGGTTGATAATGATGCTGATAATTGTGGTTAAAATGTCCACCAGCACGTGCCGGTTGTGAACTATAATATTGTTGTTCGTAGTATGCATTCGGTGGATACCACGACTGCTGTTGCTGCTGCTGTTGGTACGAACGATGACTGTATCGAGCATCTTGTGAACTTGTTTGCATTGGACGACGTTTTTGTCTTCTGTTATGATTATTAGTGTTGTTATTGGAAGCTGAATTTGAATATGTGTCTTCTAGATGCAGATTTTCGGGATAGTCCGATTGTGCAAAACTTTCTGTCATTGTCAGTCTGAAATAGAATGATTTTCGAAATTATTTTAATGTAAAAAACGGTTATATATATATATACGAGAATGGCTTCTTTGTTGGATAACATGACACCAACAAAATCTGTAATTACGAAACTACAGTGACTACGACTATAAGGGGAATAAAAATATATTGCGTCATCCAAATCACCAATCATAACATGGCGCATTCTTAGATACTTTTTATCTTTGTTTCTGAACAGTGAAATAGATTTATAAATATATTTTGGTGAACGTCAATCGATCATGAACTATGATATCTAGAATACTCAAGAACCTCAAGAAAAGCGAGAAGAATGATTCATATTATCATCATTAACATTCAATCAGATTTCTGATGAGAGATGTCGTATCTTTTCATAATCCGTATGCTTCGTGCAGAATTCTTTGGCAAAATCTTATTGATTATTTCAATCTTTCATGTCCGTATCATTTGAAGACAAATCTGAATTGATTCTGCATGAGATAATCATCTCAGTGATAAAAGCTTCGACAAGTTTACAAAACATTGCTCATTAATATCACTTTCATTCAAAGAATAACAAACAGGAATAGGTCAACTTTGCAAGTTATTCACGTTCCATATCGACACTAATATATTTGAACACAACGAAGATGTTCTCTTAATGAATGAACAAATTGGCTGTGCTTTTCTTGATCTACAAACGCGACCTCTATCGTTTCGAACATCTGCTCTATTTTCAATAAAGGTTGGTTTCGAAGCAACGTATTTACCAAATGACTAGATTGTATATGTGTGTTTCTATCAAAATTTTCATTAACAAGGCGTGAAACGTTTCTTTTCAGAAATCATCGATTAAATATCAAATGGGTATCGAAGCAAAAGATTTCGGTCTTGACGTTGATCTTCTAGCGTTTAGCGGTATTGTCTTCAGTCCTGAACAGCGTGCTTCATTACAAACATCGCTTGTTATTCTTAAAGAACAATATAAATTCAAAACAATTCATTTATGGGGCAAAATTTTAGGAATAACTGATGATTATTTCATTGTTCAAGGTCGTCAAAAAGATGAATTAAAAGAACGACAATTTCTTTATAGGTAAACTATTCATTGATTAATTTCACTGTAATTAAACAATTGATTGATTTTCAGTAAAAATTGTATCGAATGGAATATGTTAAATGCAGCTGATGATGAAGCAAAAGAATTATCATTGTTATGCCAAGGACGTTTCACTGGTGATCCGTCACATGAATTTGAAGTGACAAAATATACAATTGTGAATGAAAACACTGAAGATGAAAATGTCGACGAGAATAAAGTAATGAAATCCTCGACAGTCTTCTTTGTCACCCATAACTATTCTCCCTTTTAGTCACAATTACGTGAAGAAGAACGATTAGCCGCTGTTTTGTGGAAAATCGAACAAGATGCGTTGATCATTCCACGTGGATCGTATGTTCTTCAACCAAATGGCAACGTCGAGCGAAATCGTACATTTGAAGGTAAAAAAAAACACAAACTAAAAACTAATTTCTTTCTGAACATATCGTTGATTCATCGGAATAGGTTTAACAGTAACCGAAGCTGGTAAATTGACTAACTATTTCCATTTCCGTGAACCAATTCAATTGCAACAGAAAAGTCTCATACATCGAGCAGCACTCAATAAAAGTGTTCATTTTCTTGATACTATCGATGAAGATATTCCCAAAGGTAAAGATTTTTTTCATCAATACAAGTCCTGCAATTGATTTATATTAAATTTAGGCTGGAGTGTTCAGTACGAACGTGGCAGTGGCTTGATACAAATTCGTAGTCTTCAATGGCTTGGCATGGCGTTCTTTCACATTCCAGAAACGAATCGATTCGGTTCGCTTTACTGTGGCATTGGCGAAGAAAATAAAGATTTGCCATTTATGCTTTGAATAAATCGTCTCGCTTCGTTTTGTTCAATGATTAGTTTAAATCGATGGAAAGAAAACAGTTAAATAAATAAATAAACTAATTTCTGTTCATTCGATTATCAGATTTGATGCATAAAATTTTTAATTTCTTCAAAAGTAATAATAATATGAAACCTATCAAGTTCGATTTCAATGTCGTCAGCATCAATCGATTAGAATATTTCTTTCTTTCTTTCTCTCTTTCTTTTTCCTATATAGATTCTAATCATACAAACAAAAAGAATTCGACGAATTGCGAATTGAAACGAAAACTTTTCTTTTTTTTAAACAGATCGAAAATGATCAACGAAATCGTGCTGTCGTGATGGATAAGGAAATAAACAAATTCGTCCGATTCTTTTTCTTTTCTCTCCCACTCTTTCTCTCTGTCTCGCTCTCACTCACCTATTATTTCTATTCTCCAGACTTCTGTTGATTTCTTTTACGGCACAAATTTCTTCTTTTTTTTTCAATTCATTTTCGAGCAACTTTTTTCATTTGTTTTGTCATTAACCATGCTGCCAACTTGCATTTGTCGCATTCTTGAAATCGCTCATAGACACAAATGATGTTCACACCTTCTCTACTCAAACTACTTTCAGTCACATAAATCAATCCGTATGGCTACTGGAACACGTCCAACCAAACCAACCGTGTTCGACCCGCAAAAACTAAAGGTACTAAGGGATTTTTCGTGTGCTGTGAATGATATGTTTGGGTGTCGTTGGGTAAAATAAGTGAAAGGATTTGCGCCTAATCGGTGTTTGATTATGAAAATAGCTCGATTACATCAGACAAGATTGAACATTCGTTTTTATTTATTTAAGGAAAAAGGAAATCGTCGACCTGAAGGATCGTCGAATTCAACTTCAAGTGGTTCATTACCAAAACGATATCAGAGTGTTTTTATAGAAGGTACGCCACTAACTTCATTCGGCGTGCGCAATGACGACAATCAATTGCGTACACATTCGGTAGATAAACTCGACTTTTTTCTTATACTTTTCACTCCAATAGTTGCGATGTTTTTGTGTTTTCATTAGCCCTCTAATCATATTCAAACACAATCTCATCAGCGTCCACTTAAGCCTGTCAAAGAATTTCTTACTACAAATGCGCCAACCGATCAGCGATTGTTCGTAAAAAAAAATCTTTAGAAAACAAATAGTGTTTTTTTTTCAAACTTGTACATATACATTTTAGCGATCATCGTTGGCCTTCGAATTCTCAAGTAAATAATTGAAACAAATGTTTTCTTGTTCATTAAATATTTCTCTTTCCTGTAGACAAATAATCACGCACGATCTCAAACCGAAACAACGGTACAAAACGTTAATATAGCTGTTTCGAAGTCATTGAAGAAGTTACGTCAAGATTCGCCAGTTCCAATTTCCACGACTAACGGTCGGTCATCTTCGTTAGATCATGTCCCATACTTTTCTCGACCGTCGACAAGTCAAACAACGTCTCATTCGCATCATGACGTTGGACCGACATCGAATTTCTATTATCAGACACCCGGCGGGATCAGAGGTCCTCTTCCTGCTCAGCTGATCACCAAACGACCGTCAACATCACGTCTGTCTAATAACCAACTTTCATCTGACAGTAGTCCAACAAATGGACATCAACCCATCATAATAGCGCCTGCCCAAAATACAATCAAATCCATCGAAACCGGCCATACACGTGCACTGACGGCGATACGTGTACCCGCTCAAAGTCTAGACGTCAATTTACAACCAGTGGATGGTTTTAATTTCGATAATGTGAATGTTGATGAACATCCGGATAAATCAAAAGTAAATGAAAACATTTTTCAAATTGAATTCATCCTTTGTTTTTGCTTCTTTTTTCATTAAATAGAAATCGAAAGCCGGATCAGATTCATCAACAGTTACACGGTCTGTATCTCGAAAGCAATCAATCACATCACGTATACCAACTGTGGAAAGTCAACATCGTTCACTACCAGAGGTCAGCATTAATCCACATATTCAGAGTGCAGTGCCGACAAATGATGAATCATTGACAAATGGTCTACCAAATGAACAAACTCGTCCGGAAATTCACGAAAGTTACGCAATTTCTAACACGAATCTTGGAGAAAAATACACAAATCATCATCATATACAAGTGGAACCCATTGGTACATTCAAACGTCCGTCTTCCCCTGTAAAAAGTCAACAGGTGATTGATATTCGTCCGAATGTCGTTGTTCAACACCAACGATCTACATCCAAATCTGATTTTGATGCCAATAATCGTTATTCCTCTGCGAAACATCCACTCAGCAATGGTCACGTTGAACGAAATCACATCAATGGCGAATATCAAAGCCAAGAAAACACTCCGACAAATAACGAGACCGAAAGTACATCTACACTTAAAAGATATATCGAACAAGAGCGTGAGGGTAGAACCTCTTTAGTTTCTCCACCATCACCAGTCACTCAAGAATTAAATCGCATTTGGAAAAAGCAACGAAATAGATTTGTTATTCGATCTCCGGCCGGATCTCTATCACATCGAAAAAGTTCAAAAACACACCGACCATCGGGTCGACTGAAAAACTATGACGACGAATCCGATTCCGAAACGACTGCAACTGAAACTCAGAGTCGAGAAGAAGGTATGCAAAAAAAAGTGAAACCTCGAAATACATTAACATTTCAAGAAGCCAAACAATTGAATATTATTATCGACATTTTTCCATAGCTAAATAGAAAACAAAGGAATCAATGATTGCTTTTTTTTCCTATGTCAATAGAAAAAATCATCATAAATTCGTTCGATTTAACTTCTAGAGCTGGTTCGTCGTCATGGAGCGCCTCCCAGTGATCTCGGTAGCGATTTCTGGTCGGATTTAACCAGCGAATTTAGTGACACAAAATTACGCAAACATCCGAACATTCGAACATCGACACCGAATATAACTGCACGTAGTTCAAGTATGAGTTCAAAAGAGATTGGACAAATACGAAGACAATTGACTGGTTGGTTTATAATCAAAGTTGACTCGATGTCTATGAAAACAAATGAATTCATTTAGATCTTCAAGCAATGTATAATGATCTTCTTAAATTACTTGATGTGGATGTTGAATCTGTTCGTGGCAGTTTAAAATCAAATATTTCTTCACAAATCGATCATAACAATCGAAGACATCGATTCCGAAAGATCATGCCAACACCATCCCTGCGACAGTCGAATATCGATATGGGGTATATCTCTTTTAAATCTATCTCAAACTTATCGAATGTTTCGTTCTTCTTCCAGAGAAGTGAATCAACGATTTACTCGTCTTGAATCATCTGTAGTCACCTTAGCTGAATCTATCGCAAAACTCTCTGCTCAAATTCAAAACCAGCGCACTGTCAAAGATGATGTGTTTCGCCTTCGTCAAGAAGTATCCGATCTTCGTCAACAATTGTATCATCATTATTCTCGTCAACCATCAGCAATGCAATCTGATCCAACCTCGACGACACCTCAACAACCATCCCGTTTACTTACTGCGAATGTACAACGTCTTGCTACGATTAACAGTAGCAATCATTTGAATTACTCTTCGTCCTATATGCCCTCAACATCAACGATCCAACGATCAAATTCGGTGATCGATCCACGACAAGCACGAAAAATTGAACAGTATAAAACGAACGAAAATCGTTTCTCTCCTATTCTTATAACTTACCTTTTTATTTTAGATTTTTCGGTCCTGAAGCAATGCTTCGTTATTTCTTAAGTTTATTGAATTATGAAGAATATGCTTCATTACTCGAACGAGAAAAAATTGGATTCTATGAATTACCGTACATCAGCGAAAAGAAATTGCAAAGTCTAGGCATTCCATATGGTCCATGTGCTCGAATTGTTTATGAAGCACAACAATATTTCATATCTTTATTGACATTAAAATCGAGTGGAATTGATGTATAAATATTCGTGTTAGTCATTTCGATTGAATTTCTAGTTGTTCAATAAAATAAAACATTTTCTCGATCCATTTTTCGATAAAATCCTTCGAAATGCAATTCTTATTGTATGTAATCGTGAAGCAAAGATGATTGTTTATTGTACTCACACCAACGAGTATTAAACTGGTCCAACGTTGTTCGATTAGTGAAACACCATAATAATGTTCTTCAATTTGATCTGCAGCTGTGTTTGTCAATGAGCCGAGATTGCTAAATGCGAAATCGACATCGTTCACCGAGAAATCTTCATTGTTATGAATCATTTTTAATAGATCAGTATCGTTTTTACAATTAGCTATGTATTCTTTTTCCTTAATTCGATTATGAAGATCATGATGTTGTTCAATTGCTTTAGACCATAATGAATTGATCGAGTGTTTGTCAAGTTTGACGAAACAATCGAAAACAGTGGCAAACATACCCGATTGATCATAGTTGAGTTCAAGATGAGGTCGAATATTAACCATCATATGGATTTTAATCGTTTTCTCTTGCTTGTAATCGCGGGCGAGATAATAAGCAGCCGATGTGATGATTGTTAGGATGCTATTCAAACGTATGGTATGTAAATGGCACTGTTGTTTAAGATAAGAAAGAATTTTGCTTGGCAGATAGAAATGACGAACAGCTGTTCGTGAAACCAACGGGTTGGGTCGGATAGGTCTTGGTTTCATCTCAAGATCCGAGATTGTTTCGAATGAATACTTGTTGAAAAGGTATTTTTCCATAGGTTCCAGAAAGACCGACGTTTCCTTCTGAACAGGCAATAAAGTGCATAATGAAAGATATTGCCGGCCAATCGAAAATAAATTTTTGGCGTCAACAAGAGCATGATAGAATGACATAATGAGAATATGTTCATTAATAATCGACCAACGAGTCAAATTCGTATCATCAAATGGAGTGTTCAATTCTCGTTCGAATACTTCATGCCAATCGACATCCTTTGAAAAGCAAATGTGTTTTTTTGTTGATGAATATATCAAATTTACTTGTTCGTATTTGAAATTTGCCATGAGATCTTGTTCAGCCTGTCGTACATCCTTTGCTTTGTATACTAAAGTTTTTTTATCATTTGAAGGGCATATTTCATAGCCGAAAACTGGAAAATGGTCATGATACAATCTTAACAAAGCCGAGCGAGCTGTTGATTCGTCAATGTTTATCTTTGTATTAGCAATAATGACTTGCACTAATATTTGATTTCCATAATCTGCTTGTTCACGGCAGTAAATTCGTTCAGCTGCGCCTAGCTCTCGAATAAAACCTGAAAAGAACGATATTTTCCATCTTCTTCATCATTTTGTTTATCAAACACTTACTCATACTTCTAACCTTGGATCGAACACTCAGACAACTATGTCTGGATTTTTTTTGTCGGTCGTTTCTCGTTTCCTCGAGCGTTTGATTTGTTACCGACTGTCGTTAGCGTCTTAGTTCGAAATCTGCCTGTCGACTATTTCTTCTTTCTTTGTGACATTAGTCGGAACACATTCATTTCCGCTCTTCAATGTGCAAAGCCATCGAAGAACAAAGAAATATAGAAATGAATATTGTCCGCTTTGCTTTTCCACAAAACAAAGGCATCAATTTCTTCGTTCTTTACCCACACAATAACTCGGATTTCCGTGTTCAAATAAAGTTTAATGGTGGATTATAGAAAACTAATACTTTTAAGTTAATGTAATAAATTGTAGTGAAGATCGTTTCAATGGCATATTCTTTTGTTTCTCGATCGCACTCAATGTTGAGTGTAACTGTGGGAAATACTTTATTTTTGGATGTGTACTGTCCACACTACGACAAGTTATTATCTTATATTGACAATGTAAAAGAAGAATTTGAAAAAGCATTTTTGACAAAAACATCAAGTTTTTGTACTGTTTGCTTGAGCGATATCGAGCGACCTCTTCCATCGTGTTTCATTCAGTTCTATTTGCTTATATAGGGAAGATGATGCAACCTATGCGAACCGAGTTGAAGCAATGGCATTTTCCAATAACTAACAAAAATAAAAACCACTTTTCTTGTTTTCTGATGAAACTTAACTAAAACAGACCAACTCTTGAATTAACTAATCTATCCTCATATAAACTAAATATACCAGTTACTTCTACAGCGAATCAGATGTTGTAAATAAAAACTACATGTTTTTAATTGCCAAGATTATTTTTAGATTAAGAATTCGAACGTACAATCTTCGAACATCTTCGTTCAAATGGCCTGATAGAAAATATTCGTGTCAATATCTCATTCGACTCAAGATATTCCTTTTCGTACGCTTCATTAGGCAGAGATTCAATGAAGTCATAGTCTCTGCTTGCGACTAAATACACGCCGAGACAGGATGGGTGATATAGGATAAAAAGAAAGATACCTATACAGCAACGCAAAGAAACATTCAAACAACGTGTCCAGGATTAAACATCAAACAAATATAAGCAAACGTTAACCTTACAATGACTCTATCTCTAAAGAAATCAGAAATGAATGATGTAGGATTTTAACTTGTATGGAAGAAATATTTTCCGTTTGCTTTCATTTAGCCGCTTATTAAACGCACACCAAGTCAAACGGACATTGCAGCATTCAAAGATCGAACTAAAATTGATGCATTGAAACGATTAAAAACATCATTGAATAAAATTATTTCAACAGCTCCAGCATCAGCGACAAAAGATGTTCGTCGTAACATTCTTATTTTCTTTTTTTTTTGTAAATCATTTGATATTTATCATCTTACAGGCAACACGAGTGGAATTTGATGGATTTGAGAAATTATTCAGTCGATTTTTATTAGAAGGTGTCGATCAATCATCAATTGATTGGCAAGAAATTCGGCCACTACCTGAAGGAACTGTAAGTTTGAAATCTTCATACAAATTCGATCCAATTGTACTTAAATTATTCAAGGTCATCCCGTACAAAAAGTTAATTACAGCTGATCTAAGCGATGCAAAGGAACTTTTGAGTAAATTAATTGTTGTCAAACTCAATGGTGGTCTTGGAACAACGATGGGATGTCAAGGACCGAAAAGTGTGATCTCTGTGCGAAATGATTTAACATTTTTAGATTTAACCATTCAACAGCTTGAAGTACGAAGTTATTTTTCCGATTTTCAAGATAAACTCATCTCTTTTTGTGTATTTCAGCACCTCAATCGTCAGTATGATTGTGATGTTCCGCTTGTTCTAATGAATTCATTTAATACACATGAAGAAACAGAAAAAGTCGTTGAAAAGTATAGTCATGTTTCTGTTAAAATCTACAATTTCAATCAGTCGAAGTAAGATTCAAGAAATTAACGAACAAAATTAAATCGATGGAAAACTTTCGACTATCTCTAGATATCCACGTGTCGATCGGGAAACACTGTTACCAATCGCGACCAGTATGACAAATTCAGACAATGAATGCTGGTACCCACCGGGTCATGGTGATGTCTATCAAGCATTTTATAATTCTGGTCTGTTAGACCAGTTCATTCAACAAGGGAAAGAATATATGTTCTTGAGTAATATTGATAACCTTGGAGCATCTGTTGATTTATGTAAGATTGTGTGTTGCTGACTGATTTGAGTGCAAATAAGCTGGATTTTATTAGATATTCTCAAGCATTTACTGACGGATGCGGTGAAACATGAGTTCATCATGGAAGTAACAGATAAAACACGAGCGGATGTGAAAGTAAGATGATGTTTTTGTCGAAAATATACATTATTGATGTGCTTCGCTAAAACAGGGTGGAACATTGATTGAATATGAGGGAAAATTGCGTTTACTCGAAATAGCACAAGTTCCAAAAGAAAATGTAGATGAATTCAAAAGTGTATCAAAATTTCGGTAAGAATGAATACATAATTTGTTTCTGTCATATATCTCAAATGTCTATTTTATCAGAATTTTTAACACCAACAACTTATGGATTAATCTACCAGCTATAAAACGAGTTGTCGAAGATCAATCTCTTCACATGGAAATTATTGTTAACCTTAAGGTAAGTAATTTCATTTACAAGCGATCTTTATTTGTGTTTCCCTGGTTTTCTTCAGTCTTTGGACAAAGGTTTCAATGTTATCCAATTAGAAACAGCCAGTGGTGCAGCGATCAAAAGTTTCGAGGGAGCTCAAGGTAGATTTGAATCTAATAATAAGTGAAATTTGAGTAATACTTTTTTCTCAGGCATAAACGTTCCTCGTCGTCGTTTTCTGCCAGTTAAAACAACATCGGATTTGTTACTTGTTATGTCAAATTTATTTACTATTCATCGTGGAATTTTAGTTATGAATCAACAACGTTCGTTTCCTTCAGTACCACTCGTTAAGCTCGCAACAAGTTTTAATAAAGTACGAATTCTAGTTTTCATATCCGTCAAAAATCATTTTGATTGTTGTTTTCAAAGGTAAAAGATTTTCTTTCACGTTTTCAAAGCATTCCCGATTGTCTTGAACTCGACAGTCTTACCGTATCAGGCGATGTGACATTCGGTAAAGGTGTCTCACTTCGTGTATGTTAACGCAAATTCGAGATATTCATTTTTATCAGATCATCGTCTATTTCTAGGGCACAGTTATCATAATTGCAAATCATGGTGATCGAATCGACATTCCAACAGGCGCTATATTGGAAAATAAAATTATTTCAGGAAATCTGCGTATTCTTGAACATTAATTCTATGCTATTTCGCTGTTTTTTATTTTTATTTTCGCCAAGTCTTTTCTCTTTTGCTGAATCTCTCTCCATTCTATCGCTTTTGATTTTGAATAAATCTGGTGAATTATTTTGAAAAAAAAGTAGATGTATTTTGATAAGTTTGATTTGTATTCGTTGTAGAGTCAAAAAAAAAAAGAATCGGAAAAGGAGAACGAGCACATGGCTCCATTTCCACTTATTAAATTGGCGATTGTCTTTTTCAAACAGATTAGTAAACCACTTGCTAATCAGATAAAAGTACGCGCGAAAAATAGTGAATTTTTCAAAAAATATGTGAGTGATTCATCTCGTAGATACTTTGCATGACATTCTAACTTTTATCATTAGGTCTGCATGCCTCCCGCTCAATTCTATCATTGGTATGATGTTAATCTTCGGATGAGGATGTTAGGCATCGAAACGAAAAAAGTCGCAAAAATGAATGAAGAAGCTGCAGTTACCCTCGGTGCTGATATTTTGGGTGAAGGTATGCGAAATAATCAGTTTATTTATTGACTAACTGAATTCTTTTCCAATTAGCGGTAATTTTGAGTGTTGCTGTTGCTGGCTTGGCTCTTGAATACGCTCGACGATCGAAAAATGACACTGACAAAGAAACACGTCAACAAGAACGACTAGCTAACATGGAACGACAGTTATCTGAACTAGAAGTCACACTTGCGAATCAAACGGCAGAAATGCGACAACTTGAGCGTCTTATCCAACATGAAGTATCTCCACCAACGAAGCCAACGAAATCCTCTCCATTAAAACCATCATCAACACCATCAACAGAAAAAAAGCCTACTGCACAAGCCTATTCGATAGTTGATACAACCTCATTTCAATCGCCATTAATTCAATTACATACAACTGATTATATATATTTTCCAGTAGCATACGTTATGCAAGAAACCAATGATTATATTGTTTCGCCATTAAAACAATGGTCCTCATCGTTGAGAATAACAAAACACTAACACTTTGCTAGATTTTTTATTTCGTTATTTCTTTGCCCAGCTGATCCTTGATTATTAATTGATATACCTACTACATATACCCTTGTTTTGTGTATTCTATACATCGAGAATATCAAGTCGTATAGTGTACTCTAACATTAATATTGAACACTTCTAAAATACTAATCTGGAAAGGAAATTGTTTCTTTTTGCACCAAGGTACTTCGGCCCAATAGAAAATGGGCACAACTCATTCATTGACGATGAAATCATGATAAATTATATGTACACACTTCGTCACGAATCAATGCGTTGTCGTGCAGAACGCAAAACGAGAATATATTTACTATTATTTATGATATTGACATCACAGGTGTCGCTGATGGTTCGCCTTAGATTGTCCAAAGATATAATACAAAAGAAAAGAACGAAGAGCAATATAGTTTGATTCATTTCGATTTTTTTTGTAGATCATAGCATGCTGGTTGTAGATGCAGACAAGGATGGCAGTAATTCAGAATCTCCAACAACAGATTCTGATGATGATGATGATGATTATCGTATTGAATCATGTTCGCATACTCATCGTTCATGTAGTCGACATGCACCTTGTAATAGACTTCAACATCAGCATTTATCGACCGAGTCTTCAACTCATGTCAGCCTTTCGGCTAGTTCCAAACCAGCCAAAAACGATATACGAACAATCGACAAACAATCAGGACATCAAAAGAAGTTCGATGGAATCAAATGGCGTCGTATATGTTCTGCTCCCGGCTGTACATTGTATTTAAATCGCGGAAAATTTTTTCAAAATTGGTTATGTAGAAAGCATTATTCCCTTAAGACGGACGATGACGTTTCTCACCGATCAAACAGTGCAATAGCAGAGAAAACTACGACAAAAGTTCCTAAACCTATTCGAAGACCGAGAAAATTATCCATTCAAAAAGCCAGTCAAAAGGAACAGTAAGCAGACAGTTTCCCGTATTCATTCGTTAATAAATCTTCCGATTTAGACTTCATAAACAAAACAACATGAGGATTACTTCTGAAGGTGCCCGTCAGAGGTACGACGGTCGCTATTGGCGTCCCGTGTGTGGTTACGATGAATGTACATGTTTTATTGTTCGAAATGGTTATTGTCATCGACATGATATAGTAATGCGAACAGAGAGCGGCAACAATCCATCGAAATCACTCAATATCGAGTCTCAAACAAACTCACAAATCACACCATCGATGTCGAACCCGAAAAAAGGCGATGTTCAAATGGTACGACAGTTATGGAATGGATCGAAATGGTATTCATTGTGTAATTATCATACACGGAATTGTATGCGAAGGGCGAGAGGAAAGAAACATAAATATCTTTGTGATGCACATTATAAAGAGTATCTGAAGAAACAAAAAGATCCTAGTTTGATTGATCATTCCGATCAAATCCCGATATCGCCAACAGTAAAACGAAAGAAATGTAATATTCACAAAATTTCATTCTGATTCGAATCTTTCTTTTTGTCTTCTTTCATTCATTCTAGTAATCATCGATGAAGAAGATCCTCCGACAAATCAAGTAAAACATCTAACACTCATCGTTTAGAAAATGACCACCAAAAATATCTTTTTCTTTAGCAACATTCTCAATCGTCTATCGTTGTAATGAAGCATACAGAACAATGCATTCAAACTGATGTAACTTATCCATTAGAATCAACGAAGCTCAGCCAGGGTTGTATTTTCATCGACGACAATGAAAACTATCACAATCAATCGGAATCATGTCAGATTTCAGCTGCCGTCAAAAAAGAAGTAAATATCAAAAGCACTTTCCGAGCAAAACTAATCTTCTCTATTAGGATGATTACATTATCAAAAAACGACATACGCCCATTAACGTGAATGCATATCCATTCGATTGTAAAATTGAATTAACCAAAGTTGAAATCTAATATCTGGGCGTATCAAAATATTTGCACATAATCTTTTAGATAAATAGCAACACATTTTAGTGCTGTGTATTTTAGATCTTTTTAACATGTCTTTCAATGTAGTTCTCTTGTTTTTGGAATATCCAATGAATCCAATAAAGTTAAACAAGATAGACGAAGCATATCAATTTCATTTGCCACACGTGATCGTATCGCTTACCTTTTTACGATCATCGATTACTTTCGATGTTTTTCTCTTCAGCTATAGATACGAGGCAGCCATTCATCAGTAAATATGCTTGTTTCGAGATGACATAGCATGGAAACGAAATGTTACTTCTAGTCTGTGTCTACGTTCGATAAAATAAAAAAAAAGCATAGATTAATTTTATTATTGTTTCTAAAAAACCGAAAAAGAAAGGCTCGCAAAGCAAAGCGGTGACAAATACACATGACGAACAACATTTATGAAAACATGCCTCGTATCTTTTGTTTTGTTCTAGCTTTTCTGTTTATGTTCGGCATACTTGAAATTATGCATCGAGTTTAGGACATTCAGGATGAATGAAATTTCTCGGATGAATCAAACCATTTTGTCGAATGACCCATTCATTTGCTAAGTAGTCGATCACTTGTTTAACATGTTCTTCGGTTATATCACCGTCAAGTTCAGCTAAATATCGATAGTATTTCTTCCAAACATCGAACGGAATACGAGCGTTAGCACCCGGTGGATCGCTTGTTAATAATTCGCAGATTTTTATCAAAGTATCAGTAATGTTCTAATCAATTTGAATGTAGTCAAGGAGAATTTTGAAGAAAAAGAACAAACTTTGGCTATTTTCGAAACAGTTATGGCAAGAAATGAGTCCCATTGAACTTCACCATTGAAAGCTCCGATTTGTACAATATCATCGAATTGTTCACGTGGAATTTTGATATCATCAAATTTGTTTTGAATTTCTTGTAATGACAGTTTACCTTTTGGCGAGAGCTAAAGACCGACATGTTCATTCTATGAGTTTAGTTCTTCTTTTAGAAACTTACTTGTTTATGTAAGATTTTAATCAAACCCATCGTTAGACCTGTATCAATTTTTTGCGTTGCTAATGGCATTTCGAGACCTAATTAACAAACGATTAGCTTGATAATTACTCTTAAAGATCTTGTCATCTCACGTTCTTTAACTGGTGGTGTTTCACCATTTGCTAATGCTCGAAAGTATCTAGAATTACACGAATGATAATCAATGAAGTAGAGAAAAGAAAGCACATACGCAGCACTCCATGCGAGAACATCTGTTGGTTGCGTACGTATAGCAGCTTTCGAAAATTGAAGTAAGATATCAGGTAGTTCAGGCGGGATTGGAATTTGTTCGCTTGTATAGTACGGCTCATCAGTGAAATTAGCTGCTGTTGCTTTCGCCATGGTGTATTTCAATCGTTATGAATGAAGAAATGAGTAGGAGTCGTCACTCGCTAATAAGCTGTAAACATGTCAACACACAGTCTGCCATTGATATCTAATCATCCTTAACAGTCGAACCTCATTCTCAAGTTTCATTAGAAAATTTCGAAAAAAATTTTTGATGATTATTGTGATTTGCCATTCAAATTGAGTTCGAAGTACAATGATGTAAATCGTTTTAATGAACATTTTTTGATTGAATGGAAAGTAGCGCACAATGATCCTATTCGCTAATATTTTCGTCAGGCTCGAAACAAAGAATTGAACAATGTTTGGTACAATTTTATTTCATTTATTACCTAATTCTTCATGTCGGCAATTAAGCGATTCTTTTCAAGTCATAAAACATCATCAAATGTCAAAAATAATCAGAATCAACAACAAGATAGTCACGTCTCACAAAGTAAACTACCAGCGAACAACACTACACCAGCTGTTCCTGTCGACAAAGTAACAGTAGCAACTGAAATTGTGGAAAATGACGAAAGTAAAGAAAATATGGCTTCACCACCATTCCCATCAATAGACATACCATTAAAGTATGTCAACTAATGACCATCTCCTGCCTATTTTCACTTTTTTCTTCCTTAAAAAGATCAGACACGACCGCGATATCTCCAACAACATCACCAACGTCGGAACCGGTACTAGCTAATAATCACGAAGAGAAACGATCTATGTATGTACACTCAGGAAGTTCTTTGACAGATTGTTGTTGTTTATTTTAGAAAATCATCCAGTTGGACGGTTGATGATTTCGAAATCGGTAATCTCTTAGGACGTGGTCGATTCGGTTATGTTTATTGTGGTCGAGAAAAGCAAACACGTTTTGTAGTTGCACTAAAAGTACTTCGAAGCACTTCTCTCTTTGTAATTGATCACAATTGCTGTTTAGATACTATTCAAAGCTCAATTGAAGAATTCGAAAATGGAACAACAAGTGAAACGTGAAATCGAAATTCAATCGAATCTTAAGTACGTTCAAGTTTGTTGTTTTTCGTCACTTAATTATTAACGAATAGATCGATTATAGACATCCAAATATTCTTCGTCTCTATGGATTTTTCCATGACGAACAACGAATCTATCTATTACTTGAATATGCACCTGGCGGAGAATTGTATCGTCGTATGCAAACAGAAAAAACTCTACGCGAAAGTGAAGCTGCTGGAGTAAGATTTTCTACGAACAAAATATAATAATTTCCACCGAGTTTTTTAGTATGTCTACCAACTCTGTAATGCTTTGAATTATCTACATACAAAACGAGTTATTCATCGGTAAGAATATTCTAACAATTGCAGCACGTATATTAAATCTTCTCGTTTTAGAGGTACGTTTAGATAATCCAATAAATCTATGCAAGAATCATGTAATTGTAGATATCAAGCCAGAAAATATTCTCATTGGAAAATATGGAATTTTGAAATTAGGTAACGATATTTTTTTATTAGTTCTGTTGATTATTGAAATGAGTTTTGTCTTTCAGCGGATTTCGGCTGGTCAGCTGAGAGTACATCGACATGCAAGTAAGAGAGTATATCGTCATTTTGTCAAAAAACAAATCATTTCTACTTCAACAGACGAACAACACTTTGTGGTACATTAGATTATCTTCCACCAGAGATGTTGAATGGAAATGGTTACGATGAAAAGATTGACCTTTGGTGTCTCGGGGTACTCACATATGAAATGGTAATCAATTTTTGTCGTTTATGTGATGATAATTTGACTTCACTTGTTCCGGTAGATTATCGGTAAACCTCCATTCGATAGTCAAACTCAACATGAGACTATTCGAATGATACGATCGATTGAATTAACATTTCCAACAGGAACATCGCCTGATCTTCGTGATGTGATTACGAAAGTAAGTCTCTCGAAAGTCGAATTTCACCGTATATTCGATATTTTTAGTTACTTCGTCGAAATCCATCGGATCGTTTACCTTTGAAAGATGTTGCTCAACATGTTTGGATAATCAAAAATGCGGACATAGCTGCGATTGAAGAAAGCTATATAAAGCGAAAGAAAACCTTAAATCGAGAAAGTTAATTTTCTCCAGTGAAATCAAGCATTTGGACATTCTGTTTTATGTTTCTTCTTAATTCAATCATTATCTTTCAATTTTCTTCTCTTAGATTTCTCTCTCTCTGTGTATAACAGTTATTCTGATACAGAAAATTCAGTCCTTCTAGGTAATACAATAAAAGTATGCATAATGTTAACTCGATAATCGTCTTTTGCGTTCTGGTGTTGTACAGTTCGACTGTTTTGAGACGCAATAGTGGAGAAAACCTGCTCGAAGCAAGTGTCTGCGTAATATACTGTTAGACAGACGTTATCACCAATGATTAATGAGTTTTTTAAGGTTGATGACATTTAGTTATTTGTCAGAAGTTGACATCATCGAAAAAAAGATATTGTCTAGAGATTTGTAGGCAAAGTTGAACTTGAGAATAGGATTCTCTATCATTATTATTTATTAGTCGATCATGATCAGAAAAAATGAACAAGAAAGTACGAAGAATTCTTTAATTAATCATTGAAGTCATTGGTGGATTTCTTGGCACTTGAATTTTTGGTAGATTTTTTATAATAATATCGTAAGTTTTTAGAAATATCGTTCGTAATTCTAACACAATCGAACGTAGATCATCGAATATTTTCTTTTCATATTCAAGCAAATATAAATGATAATCTTCAATCGAAGGATACTTATTCAAATATTTCAAGATCTCATAATGTTTCTTGTAATAATCCAAAAAAAGATTTTCATTCGTTTCGATAATTGTTTCCATTTCTTGAATTTCCTTCAAAATCTGAAATTGGATACTCACACCTTGATTATTCCCTGACTCGGTGGTTGGGATGTGTAATTGTATATAACAGCGAAGAATAACTGAAGCAGATAAGTATTTATCAAAATAGGAATGAACTAATTTAATCAATTCATTGATTAATTGATTGGATTGGGTGTTCGAGATCGATTGTTCGATCTGAAGAAAGTACTCTTTAGAAAATCGATTATCACAATCAATGATCTCATGTAAAAGCTTTGCATAGGACAATAAACTCATTAAAATCTCTGATTCTACAGTTATCTTGATCGATTGGATAAGCTGTTCAATATTCGAATTGAACACATGATCTCCAGTAGTGTTCGCAGAGATATGACACTGACGAATTCTTTTCGATGTCGAACGCATGTACAGCAAATGAGAACTTAGGATAGAAATTAATTTGAAATATTATATAAAAGGCGCAATCAATCAAATGACATGTATATAAACAGATGGTTTCTTTTTACGTTTGTTTATATTACTATGAAGAGGATGCGACGATTATTTAGATGAATGGGGTAAAAGGCCATAGGAATAATAACGAGCAAGAAGATGGAAGATATTGAAGAGAAAGAGAAGAAAATATCACAACTGGATGCAAAAAAAGAATACTTTTTTCCTGCTTTTCTCGCCTTTCCTATCTACGATTACTATCATTGTTATTCTTTCATTGTGTTGACTTGGTTATTATTCTAAATAAATTCTCGTTCGGATCGATCATATACCAAGAGAGAACAGCAAATGTTAGATCGACAACATAGAGCGACAGAGAGAGAGAGAGAGAGAGAGAGAATGAAAGAAAGCAAAAAGAGTAATCTTTCTCTTTCTTTATCCTTCCGCTGATGCTACTGTTTCTAATGGAACTATCACTAGAGATACACACAAACACAGTTGGATAGGGTCATTGCTTCGTATTAACGTAGCACACTGAATGTGTTACAAATTACAATGCAAATAGAAAGATTTTAACATTATCAACGCATAGTTTGTTTTCTCGATTACTCTCATTTCGCTATCTTTGATCAATCATGTCTGATCATGAATGTTCGGGTGAAGTCTCCTGTTGTGCTGATCCATCAATCTTGACAAGTCAATATTCATTTTGGCTCTATAGGTAAAACTCGAATGACAGATTTCGACGAGGGAAAGAGAGAAACAGACAAACCGAATCAATGAGTTGCTTGACAATTCACTAGAGAAGCATTTTTTATTATTCTAGAGATGAAAAAATTGAATCACTCAATTTATTCATACGTCCAATGGTCTCTCGTGATATTTATGATATAAAAACTTTCTTTCAAGACGCTTCAATATTTCATAGTGCATCGATTGATTTTTCTATGTATTATTATGCATTTCGACCGAAGCATTCGTATGTAATTGTTTCTAAACATGGCTTTTTAGCTCATGCATCTCTGAAACAATGGGATTTCCATGATCAAACAACACCAGCCGTGCTCATGCTTGGTTTAGTTTATGTTCGTTCAGATTATCGTAAATTTGGTATTGGTGAGTTGTTAACGAATTATGTTTTAAACCTCAAATCAAAAGAAACCAAACTTGTTCATGCCAATGTTCTCACTAAACATCTACCATTCTACATTCGATACGGTTTTCAAGCATCGTTTTCGCTGGTTAATCTCCTAGGTAAACTAAGTGATTTCTTCCATCTAACCAATGTGAACGAAGATGATGTACATTTGCAATTGTTTGAATCGTCCGATATTCTTGATGTTGCCACTTATGACCATCAGATATATCCGATCTATCGAATAAATTACTTCGAACAATTACGTGAACATACGTATTCCATTGCTGGTTATGTTGCACGATCAACGACGACCAATTCAATCTTAGGTTATGTGATTTTGAATTTCAGTCAAGCTTATATCAAATGTGGTCCATTGTATGCTGATAATTCGAACATAGCGTTGTTATTGTTGAGACAATGTGCAATTGATTACGACGGAATGATGTTACTTTCAATACCGGAAGATAATCGTTTAGCGATTAAGTTATTTGAGTCGAAATACTTCAAACAAACTGAGATTCTCCATCGTGTTTATACAGGAAATGAAAATTTATTTCAAGGCAAGAGTTTCGAACGAATATGGGCGATTACCGACGATTGGCTTTCGTTAATCTAATGTGAAATCAATCCTGAGGTGCTTTATTCATCTGTTTTTTTTTCTTGTATAAGTGTGATAACCAACAAAAAACGTATTTTAACTAATTATTCAGTACAATATATCTATATAAATGTAAAACAAAATGCACTTGATGTAATCAATCCTAAGAATCTATCTGTCGATTGTATTTGAATAAGCGAAGACCGAGACGGAGAGAAAAGCTTTGCTTTCGTTGTATGCGACGTACAAAATGCTGATTCATAATACGAATGTATATTTTTCTCTTGTCTTCTCCTTCGTTTTTGTGTATCTATTCATCCGTATCACATTAGAAGTATCGTTTACTCGAAATGACGACTGGAGCAAATCAAGTCCAACTGACAGTAACGCGAAAATCAGATGATGCAACTGTTGTCTTAGTTGTTAATGAAAAGATAACTGTAGGCGAATTAAAAACGGAAATTCGATCTCGTTTACCGCCGAAATTCGATCAAGGTTGTCGACTTATCTTTAATGGGAAGGTATTACGAAGTAAACGAAAGCTAAAATATTATGGTTTAACAAACAATCAAGCACCACCAAATGTACTTGGCAATTCGAATATAGTCATGGACGATTCAAAAAATTGGAAATCCGACTCTTCATCATCGTCTTCCGAACAATCTGATTGACATTTTCTTCTTTACACAATCTAATAAATATACGTGCAAACTAACATATCGTTTCAAGCTACTTGAATATATTATTGTATTGCAGCACATAATCATACGACATGAGTATTGAACTTTTTCCGATGAATTCTATAATTGAAGGAAAGGTTACGAAGGACAGGAAGTGTTTTCTACTGTACATGATTAAGGATTTCTGCTTATTAATACAGAAAAATTTGTTCTTTGTATGACTACTGGAAGTATAGAAATTTCCTTAGATGATGTGACCTGTGTTTCATAACTCAATAAATATCTGATATTGGTTCCTACAAATCTATTTCAATTTCATGCTTAGATTGTAAAGAAAATCAACATTCTCATATTTCGTAGCTTTTTCACAGTACGCAATGACATTGACGAGCATTCAAACATAGCTTCAGCTTGATAATCAATCAGCAACAAATGCAAATTCAGGACTAATTCATTCTATCATCTCTGAACTATTTTTCAACATAATCATTTTTATTGATTTTGACAACAATAATAATAATGATTAATTTGTACAAAAAACTTGAATTCTATTTGAAATTCGTATGGAATTAAATCTCTCATTTTTGCACTTTTCGAGTTCATCAGGTCATTTATTACATGCATCATGAGCAAACGACGTTAAATCATATTACACCTCACTAAATTTATCACAATTGATTTTTCTTTTATCTTATCTGAACGTATCCATACTCATCGTAGCTTGTCTTCAATATCGTTCGGATTGATTTCAATGGGAGAAAAAGAAATCAATGAATTGCACAATTTCTCAAACTTCTCTTCCATCGAATGTTCGATGGACTGTGCGCTGAGATTAACAAACAAGGTACATCTACTTGCTAAGATTGGCACCACCAACAGATAAATTCGTAATGTAAATGACTGAAATAGTTGAGTATTATTTTCATGTAATGGAGATGAGAAGTTTTGCTTTCAACTTGCAATGGTAAGTCGAAATATTTTCTTTTCACACGCGAATAGATAAAAGGTCATGTTGATAAAACATGCAAACAATCGATTTGCTTTCTTTTCCTTGAATGTTTCACTTTCGATGGTCAGTTCTTCGGTACTGTTTGTTTACTAACAGAGTCAGTCGTTTGATGTGAGTCAAAATCGGACTACTTGAGAGGTGGTCAAATAAGATAAGATGATGGCTTTCAATTACATATGTACATGCTGCAAGACACTTTCATTTTATCTTTCGAACAAAAGAAGAAGAAGAAGAAGACAAGTAAGATTTGATGAACAATGATAATATAAAGCTTTCAAATGTATCTGAAGTGGGAAAAAAGATTGGGAGATTTTGGTTCTTTTTTTTCTTTCGAATGAATAGGAACCGAAAGGTAAAAGTAAACTTTTTGTATTGATTTATCTATGAGGTTTCGATTTGACAGGAGTTGCAAAGAAATGTTCTCTTTTCTCGCCTACACAGTAAATCGCAAAAAGAAAGAAAATGAAGATTATCAAATTGAATCGTATGCCGATGACGATGATTATTATCGTTAAATAAAAAATTGAAATCAGATGCGAATATGTTTCGTACCGATGTAAAACGATCATCATCATCTTCCTCTTTTTCCTTTTCGTTTGTTCGACGGTATAATAGCAGTAGTCAGTGTAGACACCTGCTGTTTACTTAAACTTTATTTTATATGAACAGAAATCGTTATTCGCTAAACTTTTCAGATAATTCATAAATGAATTTAAAACTATTGATATTTCTGTTCTGTTCCAATTTTTTGTTGCTATACTCAATAACAGGTAAGATTCAAAACACGCACGTAGAACTAATTTCATCCAATCGTTTTATTTAGACGCATGTGGTATCAATGAATGGAGATGTGAAACAGGCGGTCGTTGTATTCCGACAACATGGCGTTGTAATCGAATTAACGATTGCACTGATGGATCCGATGAACGCAATTGCAGTAAGTTTAGTGGGTTGATTGAAAGTTCGAAATGGTTTGTATGTATTTTTATAGCTTATCCAAGATGTTCGGAGTCGCAATTCGATTGTGGAGATCGGTGTATACCGCGTACGTGGAGATGTGATGGTGATAATGACTGTGGAAACAATGCTGATGAACAAAATTGTCGTATGTTATTGTTGTTCACGAAAACGTCTGCTGAGAAATAGTTCTAATTTGCATTCATAGCTCCAAGAAGATGTTCAAATACACAGTTCCAATGCAATGATACAAGGTGTATTGATGCTTCGATGAAATGCGTGAGTTCAACTTTTGTGGATGATTTAGTAAAGAAATGAATATGTATTTTGGTGTCTATAGAATCATGTCAAAGATTGCAGTGATGGCAGTGATGAAGGAACATTTTGCAGTAAGGAATCGTGTTTATGTTATGATTTAGGGAGAGTGTGAGATGTATTCGATTCATAGATTATCGTTCATGTAATTCTTCAAGTGAATTTCAATGTGATATACAACGCTGTTTACCATTAACACAAAAATGTGATGGTTATTACAACTGTGATGATCGTACTGATGAGCTTAATTGTAGTATGTATCAAAGGCGAAGTGAACAATTTTCGTACGTAACTTAATTATCTTTTCTCTGTGTGATTATCAGATGGTACAGCTTGTACGACGAATCAATTTCGATGTGTGGCGAATGGTCGATGTATACCAAGTTATCAGCGTTGTGACTTTCGTTTACAATGTACAGATGGATCCGACGAAGCTAATTGCAGTAGGACAATATCGATTTAATTTGACAAAAAAAAAACAAGCTCTTTTTATTGATTAGCACGACCAAATTGTACACAATCTCAATTTCAATGTTCAAATGGAAGATGTATTCCATCGTCATGGGTTTGTGGTAAGACTAGTGTTTATGGAAGGAAAAAAATTATCTGAGTAAATGAATTCTCATTATTAGACAAGGATAATGATTGTCTCGATCAAAGTGATGAAATGCATTGTGGAGCAAGACTATGCCCTCCACATATGTATCCATGTAATGTCACAGGACAATGCATTGATATAACAAAAGTATGTAATGGTCAACAAGATTGTGCAGATGGTACAGATGAAAGTCCTCAATGTGGTAAGTAATATTGATTTAAACAGTTAGAAGAGCTCGCGATGAAGTATCATCACGTAAGTTGAGTAAACGACATATTTCTCTTGGCTTGGCATCGATTTCATTCGAACGAAAATCGACTATTTCGTAAGATATATCTTGTATTTCAATTTGAAACATGTTGAATGCATACCAAAGATAGTAAATAGCTACGAGTGATAAAACAGACCATAAGGTAATGAAGACTAAACTAAATAGGTTCATATATGCCCATCCATAGGTTAGTGGAAGGGGCAATGCTACCGTTGTTGCTTCTGAAAGAATCATTTGATGAGATTTAGCATGGCGCGTGCATTGAAGCTGATTGAGTTTTTTGATTAATAGGTTCTCGACTGTGTAATTTGTATTCGTGTGAGCACGGTTGTCGACCTACTCCTGATGGTCGAGGTGTATGCTATTGTCCATTGGGATTTCAAATAGATCCAGCAAACAATCGTTCTTGTATCGGTAAGAAAAGATCAGATCTGATAATCTTCATACACAATATGAATATTTAGATGTCAATGAATGTGAAATCTGGGATGAATGTGATCACAATTGTCAAAATACAATTGGATCGTAAGCAAAGAAATCATTGACTAGCTTTTTGGTTTGAATTTTCGAATCGGCAAATTTAGATATGTCTGCACATGTCGAGCGAACTATACACTTGAGACAGGCAATCGATGCAAACATATCAATAGTAAAACTTAATTTGAACACGAATATTCATTCCATATCTATCCGATGTTTAGGTGATAATATGAAAATGTTTGTCGCAATCGCGAATAAAATATACGAAATCGATCGACTTGGCAATTCTCGAATTCTGTATGTTGGGCGAGAAAACATGACAATCAATGCTGTTGACTATCACTACCGAAATGGAATTTTGTACTTTACCGATTCTCGCGCACATCAAGTAAACAAATCCAGAGGAAAAACATACAAGAGTAATGTTCTCATCATTTATCTATATCCTTTAGATTTACTCTTTATTACTATCATCACCATACTCCAGTGCAACACTCATTCTTGAAAAGAACATACTTTCACCCGTGTCCATTGCTGTTGATTGGATAACGAATAAATTATATATTGTCGAACATGAATTAGCACGCATCGACATGTTTTCATTAGATGGAAAACAGATGAAAACGAATATTATTACAAGTAATATTCATCAACCGCGAGCCATCGCTATTGACCCGATAGCAGAATATCTGTTCTTTGTGGACGAAGGCGATTGGCATCGAATACCTGCAAAGATCTTTCGATGTCTTCTCGATGGTTCTCAATGTATGGTGCTAGTTGATCAGAAATTGGATCAACCAAGTGATATCGCAGTCGATCATATTAAGCAACGAATTTACTGGGTTGATCGATCATATGATCATGTGGAAAGTTGTGATTATCATGGATCAAGACGGTAGGATTTTCATTTGGAGCTATTCTTTTGAGATGCGCAAACATTGACTTTGATTTAGGATTACATTGACATCCGGTAGTCAAAATATTCCTTATACAGTTGGCCTTGATCTTTTCGAAAATAATCTCTATTTAACTGACGATATGAAAGGTGCTGTATTACAACTTCGACGACATTTTAATTCGAATACAAGTATTTTTTACAAACCTCAATCATTTGTTCGACCAAGAGGCATCAGTATTTACCATGAAACACGACAACCACAGCGAACGAATCCATGCAATGGGACATATAATGGTGGTTGTGAACATTTATGTCTACTAGGTCGAGCAAATCTTCTCGCGAATAGTTATCAATGTCGGTGTCAATCGGGTTATCGACTTAAATCAGATTTACGAACGTGTGAACGTAAGATTGATTAATTGATGTTTGTGAATGACTTTGATTTTTTTTGTTTTTTTTTCTCTGTTCTAGCGGTGAAAGATTTTCTACTTCTTACACGTTTGTTTTCCATTCGTGCGATTGATTTCAGTCGTGATTCAAAAATTGAAGCTCGACCACCGATAGTACCCGATCGGCGAACAATCATTATGGATTCTGTTTTTGATTATCGACAAAAACTCGTCTATTTCTATTCAGAACGAAGTCAAATGATCTATATTTCGTATATGGATGGTGAAAGTGAGTAAACACACTTTCTTCTTTGTAAAACAACGATGTTTGATTCCATTATATAGAACCAAAACCAGTAACAACATCGAAGATATTTCCCGTCGTCAGTGCCATGGCATATGATTGGTTTTCCAAGTTACTCTATTTGACATCATCGACTGAGAGTCAATTATTTGTTGTCAGAATGAATACAACCGATTTTCCCCAACGTGTACTAGTCAATAGTACCATCGGTATACATGGCATTGCCGTAGAACCCACTCAAGGGTCAGTAGACACATAACGTATGTCTTAGCAAAACAAAAGTTCTTTCATGCATATTGTAGATATGTATTTTACTCAACAATTATTCGTCCAGCTAAAATTTATCGAATGTCATCGGATGGATCAAATCGTATGATCATTGTGCCAAACGAATTAGGTACTCCCTATCACTTAACATGCGATTACGGCAGCCAACGACTCTACTGGACTGATGGTGCACTATCACGTATTCAATATTCAGATTATAATGGACGAAATATTCAATCGTTGAGAGGACGATCAATTTCTCATCCATTTGGAATTGCAATATACGGATGTGAGAAATAGATAAATGTTCGAAAAGATTGAACATGTTTCTTTTCTTGCAGCTCGATTGTACTTTACTGATGTGACATTGGAAAGTGTATTTGAAAGCAGTAAAACTTACAGGTAATGCATGTACAGTCGAATGAATATTAGTTAGAAACGAATTCTTTTGATCGATAGTGGTTATGCTTCACCAATTCGATCGGATATTCCGGCGATTTCAACCGTTCGAGTCTACGCAGAATCATCCCAACCAATCAATAGTAAGAAAAGATAGCATTTGTATCGATATACATTCTATATCTATTTTAATTGTAGTTACACATCCATGTTGGACCAATAACGGCGAATGCTCAGATTTCTGTTTCCCTAAGCGAGAACAGAACGTTCTGACGCGAGTCTGTGGCTGTCGTTACGGTCAAAAATTGAATACAAATAATAATGTTCAATGTGTGGATAATTCTGCAGTTGAACCAAACCGAACATCATGCAATGGGCAATTTCAATGTCGAAACAGTCGATGTATTCCATTAAACTACAGATGCGATGGGGGTAAATTCTCAGAATTTGTCAAAAACAATTTCTGATTTCTCTCCTCTGATAGATGATGATTGTCATGATAATAGCGATGAACAAAATTGTCCAGGTAAGTGTCTGAAAAACAGATGATCGCGTATTTTCAATTTAACATGTGAATATAGCTGGAACACCACGATGTCCAACTACACAATTTCAATGTCGTAGTACGGGTGTTTGTATTAATAAACAGCTTGTTTGTGATGGTTACGCTCATTGTCTCGATCGTTCGGATGAATCGAATTGCAGTAAGATCGAGAGAATAGTTTCAGTAAAAATTCCTTGATACTATAAATTCATTTTTACAGGTCAAACTTGTAATGATAATCAATTTCGGTGTGCATCAGGAAGATGTATTTCAAAATCATGGGTCTGTGATAATGGTAAGATGAAATATGAGATTTTATTTCCAATTAGAATGTTTTGACCTCTTGAATTTGACTAGAAAATGATTGTGGAGATTCAAGTGATGAACAGAATTGCCATGGTAAATGTTCTGATTCTCAGAAAGAAAAGTCAATAGGTTTTTTTTGTTTAGAACGAACTTGTGATCCACTAACACAGTTCACTTGTCCTCATACACCTGGCAGATGTATTCCAACCGGTAAGTTGACCGAAATATCCTATTACCATTGGATTAACTATGATCTGTATTCTAAACAGCTTGGAAATGTGATGGGCAAAATGGTAAGACGCCATGATTTCGCATTGAAATTTCATTTCCTCTATTTCTCTTTCTGTTGATAGATTGTGGAGATAATTCAGATGGTTAGTTCATTCAAATTGCTCATTCGTTCTTTTTGTTTAAATTCGGATTCCTTTCTGTAGAACTTAATTGTCCACCCATTGCTTGCGGTACCGGACAATTTTTATGTGCGCGTGATCGACGTTGTATCAATGCAACACGTCGGTGCGACGGTATTGCGGGTAGATCGAATCATACATTCAACTGTACATTATTTACTAATGACAATTACTATTAATGTAGACTGTCCATCAATGGAAGACGAACAAGGCTGTTCAGGTTCTACACCATCGTTCTGCCGAGCTGATCAGTTTCGTTGTGGAACAACTTGTATACCCAACGTAAGCTAGATGATGTATTAGTATATTGAATAAAAACTGATTGCTTCTTTCCATTAGGCATGGCGTTGCGATGGCCATCGAGGTAGGGTTTGTTTTCGATGGATAATTGAATAAACTTGAAGGATTTGATTTAGATTGTGCTGATGGGTCTGATGAACCATCGACTTGTGGTAAGCAGATTTTACTTTCGAAGATATTCAGACCTCGTCGATTGTAGGTGCACGAAATTGTACATCGGGCGAATTTCGTTGTTTGACGTCGGGCGAATGCATTCCGGAGACATGGGTGTGCGATCATGATGTAATCACACTTTTGTTACTGTTTTTCTCGTTTAAATGATTGGAATTCTCATTTAGGACGATTGTGAAGATGGGTCCGATGAAAGTTTAGATCAATGCCGTTAGTATTTGTTTGAAATTTTGTCAAAAAGTTGAGTGAATGTAACAATCTTTCATAGAAACTGCCCCGTTTTCCTGTCAAGATAATCAAATACCATGTCCAAGTACAACCATCCATCAATGTGTAAATGTTTCACAAGTTTGTGACGGGTAATGATCTATTTCGTTTGTGTTTCACCGTTGTTACACGAACTAACTCTGATGTTTTAGTAAACCGGATTGCCCTGGTGGTGGCGATGAGTCGCCATTATGTAACAATGATCAATGCTCGGTCAATAATGGTGAATGTAGTCATATATGCCATCCATCTCCATTTGGTGTTCTATGTCTTTGTGAACCTGGTTTTCATGTAACCAATGCGACAAATTATAAAAAATGCGAAGGTAAAATAAGATGAAATTTAAAAAAAGTCTACGAATGTTCGTTTGATTATTAGATATTGACGAATGTGTTGAAGATCCATTTTTATGTCATCAGCACTGCTTGAATACCAATGGAAGTTTCATTTGCGGATGTGAAGAAGGATTCATTTTACAATCAGATGGACGAACTTGTAAAATCATAAGTAAGTCATTTGAGAAAATCTAATAAATTCAACTCATTTTCTACAATCTTTAGATGAAACTGGTATTCGTTTATTGGTTTCATATAGTTCTTCAATTGGCTGGTACTCGCCAACATTGAAAACCTATGGCCAAGTTCCTCTTGGTCCTAATATGCGTTACATATCTGCATTTGATGTTGACAATCGAACGAATACATATTTCTGGGCTGACATAGCAACAAATACTATCTATCGTCGTTCGCCAAGAGCAACGAATTACACCAAAGTAAATCAACTTTCAGAAGTTACTTCGATCTCACAGACAATTGTTTAGATTATTACAAGCGGTAATAGTTACATTGCTGGCTTGGCATATGATTGGATTGGAAATAATTTATACTGGACTGATTATATGCTCGAACATATTGAGGTTTCATCAGCAGATGGTCGTCATCGACGGATATTATTGCATGAAAATCTCACAAATCCATGGGCAATCGCAGTCGATCCTCGACCAGGCGTTCGATTTCTGTTTTTTACTGATTGGGCTAAAAATCCTCGCATTGAACGTTGTAGCATGGATGGTCAAGAACGTATTACACTTGTCAACGATTCAATTCATATGCCATTTGGTTTAACGCTAGATTTAATACGTGAAAAAGTTTACTTTAGCGATCGTCATTTGAATTACATCGAAGTTATTAGTTACACAGGAGCAGATCGACGGAAAATCCTTGCGAATACCCATTTTCTTCATGCGCCAACGTCAATTGCTATTTTCGAAAATTATCTCTATTGGTTTGATTCGAACTCAAATGAAGTACGTCGTTTAAACCGATTTGAACATGGTGTCAAAGCACAACGACATGAGAGAATTCTATCTCGCACAGGAATTACTCATTTGAAGATTTCGCATCAAATTTATCAACCATCAGGTACGCACGAACTTCTTCTGATTATTTTTTACTTTCATTTTGTGTAAATCTAAGGTCCAAATCCATGTCAACAATCTCGCTGTACACAACTTTGTCTTCTTTCTCATACTTCATCATCGGGTTATACTTGTGCTTGTTCAACTGGCTTCTATCTGGACCGAGATCAGTTTACATGTTCGAAAGGTATGAGTTTGCCGTGAAAAACGAAACTGGAATGCAATGCAATTGACTATTCCATTTAGATTATTCGCCTTTCATCATTTATATGAGAAGTCGAACAATCGGAGGAATAAACGTACGACATGATCAACGATACATTGATGAAAATTCGAATTACGATGATTTATGGGAACGATTAGTTACCGTTACAGATATCGGCCGAGGTTATGAATTTGCCTTTGATGAAGCTAACGAAACGATATATTGGTCACAAATGAAAGGTATTCTGCCCGATGGATCTACCAGGGTATGAGAAATGTTTTTTTCGTTGAAACTTTTGGAATCATCTGTATTGTTGTCGTTTAAGTATGAAATTCGTCGAATTAATTTCGATGGTACGAATGAAACAGTTTTCTATGGTGATGATGAAATCTTAGTCGGAATGGAAAGTGGTACAATGCAAGTCGATGCTGTCGGACGGTAAAATTTCCACTTCAAACATTGGATCATTACTGGATTTATTTCTATTTAGTAATCTATTCATTGTCAACATTCATCATAGTCGTATCGATGCCATTTCATTGAATGGACAATATCACACAATTGTATATAGCAATCCGGAGAATGAGACTGGTATCATGCGACCGATTGCTTTGGATCTCGATACGTTACATGGGCAAGAGAATTTTATTTGAAAATCAACTGTTTTTGCTAATAGGAGTTCATGTAGATTTGTGTATTGGATTGATCTTGGCGGTGGACAAGTGCCGATGAAAATAGCTCGTGTTCGTTTCGATGGCAAATATCCAGAGAATGTTATAACAGAAAATCTCCTGCGTCCGAACTATATAGTGTACAATCTCGATCTTCATTGCATTTTCTGGAGTGATACTGGTATTCAAAAAGTAAATAGATCAAATATTTCAATAACTTGAACAATGCTGTAAATTTCTATTTAGATTTCATATCATTGTATGGATTCGGGTGATACAAAAGTTCTCGACGTTGATGTTAGCCATCCTCGTGGTTTTGATTTTCTTACTCATTTCCTATCTCCAGCATCGGGATCGTCAGTTCAAACAAATGAAAATGATGACATTTCATCCACACATTATTCCTTATTCTTTGTCGATGCTGATCTAGAAGGAGTTTATAAGAAATGGTTTGATCATAACTTAAACCCAATAACCGATATCATCCCGGTACGAGTTAATCAGCAAGATCCAATGCAAGTTCGAGCTTATCCGCGCTACGAAGGTAATGAAACTTCTTTTCTTCTCTTAATCTTCCATTCATCTCTTCTAATTTAGCTCTAAATGCATACTGTTATTACAGTTCTTATTGTGAACAGTTCTGCTTTCAAATTGATTCACTTAACCATAATACACCGACATGTGATTGTGCCATCGGATACAAATTAAACAGCGATGGACGAACATGTTCACCTAAAAGTCAGCAATTCATCATCTATAGTACACATTCCTTGTTGCGAGCATTCGATTATCGTTCGAATGATTCGGCAAGAGAAGATGTTATGCCACTAATAGCCGGTAAGATTCTTTTATATGAAAATGAGACAGAATGGCATCTGTTGGTTCTTCTTCCGTAGGAAACAACATGGAAATGTTATCGGTTCGATATTCTACGCGTGAAATTTATTGGATACATGCGAATCGTCTGATACGTCGGGCAGTTTGGACAGATAGTCGAACATGGAATGTCACAACTCACTTACAAATAAGCGTTGCTGCTGAGCAAAACTTTATTCTTGGTCTGACGCTTGATTGGATATCTGGAAATTTGTATTTTTCATACATATCGAACCAATATGGTCATTTAGAAGTTAATCGTCTCGGAACAGATCATCGTTTGATATTGCGCAAAGGCACTAATGAAACAATCTATTCTCTAGCTGTTAATCCGAAACGAAGGTAGTTTGATAGAGTCAAGATAAAGTTCAATGAAGATTTGATTATCTATTTTACATAGATTTCTCTATTGGTGTGATCGTGGTCCACGTGCTCACATTACTCGTTCATTGCTCAATGGTGAAAATGTTACCTATCTTGTTACAACACAAATCATTCGACCCGAATCAATAACAGTTGATTATTCGACTGATGATGTCTATTGGGCGGATTCTATACGTGATACGATCGAAGTTATTTCATGGGATGGACGAAATCGGCGAACAGTTTCACGTAATATTCCCAAAGCGATTGCTTTACTTGTTGCTAACAGTGATCTTTATGTTATGGATCGAGCATTTTCATCGGTAAGACACTGGCTTTGCATTTTGAACACACAGACTTATTCCTATTGTTTTATTTTCGAAGATTATGCGTATTAACAAGACAGCTAGTAATGTGACACAACGATTAGAATCGATTTTACCGTTGAAAACTTATGAAGTTGGTGGAATGGCATTGTTCGATGAACAGCCTATCTATGAGTCACCTTGCCAATCCTCAACGGTTCGACAAAGATTCTGTGAAGATCTCTGCTTTGCTATGCCTGAAACAAGTGTACCACAATGTGCATGTGCATTCGGAACATTGAGTGCTGATCGGCGAACTTGCACACGTAAGAATTTTCCATAATAGACGGTTCGATTCAGTGAATTGTCTTCTAGCACCAAATGAATATCTACTTGTGGCGATGGAAAAAGAAATTCGTCCGATGTCTATGCAACCACATGGTTTAGCAACGAGTGCACCGTGGAGAGCAATTACTAATCTTAGTATGGTAGTTGGAATCGATTTTGATTATCGAGATAAGAAGATATTCTACACGTAAGTACTCATCTTCATTCTCTGCGCGATGTTTGATCAAACTGTTTCAAGGGACATTCAAATTCAAGATATATTTTCATTTGATATGGATGATCCGAATCCAGTTGCTCGAAAATTAGTACAATCAAATGTGACAGGTAACAGATTTAAAACGAAGTAATTTTAAGGCAAACAAAGTTGTTTGGTGATCAGGTCGTTCACAACCTGTCGGTATTGCATACGATTGGGTGTCTGATCGTTTGTATTGGACTGATGAAACTTATGGACGAATCATATCGGCAAGACATAACGGTTCAGAAAAAGTTATTATCGCAGCTAGTCTACGTCCTAGAGCAATTGTTGTGCATCCGTGCAAAGGGTTTGTTCCAGATTAAGAGAATTAAGCTGTTTCTTTACTTGTTCAATATGTAGATTACTGTTCTGGTCAGATATTGGATCATATCCGTCGATTCGTCGTTCGACGTTAACTGGACGACAAGTGACATATGTGATAACGACCAATATTCGTTGGCCAAATGGACTAACAGTTGATTTCGATGACGATCGAATCTATTGGGCAGACGCCTGGTTGTATGTATCATTTGACAATTTGCATATTCCATCATTAAAAAAATCTATGTTCATATTTTATCTAGTGATCGTATCGAACGTGCCTCATTCGACGGTACAAATCGTGAAGTCATTGCCACAGTTGTTCATCCATTTGCAATAACTGTTCATGGACATCATATCTATTGGACTGATTGGAATCTTCGTGAGTGACAATCACCTCGAGTGAATTTTCCTTCCAAACCATTTTGTATGTCTAGGTGGTATTTACCGTGCAGAGAAATATACCGGTGCTAATATGGTTGAAATGCAGAGCAACCTTCCCTACCGTCCAATGGATATCCATGTCGTATCGGATCAACGTCAAAAGTGTTCATCTTCTCCATGTAATATCAGTAATGGTGGTTGCAGTCATATATGCAAAACAGGATTGGATAATCAAGTGGAGTGTACTTGTCCAAGTGGTCAACAATTGAAGTTAGCAAATGACCGACGAATGTGTGTTCGTAAGTGAAGTGAGAACAAAAATGAAATTCGATGCGTCTATTTTATTAGCGATATCATCATCATGTGCATCCGTTAATTTCACCTGTCGCAATGGTCAATGTATTTCCAGACGAAAAGTGTGCGATGGTCAAGGAGATTGTTCAGATAATTCAGACGAAGAGACAAGATTTTGCTGTAAGAGATCAAACGTGAAGTCGTTCCTATATGATAATTTTATTCTAGCGGTCTATACTTGTCGACCAACTGAATATCGATGCTTGAGTGGTGGTTGTATTCCATTTGTTGAGAGATGCGATCGAAAAATCGGTAAACCTTTCATAATTTTGATGTAAGATTATGACAAATGCTCTGTTCATAATTAGATTGTAATGATGGTAGTGATGAAAATAATCCTTATCAGCCTTGTGTCTATCCACAATGTCCTGACGGACAATTTACTTGTGCTAATTTTCGATGTATTGATTCTTTCAAACGTTGCAATGGTAAATATAAAAGAATGAGTTTCTATCATCTTATGTCTTTGATCAATAGGATACGATGATTGTAATGATGGAAACTCAACTGATGAAGTCGGTTGTCCGTCCCGTGTTTGTAACGGTACAAATAGTATGAAATGTCCTAACAATAACATATGTATCCAACGAAGTTATCTATGTGGTATGTAGCAACATTTAGTGCAGAAGAATTATTGATTGGAAATCAAACCATTGTTTTATTTATTAGATGGCGATAATGACTGCGGTGATAATAGTGATGAAAGTCCAATATTTTGTCAAAGTATTCAGTGCAATACAAGTATGAATTGAAAGAGAAAGTTGAATTTTTCATAATGCGTCGGAATTTTTCTTTATTAATCTAGCGGAATTTCGATGTGGAAACGGTCGTTGTATACCATATTCCTGGGTATGTGATGGACGACGGGATTGTGCTGATGGTATTGATGAACCAGCTGATTGTCGTTCCACGAATCGTACATGTCCAGCAGAACTTTGGAAATGTGATAATGGCCGATGTATAAGTCCAGATCAACGATGTAATGGTATTGACGATTGCCGGTAAACTGAAAATGCAAATATTTTATTCAAGATTATCGGTTTTTTTTTTGGTACACAGAGATGGAAGTGATGAAGATGAAAGACACAATTGTGGTTAGTGATCGATTTGATTAGCACATAGAGTGCGATCATTTATGTTCTTTCAGCTGAAATGCCTTGTCGTTCCACACAATTTCGTTGCCCGACAGGTCTGAAGACTAATTCGCGTTTGAGATGTCTCGATCAATCAGCTGTTTGTAATGGTATTGCTAATTGCATGCGTGGAGAAGATGAAGCCAATTGTACTCGACGTAATTGTTCTTCTTTCCAGTATGCTAAATAATATCCATAAGAAAGGATAGACTTCGAGAATATTGGTGTATTTCAGATTTCAATGCGCCAACGGTCTTTGTGTTCCACAGTCATATGTTTGTGGTAGGTGTTATTTTCTGAGTACAAATAAGATTATGAGTGTTTTCGGTCTATTTAGATCACGATAACGATTGCGGTTTGTTTATTTTAAATGTAAATCATTACATACAAGCTTTAGTTGCGTTTGTTTAGGTGATGGATCTGATGAACCGACATCGTGTGGTAAGAAACGGCAAAGATTGTTCTATTTTATTGATTTCTCGTTTTGAAAACTAGCTTCGCAGTATCGAAATTGTACTAGCGCAGAATATCGGTGTGAAAATGGACGGTGTATACCAAAGTCTGCTACGTGTAATGGCTTGTAAGTTGGAACATGATGATCTGTAGGATGGAAGAAATGCTCACTTTGTTTCTTTCTGTTCAGTAATGATTGCCATGATAATTCTGATGAGAAACCTTCCTTATGTCAAACAGAACAATGTCCTGCCGGACAATTCCAATGTCGAAATAAACAATGCATTCCCTATGAAGTTGTTTGCAATGGTGTAAGGAATTGTACTGATGGAAGTGATGAACCTGCTAGTTGTGGTGAGTAACAACAGTTCGACTAAACATTCTTAAAGTTTTGTTCTATCAGGTGTGAATGAATGTGCGTCGACGGTTCTCAGCGGTTGTGAACATAGTTGTGTGAATACATTAACTTCTTTTCGATGTACCTGTCGACCAGGTTATAAATTGGCAACCAATCAGAGAAATTGTTGGGGTAAGAACGCTCACCAGTATTCTCGATTTTCTACACACAGAGTGCTTCAATTAAATCATGTCTATTTAGATATTAACGAATGTATTGAAACACCAAGTGTTTGTCAGCAATTATGTGAAAATACTCAGGGTACGCATAGTTATGCGAATAAAACGTTTTTGTTCTTAATTAATTCTATTTCTATCAGGTTCTTACATTTGTAAATGTGCATCTGGCTATGAAAAGGGTCTTGATGGGCGCAGTTGTTATCGAACAAACCGTACGTATTCTTTCATATCTCATTCATGTCTCATCTCGTGCTTTCATTCAGGAACTATTATTCCACATGTATTATACATAAACAAATACTACATTCGTGCTATTGACCTCGATGAACAAACCGAAATAACAGTTGCTCGTGGTTTTATGGAGCTATCTGCTATAACATATGATTGGAAAGATCGAAAAATCTATGTTGGGGACAATGTTGCCAATAAAGTCTATCGCATGAACTTCAATGCATCGCAGTCGACAGCGATTATCGAAGGTAGTCGAGTACGAGGACTCCGCGCAATAACTTTGGATTGGATTGGAAGAAAATTGTATTTATTATCCAGCATACCTGAACTCCGCGTCTGTGAATTAGATGGTCGAAATGAAGTGACACTATTAGATTCAAGATTCTTATCCCAACCGAATTATTTAGCAATTGATCCGTTAGTCGGCTACTTGTTTTATTCCGATTGGGGTCAACCACATATTGGAAGAATCAATTTAGATGGTAGTAATTTTGTTAAGGTTATTGGAACAGATACGGCAGGACCTTTGGGTTTAACTATTGATATTATTACGAAACGAATCTTCTGGATCGATAGACGTTTGCAACGATTAGAGTAAGTTACTCTTGTGTCTAAAAATTCACTTGAAATAATTTTCTCATCATAATTAACTAAATCTATTCGTTTATGCAATATAGATTCAGTAATTACAATGGTGGTGAGCGTAAAATTGCATTTTCGGGTCATGATTATGTGCCATACTCGCTTGGTCTGGGATTCATTGATGGTTATGTAATTTGGTCAGATTTCACTAACCACTCTTTAATTCGTGCTGACGCGTTGAATGGTTCAAATAAACATGTGCTGATACCAGACACGATCAACGAAGTCTTGTCTCTTGCTATTATCCATCCATCGTTACAACCACAGAGTAAAGAACAGAAGTTTTCGATCGGACTAAACAAGCGAATCTTGTTTTTGTTTTGTAGTTCCAAATCCATGTGGAACAAATAATGGCGGTTGTTCACATTTATGTCTATTGTCAACGAATCAATCGTATACGTGTGTCTGTCCTGAATACTTTTCATTTGTCAGCAATGGAAACAATCGAACATGCGCCGCGAATTGTAGCTGTAATCAACACCGATGCGGACCGCCCAATGAACGATGTATCCCTTGGTCAGCGAAATGTAATGGAGGTAAGTTTATCCTTTTCGTATTGGTTTCAATATCTAACGACAAATAATGTGTTTTAGTGAATGACTGCGAAGATGGATCAGATGAGCCCACTACTTGCCCGCAAAGACGATGTACAACAAATCAATTTCAATGTCGAAATCAAAATTGTACACCGATTTCATATGTTTGTGATGGTAAAGCATAGATAATTTTCGAGAGAAAATGTGTTTATTTCTTGTTTTGTTGTGAAGGTATGGATGATTGTGGTGATAATTCAGGTAGGGATTTAGGGGAGGTTTGATTTGCAGAGGAAAACGTATTGCTTATGACAAATTTAGATGAAGAAAATTGTGAATGCCGCTGTATGCCAGGAACATTTCGATGTAACTCGGGCCCATGTTTACCGGCGGTGATTATTCGAGAAAAAAAATCGCTCTCATTCAATAAAGATTTCCTTTTAGAGATTCCGTTGTGATGGTACTCGACATTGTTCTGATGGTAGTGATGAGTTAAACTGTGGCAATCGTACATGCTCTCATCATCAATTTACATGTACTAATGGTCGATGTATCCCTGCATCATATGAATGTGATTTAGACAATGATTGCGGAGACAATAGTGATGAAAACGCTTATTTCTGTCGTAAGATTATTTTCTCGATAGATTCCAATGTAAATATCGATTTGTATTCTCAAGGTAACCGCCCGTGTCGTCCTGATCAAGTTCGATGTCCTAACTCATATAAATGCATTCCGAATGCAGCACGGTGTAATGGACGAAACGAGTGCGGAGATAATAGTGATGAAAATCCTAATCAATGTCCGGCATGCAATGATGCCAGCCATTTTCGATGTCGTGATGGAGGATGTATTCCGAGAAGTTTGCGTTGGTAAGCAGAATGATTTTGTCGGATGATAGTATATAACAGAATCTTATCTATTAAGTAATCATCGAAACGATTGTCGCGATGGATCTGATGAAAATCCAGACACATGCAGTAAGTTATCTACTGTCATAATTTTTTCTTCGATTCGAAAAATTTGTCTGCTTCACTTTAGTTTATCGAGATTGTAGTGAAGATGAATTTCGTTGTTCCAATGGTCGATGTATTCCACAACGATGGTTTGAAACAAATCTTCAAGAAGATATTTAGAATATTCGTTTGATTTATTTGCTTGTTTGTTTCAGGGTTTGTGATCATGATTATGACTGTGGAGCTGGTGATACATCCGATGAAACAGCTGATTGCGGTTAGTTATCTGTTGACTTTTGAAAGAGATTTGTAGCGAAAAAGGAAATCACGTTGTAGCTGCTCGACCATGTCCGAATGGAAGATTTAAATGTGCATCAGGTCACTGTGTTAGTAATACGAGTCGTTGTGATGGAATTCCACAATGTGCAGATGTTTCGGACGAAATCGGTTGTCCACCACGTGGTCCGAATGGAACCTATTGTGCAGCAGACCGTTTCACTTGTAACAACACACTTTGTATCAATAAAAATTGGATGTGCGATGGCGGTAAGCCTTTTCGCAGCTCTTTCATAAGTCATCTTTAATGTTTTGTTTATTTAGACAATGATTGCCATGATAATAGGTAACTGATCCTGTGAAGTATAGATTTGTTTATCTTTGTCTGATTTTCTCTAGCGATGAAACACTGGAAATCTGCCGAACAGTCCCGTGTAACTCAACATATCATTTCCGGTATCCGAACACACTGCGATTTATCTCCCAATGTCAATAAGATAAACATTTATGATTCTATTTTAGTTGTACAAACGGTCGCTGTATCTATCGTTGGCGCATGTGCGATCATGTCGATAATTGTGGCGATAACAGTGATGAAGATATTCATGGTGTTTGCCGCACAAGAAATCAACCGATAACATGCCCACAATATAAATGTGAACACACCAACCGATGTATCCGATTTTCCGATCTGTGCGATGAATGTAAATGAAATTCTACAAGAGTTTGCAAAGAGGATTTTCGTTTTTCTTATCGCCTAGATGACGACTGTGGGGATGAATCCGACGAATTAACATGTCATCATAATACAACAATAACATGTGCAAATCAAACCAACCATTGTGAACATCAATGTCATAATTTACCAAATAACCGAGGCATTGTTTGCGCATGTCATCCAGGTTATAAGTATAGTAAAGAAACATCGAAATGTGAAGATATTGATGAATGTCAAAACACAACGTTGAATCATTGCTCGCAGATATGTATTAATACGAAAGGAAGTTTTCGCTGTGAATGTGCAGCAGGTTTTGAGCCAAGTGCGGTGAACCGATCAGACTGTCACGCGGGAGGTAAATTGTTAGAAAAAAATGAGAAGATTATCAGATAAATCTTTTCTTTTTGTTGTAATTAGATCAAACGATGGATCTCCTGATATCTGAACCTGACGATATTCGTCGTCTTCGTCAAAACTCTCCTGGAAATGCCGCACATTATGGTGTGCTTGTCGAAGATCAATACAGTGCTGGTTTTATTTCCATCGATACAACGAACCGTTTATTCTATTGGATTGACGAAGCAACGCATGAAGTCAATCGGGCACATCTTACTCCGAGTGCAATTTCAACAGCACAGCCACAACAACTATTATTTGAAGATACTGATCATGTAATCGTTCCAACAAGTGTCTCTATTGACTGGATTGGTCAAAATCTGTACGTCACTGATGCTACTCATGGTTGTATTTGGGTGATGAAAAATGATGGACGTTATGCAACAAAATTAATCACAGGTATCGAGTCTCCATGGGTTATCGCTGTAAATCCAGTGCTTGGAATATTCTATTTTATTAACTATGAACATCATGATTTTAATGACACCAGTGACCGTGTTGTTGCAATCGAATCAGCTTATATGAATGGAGAAAATCGTACTATATTAGTCGATACAGATATTATTTATCCGACCGATTTAGTGATTGATTTTTATCAAAACTATCGTGTTTACTGGACAGATGAAAAGAAAGAATCGATTGAATCAATGAATTTTGATGGAACCGATCGAGTTACGATAGCACATATTGGTGTACATGCACCGCATTCTTTGGATATATTTGGAAGTCATGTCTATTGGATTAATCGAGAAAATCGATCTCTATATTCAATTGAGAAATTTGGCCGGGGTGTATCAACGATGGTTCTTGACAATTTAGAATCACCTTTGTTCGTCAGAATTTATCATCCGCTGAAACAAATTCAATCAGGTTTGATGAAATTTCGAAAACAAAAACGTTCTGGATTCATTTATTTTTTCAGTATCAAATCCATGTTCAACGGCCAATTGCTCACACTTATGCGTTCTAAAACCATTGAATCAATATCAATGTTTATGTCCACTTGATACAGAAATGCTAGCAGATAGTCAAACATGCAACGCACGTATGTATCGTATAATTTTAGAGCTATTTCCACTCTGTGTCTGTCTTGTTTTCCTTTTAGCAATTGTTCCCGAACGAGAAAGTGTTCTGCAATGCTCCTGTGTGCATGGTCGATGTATTTACCAATCGGACGATCAAAACAATTATCGAGTAACTGGATGCGACTGTTCACCGGGTACAATCCATAGAATACTGACCATCGAAATGACTATTTCTCACTTTTCTCATAGGATATGCTGGTGCGAGATGTGATAGAAAAACTATCATTGAGATCGTTGGTAAACATTGGCGTAAGATTCTTCTTTCTGGAATCATCATTGTTGCATTAATCGGTATGACTATATTTGGACTTGTTCTATTCCAACGCAGAGGATTGTAAGTAAAACGAATATGAAAAGAAGAACTGTCAAATGCTTCCTATCTTGTGTATTCAGAGTCCCATCAATGCCTACTCTTCCATTGCCGACAGCTGTTCGATCAACACTGAATAATATTCGAAATTTTGTTACACGCTCAACAGATACGATTAATACCGTACGATTTCGCAATTCTCGTCCAACGACAGCCAGCAGTGCATCAACTTTAGTAAATAGAAAAGGGAGAGACCAGAATGTATTGACATGAATGTCTGATATTTTCTAGGCTTCATCACCTGTATTCGCTAATCCAATGTTCGGTGCCACAACGTCTAGTCAATCAACGAACGAACCAGCGAAATTGAATGTTGAGGTTTTTCCACCTCCCTCGAAACCAAATCGAAAAGGTTATTTTTCTTCTATTTCTATTCATTAAACTTGAATCTCGTTTCCTTCTAGGTACTCCAGTGTCTCCGCCACCCAAACAACAGCAACAATTTAATCCTCAAAGCAAAGAAACCGATCATGATAAAGCCAATCTAGTTGAACGAAGTGTTAATGATGCATAGAAAACAAACATTCTCTATTTCATTTTTTCTCTCTCTCTTTCTTTCTTTCATGTGTATCTAATGAATATTGTTCTATTTGTTATATGGTATTAGAGCTTACATTTTCGCTTTCATCATTTTAATGATTTCATTGTACTGTTCCATATCATGGCACGGAACATAAATTAATTTAAAAAAAAGGAGTTGAATATTTACAAAAAGTATTACAATTCAATATCAGGCTATTTCTACACATTTCAGAGGATCTGAGTAACGTCATACGAAGATTTGGAAAGTTCTTTAAATGTCTGTGTGAATGCATATAGGTATTCCACATTATCAAGAATGCGATTTCTTATAACTGATTTATGATAAACGATGATAAAAGATGTTGATTGAATTTCATCTATTTATTTATCTTGATGGAAGTCTCGAAGAATGCAACAAAAACAATAATACATGTTTTTCGAGAAATTTCAAGATTAAAAAAGATATTTTCTTTGTTGTCAACACAAAACAATCTATTCAGACAATCGAAAAACATTTCCTTCGAGTTGTTGAACAAATGGTGCTCGTTGGATCTTCTTTTCCAGCTTTTCAAACAGCAAATCATCATCTTTCTCCTGGTTTGGCTTCAGTTTCTTGTATCGTTTAAAAATCTACACAAGAAAACAGATGATTCGACAACTTTCTCGACTTGACTTACCTTTTTTCGTAACGCTTCCAAACTGAGCGTTTGATCTGTTGCTTTACTCAAGGCACGTTTGATTTCATCGTACCATTCAAAACGAGGATTCGTCGGTACTGCCTGGTTATTCTCATCCTCATCATTAACCTTGGCTTTTTTCGATGATTGCTCATCGTTATCATTGCTTTTCCGTTTCAATTGAGATTTATTAGCGTCTTCGTTTTCAGCTGAGGCGCTTTGATTTTGTTCCTCAACATCCGTTTTCTTTACTTGATTCGGTTCGTTATTGGAAGGCTAGAAAGATCTATGTTACAGCGTTTATACTAATCGCTTTAATCATGTTACTTTGGGTAGTAACTTTTCAAGAATAGACCACACTTCTTCAACGCTTCGTGGCGGAAATCCTTTGATTGAATTATTTACGAAGTTCTAATGAAAGAAGAAAATAATTATAGTATTAAAGACTTCGAACTCACAATAAATTTCGCTCGTTTTCGTGGTGTGTTTGGATAATATTGCAGCTTCTGCAATAGGATCTTCGCTTGGGCACTACCGGTGTTCTGATTAATTGCAGATTGCACAATTTCAAACCATTGATTTTGTTTCTTTTCACCTTTATTGGTATTTGTCGGCGCGGTGTAATTCGCACCACCATACTTTTCTTGTTCACTTACACATTTCGTGTGTTCTTTGTAGGAATCACGGCTAGAAAAGTTCGACAATAGTTCACGGAATCAAACAAAGATGAATTCGTACGTGAAATCCTTTCCACAATCGATACATGAAATTGTTTGCACTCGTCGACATGTGCTTCCGATATGTTTATCGACCTGGTTCTTTTTGAGTGCCTCACCGCAACTTCCACAATGGAAAACAACCATGAAAATGAGATTTTCTTTTGATCTAAAACAGAGAATTGAGAATACACCGAGTCACTCGAATAATTAACTAATCGTTTTTGTTCTCATTGTTCAGTACAATTAACAAAACATCAGATTTATTTTACAATGTACAAACAATATCATTTTTTAAATCTTTTAGGTTCTTGTTTAACATAGAATGAATGTTTCTCATCTTTTCGCCTGGACGACGACGACGACGACGAAGACGAAGGCGGTGGTAAATCGACACCCGGTGCACACCCTAACTCTTTCAATGTTCGAATAAGATCATCATCATTTTCGTGTTCTTTTGGTGGTTTATAATTCTTGACATGATCGACACGTATTTGACGGCCTGCTAATTTAATTCCATTAAAATTATCAACAGCTAAGATTGTACTTCGTTGATCTTCATAACATATAAACGCAAAACCTTTTGATTTACCAGTTTTTTTGTCACGTAGTAAATTCATATTGACAATTTCACCCCATCTAAACAAACCGAAAGAAGAAGTCATTTCGAATTGCGTACTGAAGAATGGATTCTTACTGAGAAAAAACACAGAGAACATCTCCTTCAGTTAGTTGAAAATCTAATCCACCAACATAGATCCAAGCACTTTCGCGATAGACATTATGCCAACTCTTATTCGTATTTGCTGCTCCAGTCTGAAGTTCCTTCTCATTCAATTCATTTAATAATCGTGCTTTGCTTAAAAAGAGAATTAAAATCAAGAAAATATTTGTAATTAACTGAAATAACCTACGTGATCGAATTCATCCGTGTAGAAAATAAAATAAATGTGCGGATTCGTTGAAAGAGAGAATGAAATGAAATTGCATAGACTGCGTAAATCTAAATACCAATCAGTGTTAACTATAGATGGCAGTTATGAATTTTTCGGCGTCATAGGAAAACAACATTTATTTATTTGATAAGATCTAGTCATTTTCACATATAGATACAAAGTTGACTTAGAGGGTCTAATAGATTATAAATTTGAATTTTTTTCAAGATTGTGTCATTTCTAAAACAAAATAGCAAGGATCTAAGATGGACTTTAACGATGATGATAATAACCCATTTGCTGATTCGTCAATAAGAAAAGCAACAGCGAACTCTTAGTTTGTATTCATATCTTTGATTGTTCAATTTCATATCTGTTTATCTTCTAGCTCAAATCAACCGACGAATGGCGAATACAACCCTTTTGCAAATACAACTGTAGCGGCTCGAGTAAAGCTTAGAATCATCGTTTTTCGTACAGCACACTGTTACGTCTTTCCTTTCTAGCCTGCTTCATCATATCAACAACCAAGTGTTGCTGCTGTGTTGCCACCAACACCAGCACCAGCATATCAGCCACCACCACCCGTTTATCAACCATCAACACCAGCATCAGCAGCGGCATATCAGCCGCCACCACCCGTTTATCAACCACCAACACCAGCTCCTGCGCCTACAACAACACCGTACACAGCTCAACAACCGGCTGATAGATATGGAAGTGAGACGAAACAAACATCGACCCGCGTTGACCTCAGTCAATACGAACGACAACAAGCTGAACTCGAGGAGCGTGAAAAACGTCTTGCTGAACGCGAACGAGCATTATCTAACACAGGCAAAATTGGACGTACGTATATCAATGAGTAATATCTTTGACTTCTCTATCATGTGAGAACTTTCGCTTAAAATGAGTAATCATGTCAGATAAAATTTATGACAGATAAGTAAGAGAATTTCAAAGTAAACAAGCTTGCCTTCACTGTTTGACTCTTCTCGTCGTATTTGTTCAAGCTAGTTTGGTAAATTCGAATATCTACTTTTATTTCAGAACGAGAAAATAATTTTCCACCATTACCAGCAATATGCCCATGTCGACCATGCTTCTATCAAGATATAAACATTGAAATTCCAGGTCAATTTCAACTTTGGGTTCGATATATTTATTATCTATGGCTTGGTACGTTTTGAATCATATCTTCTCACTTACACATCTACCAATTTCTTATGTTCATAGCTTATTCATTGACTTTATTTTTGAATATGATCGCGGGACTGTCTTATTTTGGTAATCCACACTGAAATCGCAAGCATTTAAACACTATCCGTTATTTTTATTTAGTCGTCGACAAAAATGGTGCATCGACATTTGGATTATCATTGGTCTATTTAGTCTTATTTGTGCCATTATCATACATCTGTTGGTTTCGGCCAATTTATCGCGCATTTAGGTTTGTTATTCGATTGTTAAGATGAAAGTCCATATCTAGTTACAAAACTATAGTATCTTTAAATGAGATGATGGTCTCTCGATGAAGAAGAAGTATCGAAACGTTCAGTGTGAGTCCTATGTGAATATCATAGCAAATCTTGATTCTACTAATCTGACTACTATTGAACGCTTATTCTTTACTAATGTTTCTTTTTCTTAATCTAATCTAGAGAAGACAGTGCATCGAGTTTTATGATCTTTTTTCTTGTCTTCTTCATACAACTTGCCATAACAGTCCTACAATTCTTGGGCCTTGCTAATCTTGGATGGTAATATATCTCCTCTATATTGTCATTCGCACTCTGCATGTTCATAACACTAAACTTTGTTTGCACTGCTTGTCATACCTATTTTGTTCATATTAACACATATTTTCTTGTTCGAGTCGAACGAATCATTGATATTTACTTAATCTCAATTTAGAACCGACAGTTCTGCTTCGTTTATGATTTTCTTCTTTATCGGAGTTATATATATCGCCATCGATATCTTGTTTGCAGTTGGCATTGTACCTGGCATGTGGTGGGTGTTGTGTATTATATACAGCTTTGCTTTTGCTTAGATTTGATTTTCGTAAACCAAAGGAGATTTATGCAATGTGTGTGTACCTTTCTCTTCTAGTGGATTGATTCTGATGATTCAGTTATTCGCTGCTGGTGGAAGCAAAATTCTTGTTGGTCTTCTAGTCATGATTGTAACATTTTGCTTCGCTCTGATCGCTCTCGCTGGTAGTCTGTTACTAATCAGGGTAAGATATGAATGATGATGCTCGAATATCTTGAAAAGAAAACGTCTTCTTATTCTAATATGTATATAAAATGTTTGTTTTCAATCTAGCGGTTTTGCTCGACTTGGAGTTATGTCAACAAGTAAAATTGTCGGAACGATGATGATCGTTCTCGGTTGTCTGTGGACATTGATATCCATTGCAGCTGTTATTGCCATACTTAGGGTATTGAATCAGCTGCTAAAATATGAATAAAACGAAATTATACTTTCACAACATTGTTTTCTACAGAATTGGTATATGATCCGTTTTTCTCTTCTAGGTTCATCGATTATATCGACAAACAGGAGCAAGTCTCGAACAAGCTCAACGTGAAGTTCAAACGGCTTTCGTGAATAAGTAACTATGAGTATAATGAAAACGAACATTGATTGATTTGTGCTTTTCCTCTAGTCCGACTGTTCGCGGAGCAGCTCGCGAGGTCGCAACAGCTGGCATCAACGAAGCATTGAATAGTGGCCGAAAATAATCAATTTTTGCACTCATGAAAATAAATAAATGAATAACAAATGTTTTCCTTTCGCAATATTCCAAAGAGATACTTCTATATTTATGATTATAATCTTCCCCATTCTCCATTTAATTCTATTTTTGTTGTTAAATCGGCGTGTCGTCGACGAGGGATTCCCAGAGAATAAGCATTTTGACTTTTGTTGTATTTGTTGCCTTCGTCTCTTCATATTTATTAATTTAATTTTGATGTTGTGACAAAACAAATTTATTCTGTGTTGTGTGCCATAGCAAGAAAAAGACATGTATAACCAAATATTCGTTGATTTGTTTTAGATAATCAGTGAATTTTTTCAATATCGATCGAATGGATATCATTGGCATGCAAAAGAAAATTGATAGACAGATTCGTGACCCTGTCGTGAAAACTGAAGCAGAGCGTTATTCCCTGCGAACCCGTTTGGCTTTTCTACCTGACGATGTCATCGGTCAATCATGGTTTTTCCGCTTATTAACATTTCTTTATTATTATTTTTTTGTATTTTTTCACGCATTTGAAGGTAGAACACAAGCCGAAAATATTTATTTCAACATATATTTTATCGTTCTCTAGTTGTCGGTATTGAAAAGATCGATCCTGATAGCGGATGTCTTTTTATTGCGAGACATTCGACACATAATGGCGATATTTTGGGTACACTCGTTTGCTTCTATCATAAAACAGGACGTGTATTAAGGTGAGCTGATCAATCGATGAGTTTTGATCGATGAGATTTAACTGCTACTATTTAGACCATTAATTCATCGATATTTGACAAAATTTTTTCCATTTCTACGGTTAATGGGTGCTGTGCCAGGCGAACCGAAAAGTGCGACTTCATTATTGAAAAGTGGTTTTTGGGTTGCAGTCGTTCCCGGTAATTACTGTTTCCGTACACGCGTTTTGACTTCATTTTTCATTCAGGTGGAGCTGATGAAGGTATGATTGGCCATGAAAATGCATACAAAGTATGTTGGCCAAAGAAGCGTAAGTTACATATAGATGTATTTTTCAATGATGATTTCATTAGTTTGACTTGAATTTGTAGGCAAAGGTTTTGCTCACGTTGCTGTTGATGCTCAAGTACCAATCGTTCCACTTTTCTTAGCCAATGTAGATGAAATGCGATGGAATCCTCTCCTTTCTCTCTGGAATTTTCTCGGACTCGGTCGCCAATTTTCCTATGTCCTTGATTTAAACATTCCAATATTACACTCCGTATTACTTATCATAGGCTCAACTGTATGGTTTCTAGCTACATTCATTCAAATACCAATCCCAGCGAAATTAACTTTATATATTGGTGATCCAGTGCAATATGACCCATCCAAAGATTCTATTGATGATGTAAGTTTGTCTTTCATGCGAGATTATGCGTTTTATAGATTTATCTTTCATTGTTTAAAGATTGTTCAACGATCACACGCTGATCTCCAACGATTGATCAATCGTTGTCAGCCTCAGGGACGATCCTATTCCAATGCGGTGAAAGAAAGATTCGCAGGTTTACTCAACTGTTGGAAAAGTACACTTCTCGAAGTGAAAAGTCATTAATAAGTATTGAGATTTTTTTATGCAGAAAAGTCTCTCATTGATTCTGTTTTTCAAATCATATATGATGTGATTTATAACGATGCTCGTCTGATACCACTAAAGTGATTTCATTATGAGATTCTAGATTTTGAAAGTTAAAATATGATATATGATGATTCAATGGACACGGAAGATCAGAATTTGTTGACATCGGCAACATTTGATGTCAACAAATTTCGATTGAGTAATGAAAGCGATGAACAATGGTTCTACCGGAAACAATTCATCGAAGCATATCGATTTGAGTACAACAAAGAAAGACTTTTGTGTTTGGCACAGTGCTATGCTAATACCAAATGTCTTGGATGTATGTGTTAGAATTGAATAATGCAATGAAGAGAAAAATATTTCTTTTAGGTAAATATTCTGAACCGTTAAAATCATTACTGGATCAATTGTCAGAAAAATTCTCAACTTCATCAATCAAACGATCACCATGTGAAGAACCAATCGGTGTCAACATCAAACGAATCTCACCTATGTCAAAGTACGTTTAATTCACCGAACTCTATCATTACTGTAGCTGCTAAGAAAATTAACAGAACATTTTCTGTAATTATCTCATCATCAATCAACCTGATAATAGTCTACAAATATCATAATTACTGAACCTCACTTTAATCAGCCTTTTTTACTCTATGATCACTTTCAGTACAAAACAATATTCTTTCCACTGCGCTCAATTATTTTGTTTTTCTTGAATTTTTAGTGTCAATAAGTCTAGCATGCAATCAAATGTTAATTTTTCAAATACATCAAATTTTGTATCCTTTTCATCGTCGCTTTCATCACATGTACCACCATTACAACCTTCTCCGACTCAACAAATCATACCACCAAAAACTAATCCGAAAACATCACTGAACGAATCTCCCGAAACCAAACTAACTCGTCTACGAGCGTTTACAAATCAATTGAAGCAATCCCTAGAAGCTGCCCAGAATCGAACGGGCAACAACGAAAACGATCATGCTATCGAACACATCTATCAAGTTGGTACCCAACAACATTTGTTTGTTGATTATCGACCTGATGAACAAAATGATCAGTCGAATTCCTATATTTCACCTGCAAATGCTTTTCTAACTAAAACATTTCGTAGCAAACTTTACATCGACGATGTTTATATCTGTGCTGGTGAAGGTACAAACAAAAAATTTTGTAAACGCAATTGTTTTCAGAAAGCACTGAATCGGTTTCTCTACGAGAACTTCAATGTCAAAATGAGTGTCAGCAAAGATGGACGGGAACAATATGAATTGATCACAGCAGTTGCGAATAATGTTCAAGAAGTATCAGTTGTGTCAGATGATGAACAGGACAAAGAAACATTTGCAATTCCAACGAATCATCCAATGGCCAATACAAAAATCAATTTCGTTCATGCAAGAGACACATTAACTATTGCTGGTCGCACAGCTCGCCAGCAAAGTGAACTTGAAAAACAATACTGGCAGCAGTGGGGTCGAGGTGTGCCTATGCCATTGCAACCGAAACGTATCCAACGATCGCTATCACCACCACCACCTGTTCCGCATCTCAAAATCGAGGACAATTCACCGGCAGTGATCGAAGGCTTGGCTACAACACCGGCTAGCATTGCAGTACACATCATAAATCTTTCTCTGAATTTCACAACAATGAGTTTTCTTTAGAATGTCATTTCGGAAATGGAACATTTTGCAGAAAAACAACAGAAGCTCGAATCAATCAATAATCCAGAGTCAGTTCTTTTAAAAACAACTCTTCCAACGAATAGTCGAGTAAATATATTTAATATCTTCGAAATTTACAGACACGGAAGATTTCAGAAAGCGAGATAACGATTTCAGTGAAACGTTTCTATCTCATCTCTATCTCTCCCTTTCAGTTCTTATTATCAATCCGACAAGCTTCGATACTTGGTTATACCTTATCAATTCAATGCATCTTTCTCAAATACTTAAGCAAAGGTCAGTGTACTGATATGTAGAAAAACGTTCAATTAGAAAGGAAAAGAAGCAAAACAAATTTTTGTCTGCCTACTAATTGAATGTTCTTATACATATCTGTACATTGATTTGAGAGATTGTAAAAAGCTTTGAGAATATGGCGAAGTCGCCTGAACGATCTGTTCGAATAGAATTTCTACACGATTTTACTGTTTTTCTTAGGAAATTGGCTCGATTATGAATACACAATCTACATGTTCTGAAGCAGCGAGCAATGCTATTGATCCAAACTTATTATCTCAACAACGTGCGAAACTAGCAAAAATGCAACCGTTTCTGTTTAGTTTGTTGAATTCTCTAGCTGATGCAAGTCATGCTATTGATTTGATTTCCACACAATGTAATAAATATCATCTACACGCGAATTTTGAATGTCCGGACAAAGCGACATTGAATGGTTTTCATGGACATTTGATTGTGGAACAAATCGAAGTTGCGGATGGATATGGTTTGAATAAGAAATTAGCTAAGAAACAAGTAGGAGTGAAAATAGTGATTGATGTATAAACATTCTCGTTTCGTTATAGGTTTATTCGAATGCATTGAAGTCAATTTCATCAGCTAAATCGTTTTCTCTTGATTTACGTCATCAAATTCGTTGGACATTAGTCTGTCATGACGAAAGCTCAGGTTTATTGAAAATACCACTACCTCGTCGACCAATGGCAGTACGTGATGGTGAAGACCGACCAAGTCGTTGGGGACCACCAACAAATCTATCCGCTGTAACATCTTCGTCAACATCAGCAATACGTTATTTTCATGAACGTCGTGTAGAAGAAGGTTCTCAACGTGAACGAGAATATCAATCGACGAATGGCATTTGCATTCCACCACCAGCCTTAATCGAACCACCATTAACACGTTCAGATATTGGCAAAGATATAAGCAAATGCACTTCGTCAACAGACGAAGCGATTGCGAATAATATTCGTCGTTTAATTCCAAATACATTCGTTGTTTTCGAACTGCTTGATTTCGATGAAAACATTCCGGGTCATTATGTCTCAATGTTATTCACCTCGATGTCAAAAAATAAACTCGAGCTTAAATATGAATTCGTCCATGTACCAAATGGTTGTATGATAACGTATAGTATTAACAATCGCTTTTTTATGTCATGGATTGCACCGACAAAAGTTGCCGCGAAACAAATAGGAGCAAAGAAAGCGATTGAAATGTTAAAAACACTTTATCCGAGTATAAAAAGCAAACATGTGGTTACTGATATGTCTATGAACGAAAATGAGATTTCGGGTGTTAAATGCCGATTGATTCGACGTGCTCAATTGTACGATCATTCATCTTCAGCGGCATCACTGACGACAGCAAATAATAATCTACCGCAAAAGGAAGATATGGGCTCGAAATTATTGAAAAAAATGGGTTGGGTTGGTGGTGGGATTGGTAAAGATCTACAAGGCATAGCTGAACCGATTCAAATCGAAGACTTACAAGGAAGAAAAGGTCTGGGTAGTAGCAGTCTGTTTCCAAACCAAACTTTTGTCAAGAATTTACGACAGATTTTGGAAGAATTTATTGCGACTAATGATGATGATGGAGAATTACAATTCGCCAACGAATTCAATAGTGAAGAAAGAAAATCGATTCACAAAGAAGCAATGAAATTGCATTTAACATCAAACTCCTATGGTCGAGATGGTGAACGACGTGTTAGTACTTCAATGAGTTCAAACAACTTCTTCATATCTGTTCTTCTTTTTCAGATTCGTGTCACACAAAAACGTAATGTCGATCAACTTGTTGATCATCTATTGACTCATGGTGGTGAAACAGCGCGATACGAATTGAAAGTGCAAACCCAACCCAAATTAAGATCTTCGAAAATCGCTCAACAAAAGTATAGTCAAATGGCTCCTCCGCCATCTTCGCAATGGCCAGCACCCGATGCATGTGATGATGGAAATTTATAGTAAATCATTCTCATGCTCATTGTTTTGATACTTTTTTTACTGATATACTTGAACACGTTACAGTTGTGTTGTATTTTTAATCTGTTGTTTTTTTTCCTACATATGTATTTAGATGAAACGAAAAGAAAATTCATTTGAAAAAAATCAAACTGATCATTTCATTTCAACAGAAATGCGCATCTCAATCTTGCTTATCTTATTTCTTGTAGAAAAAAGAGAGAAAAGAAAGAGACAAACTTTTATCGTGAATAATCTGATAGTATATATTATATAAATAGAAAGATTCACTTAACATCTGCAGGTGATAAATGACAAGGCCATAGCCGGTAATATCTTTTATCATTTGAAAATCTAGAGAACAAGGGGAGCGGTTAACTCTTTTATCAACTCGTTATTCATTATCAGTATGTAATATAGAGACTACTACATTGCTTCAGTCGTATTCTTCGTTTAGTAGATGTTCAGGATACTCAGTTGTAAAAACTTGGTTAATTTTTTCTTGTATTTTAGATAAACATGCGTTTATCGATAGCGATATTATATTTCCTAACTGTGATTGCGTCTAGTCATGGTAGACGGCCTCGTTCATCGTTGAATATGTTTCATGTTGAACCAAGTGTTGGTCAACCTTGGCCAAAGCCTCAATCCATGCAGTCAACTCCTCAACAATTTGCTATACATCCGTCTGCTTTCCATTTTATGATCAATTCGACAAGTCAAACTTGTGATACCTTAACCAGTGCATTTGATCGTTATTACAGATTAATCTTCTTTCCTCAAACTTATTTCGACTATATTCTCAATCCAGCATCGGCAACCGATGATAAAAGTGATAAACCAAAGAAATCATTAGCTGATCTTCATGATGCGACTATACTGAAACGATTGAACATTCACATGCAACAACCTTGTGAACAATATCCAACTCTTGAATCCGATGAATCATGTAAAGAATACCGAACTGGAAATTTTCTCTTTGAAAAATTCTTTTCTTTCGTCTAGATACATTAACAATCAACACTGATAATTCTATGCTAGAATCTGTGTCAGTTTGGGGTGCTCTCCGTGGTTTGGAAACGTTTAGTCAACTTATTTATGCTGATGATGATCTTGGGGTAAATATTTGATGAAATCCATACTTTCGTACGTAAGAATCGTTTGTTTGCTTCAGTTTGCTATTAATCAAACAGTGATCAATGACTTTCCTCGCTTTGCTCATCGAGGGTTACTTCTCGATACATCGCGTCATTTTATCTCGGTGAAAACATTGAAAATGAATTTAGTATGTAACGAACTCTTTCGTCTAAAATATAAATTCGTTGTTGAATCTTCTCCTTAAAGGAAGCTATGGCTCAAAGTAAACTCAATGTCTTTCACTTTCATATTGTTGATGATCAATCATTTCCATATGAATCACGTACATATCCCGAACTGAGCGGCGCAGGAGCGTACAATCAAGCCCATGTCTATTCGCAAGATGATATTGCTGGTCTGATTGAATTCGCTCGTCAACGTGGTATTCGTGTTGTTGTTGAATTTGATTCACCAGGTTTGAATATAAACATCGAATCGTAGATCATATCCTTCTATCTGGTGACTGTTTTTAATCGATAGGTCATACACAATCGTGGGGATTAGTTATTGACGTACTGACACATTGTTATAGTGGCGGAAAACCTAATAATGAATATGGACCAATGGATCCGAGTCGAAATTCAACATTTGATTTCTTGAAGAAAATGTTCTCTGAAGTGGCCAATGTCTTTCCTGATCATTACGTACATTTAGGTGGTGATGAAGTCGATTTTGATTGCTGGTAAGAAATCAATTTCTTGAGTATGTACATGTAAACAAGAAAAAGAATTGGTTTATAGGCGAAGTAACCCAAATGTTCAAGCATTTATGCGTCAAATGGAATTTGGAAACGACTATTCATTACTTGAGCAATATTATATGCAAAAGTAAAGCCTTTTTAGAAAAAAGGATTTTGCGGCAAAAAGAAATTGTTTTTTTTCTCCGAATATTTTAGTGTAGTTGATATTGTTGGTTCAACAGGAAAAGGTTATGCAGTTTGGCAAGAAATTATCGATAATAATGTAACAGTTAAAGCTGATACTGTCGTAGAAGTTTGGAAGGTTAGTTGCCAAACAAGGTCACGACGAACTTCTAACAAAGAAAGGAATATATATTATCTCTAGGACCCATATCCTGAAGAATTAGCACGTGTTACAAAACTAGGTTATCGTACACTTTTATCGACTTGCTGGTAATTTATCAAGAATTTAATATTGTACCTAATCTAATCCTGAGCATTGAATCTAGGTATTTGAATTATATATCCTATGGCAAAGATTGGATTCCATATTATAAATGTGATCCACATAATTTTGTTGGTAAATCTTCGTATCGTCGTGATGATCAATAGTTCTTGTTTTTCGTGTGTAGGCACTGATGAACAAAAGAAATTAGTTGTTGGTGGTGAAGCATGTATGTGGGGTGGTAAGTTATCGACGTGAGAGACTGTTTCAAAGAGTTTACTCGTTTTTAAATAATGTAGAATTTATCGATGCGACCAATGTCATTCCAACAACATGGCCACGAGCTGCGATCGTTGCTGAACGTTTATGGTCATCGAAGAATGTTACTGATCCGAATGCAGCCACGCCTCGCTTAGAAGAACATCGTTGTCGATCACTTCGACGTGGCATTCCGGCATCACCTGTCAACGGCCCGAGTTATTGTGATTATGAATATGACCGTTAATTGATTGATCATCCCAAGCTGAAAGCTTCTATTAATCTTAAAAGAACCCACTCGATTTCTCTTCTGTCTTTTATCGTACTGATTCCTTCTTAGCAGCATTGTGATTCATTTTGCTTGAGAAATAAATTAATGCAGCAATGACATTCGATCGACAAAGATCATAATGATAAATATCAATAAGCTTGGAGATCCTATTGTTTTGTATTTCTCTATCCAATAAGATCAAATTTGTCTTTCTCGTCTATTCATTCGATATTGTATTAATTCATTATTGAAAAGATAATTATCTCCAAGAAGATACTTAGAAAAATGAGAATGTCTTAGAACCGGAATAGGATCAATTGACTTTGACATACTCTAATAGAGAAAGAAAAATGATCAGAACAAAAGTTTGCATTTCTTACTTGAACTTTTTCAAATAAAAAGATCAATTGTTATTCCTTTTCGAGTCAACTGAAGATGATTTGTCTCGCCACTCGATTTGCTTTTCATCTAAATTCGCGATTTCAACGCGCGGAGTTCGATTCTTTCTCTAATGAAAGTTAATTATCATCGTCCTAATCTATATCAACAACGTCGGAAAATTCTTTCTGATAGGATATGAAATGTTATCTGAAAGAAAGGTTGACAGTTTCATGGTGTGCATTTGTCAGCAAATAAAATGGCAATGAAACAATCTAGTTACTGAATATAGTTCATAGTTGTCATTTACAGACGGTCGATAGTAATCATCTTAATAAACACGCAATAAAACAGAGAAATGAAAGGAGAAGACATCATGACTCTAAGACACATATGAGAGAATTCTCTTTCGTCATGCGTTTTTTTTTCTATACGAAGAGATTGTTGTTTTTTGTTACCGCTATTTGAAATTGTTCGTCGATGGTGAGGAAGTGAACGAAAGCGCAAGAAGAGAGTTGCTTGTAAGAATAATCATTATATTCATAGTCATCAAAATATTTTGTAATAACTATATTGCTCATTCATCATCACATATGATCTTTATCGTTGCATATACTCAGTCTTTTTTCCTATAATTGTCACATACTTACGGCACAAAAAGGAAATAAGAAAACATAGCGAGAAAGGGAGAGAGAGAGGAGGTTCTAGTTTTTCATTCTATTGTTGGATGCTGTTGTGTTTCTATCTGTTTGGAACAGGAGAGCGTGTGTAGCAAAGAGACATAGTCGAACTCGTCGGATATGGAAAGAATTTTTCATCTTGAAGATTGTTTTTATGCATGTTGTTACTTCGTATTTCTCGCATGCGTTCGTACTTATGATGTTTTCTCTGTTATTTAAATTATCTGAGCAAGAAGAAGCAAAGTGCCAGCAGGGCTTCTAGCCATCGGCAACTGAAAACGATTCACAACATGCTGTCAGAAAAAAATAGCGCTAGTTGACTAATACTTAAATTGAAACGGACGTATGCGTGCATAGGTTCTATCAGCAGACGTCACCAACTTCTAATTGGATCTATTGAGAAAGTGAGATGTGTTTGATTTTGTCTTTGTAAATACGTAGGTTTCTGTACGCTCTAGATGAAATATAGGTAAAGTGAGACATTTTCCTTCTCTTAGTCTTTCTTTTTCTTCTGCTTCGTTCTTTTTTCGATAATCTTTTTTTCTCTTTTTGACATTTCTCTCCTAGATGAGGATGCACGCTCAAATGCGTTCCCTAACGAGTGTTCTTGTTTTTTTTCCATTGAGTATTGAACATCGTGTCGTACACTAGGTACTGTTAGTCACTTCTTTTCATATCGAACTAGTATGACGCACATATAGATTATGTATGCATATGCACGCGTGTGTTTCCGTTACTATCCATTACTGTCGTGGATGAATGAAACCTTTGTCGTTTGTTTCATTACGTTTCTAATACGAGACATGCAATAGGGGAATTGTATCTTTCTGTCAACATTAGTAACAACAATAATCAGCATTGGAAAATCTCAAGTGATCATCTTGTATTATTACAATGATGAACAAAGGAAAAAAAATGAGAAAGACAACAATTGTAGATTTCTTTTGAGAATCAAATCTACATACTTACAAATAGTTGACTTTATTGATAATCAATGCTTGAAGTTGACCCTGGATATTATTTTCTTGTCTTCTTCCTCCATTCTCGTTTTGTCTTCTTCTTTTTCTCTAGTCATCACAAACGGCAAGGTCGATTGATTAGTAAGATAGTGGGAGCATCGATTGCTGAATAGTTTTTTTTGTTCTCATCATGAATGCAATAGGCACGCACAGAAGCAGAAAAATGGTCATAATTCTCTCTAGATTAGATGCATGATTCTACGGGAACATGCAAATTCGATACGCCGATGGATAATATGAAATAATGAGCAAATATGTCTGTGTGTGTGTGTGGATATATTTAGTCAAAACAACCGCTGTATTTCTTTCTTATGAAAATGATATATGAAGAGAATTCTTCTATGTGTATTCAAAGACTTGTTTTTAATACGAACTCTTCTAGGTCATCAATAGTTATTTTCTCATTTGATTGTTGAGAAAGAAGAAAGAAAATATCTATAATTGATAAGTCAAATGCATATAAATGCTTTTTACTATCAATGAGATCTCGATCTCATTTTCTTTCTTGACTATGCAATGGAACAAACCGCCGATCGGATTTTCTGTATTTTTCTTCTATTTTCCACAGAACAATTATTTGTCACTTATATCAACGCACTTTTTCAATAGATAGTAGCGCTCGAGAAATTCCTTTTTTTTTCCTGCCGACTAATCATTCTGTTAGTCTTTAATTTTCTTTTCTTTTATTTCCATTGAAGAAACCTGGAATGTGAAGACTTTTTATTTACCAAAACTGCTTTGGTACTGATGAATAAATGAATAAGAATTTATCTAAATGAAGGACTCCAGTAACGGATCATTTGTATGTCCAAATGATCGACAATTACAACTTCGAGCAAAGTAAAGAAAAAACAAATATTTGTTTAACTCATTACTATGTTTGATTTCTGATTAGACTCAATTCTGGATGGTCATTTCATACAGGTCGGCCGACAACTCGTAGTGCTAGTGCAGCACCTTCAAGTCGATTTGGAAGTGCGGCGGCGGCAGCAACGAATGCTGCTGCAAGTAATAATAATTCGTTACGTGATGAAGAAATGGAAAGAATAAAAAAAGTGCTTGAACGAGCTCAACGAATTGAACTTATCGAACAAGAACGAGTCGGGTACGATTAGGTTTTTCTTAATAACTAATTGTTCAAATCTTTTGCTTCTTTCAGACGACTTTACGATCGTCTAGATAATATGAAAAAACATGCAACTGGCAATGGTTCGACACAATGTGTTCTCTGCGCAGATGGTTTTGGCATGTTAGGAGTATCATCGACTTTTTGTGCCGATTGTCATAAAGTATTGATACATGAAGACGAAAATCAAAGTGATTTATCATTCTCATCGTTCGCTTTCTAGGCCGTGTGCAATAAGTGTTCAATTGAAACTGTTCATAATCAACAAATCATATCATTGTGTAAACTTTGTAGTGAAAATCGTGAAGTAAGAATGTTAACAACGATGAAAAGCTCTTTCACTATGAGAATCCATATATTTAGTTATGGAAAAAAACAGGTGCTTGGTTTTTCCGTGCCTTGCCCACACGTTCAGCAATTCCTATCACTATAAAACCGTCCTCGTCAGCTATATCATCAGTCACGACAAAAAGTGATAGTATATCGATTGAAGATGATTCAAATTCAGACGATCGACAAAGTGTAGGAAGTCGATTTAATCGTCAACCTTCTCCAAGTACAGGTATGAGGAAAAAATCTGTTTTCTAAAACACATCAGAAAGAATTTTGGTATTTGATTGTAGCAACAATAAATAATCATTATACAACTGTAGATTCTTATCAGCAAAATTATGATAATCAACCTGCAATGGCTGAACATGATCGGGATGAGAGTATCGATTCCTTCAAAACTGATGAACGAAGTTTGAAAGGTAATTATGATTCCACTTCAATTGATATCTCAACCTAAATCTTCTAGATGTTTCAATCGATGAGTATGTTCCAAAATCTCAATTACGCACGCAATCTCAATTATCACAACCACTTGTATCCACATCATCCTCATCTTCATCACCGATCCCATCAAATACATCTAATAATACATCATCAACTCCGCCGCCGACACAGACAGCACCTACAACTCTACTTCCGCTGTCGGCATCACCGATACCACTAACCGCAACTTTATCTAACATTCGTCCTCTATCATCCATTGTCATCAATACACCATCAGTTGTAGATGATTGTGGTACATCTCGACAGTTTACTTTATACTTTCAAAGTTCTCGTTGGGTTTTTTTTTTTTTGTAGGCCTAGGTCTACTCGATTTTGATATTATTTGGAGAGAAGCTTTCAATATTCTAACGATTAACTTAGTTCGAGCACGAAGTTTACGAGCAGCTGACTCTAACGGACTCTCCGATCCTTACGTCAAACTACATCTCGTTCCGGGTGTTGCAAAAGTAAATATTTACAAGCTTGTCGAACACAAACTGACAAGTCTGCTATTATTATTTTTTCATAGGCAACTAAATTGCGTAGTCACACTATCCGTCGAACGTTGAATCCTGACTTTGACGAAACACTCGTCTATCATGGCATATCAGCAGAGGACATAAAAATCAAAACTCTTAAGTTAGTTTTCAACGATCGATTTGCTGTTTTGACTGAAAAAGTTCCTTTTTTTGTGTAAAGATTCACCGTGTTCGATGAAGATTCAGTTGGTTCAGATTTTCTTGGTGAATATCGCTTAAAACTATCCACAATTAAATCCGATGTCAAAGAAGCCTTTTCAGTCTATCTTCAACATAAAACTGATGTAAGTTCCTTTCAAGGGAAAGAACAACCTTTTCTTCATTCTCACATTCTCCACCGAGAAATACAATGTACACTTACACGTCTTGTTCTAGGATTCCGAGGTAAGGAGAACAACGTACAGCATTCTATTGTTTTCACATATTGCAGTTGCTTCTCGTTATTGTCAACGTGATTTTGTATCTTTTGTACCAGATGTGTTTAGTCTATCGCTGATATCTGTTAATGATTTATTCTCGTTATATTTTTAGTTTCTGCATGATGAAGATAAAAATGAACGTGGTAAAATTCTTCTTAGCTTATTCTATTCGAAACTGACGAGTAATTTTCACGTGAGAGTTATCCGGGGTATTCAATTGTTACCGATGGATTTCGGGCAAACATCAGATCCGTATTGTAAATTACTTTTGTATCCATCGACTGATAATAATTCCAAATGGAGCTTCAAAACAACCGTTAAAAGACATACCTTACAACCAGAATTTAATGAAGAATTTGTTTTCTCTCGTGTACAATTTCCGGATTTAATTAGTAAAACATTACAGATTACCGTTTATGATAAAGACGTCGGCAAAAAAGATGATTACATTGGTAAGCATTTCATTCGGCTGGTTTCTAAAATTAGCTGCAAAACGAACTGATCACTACTTGTTGTTGATCTCGTACTTGAATATTGCTGCATGACAAATGTGATTGTTTTTCTTCTAGGCGGTTTCGAATTAGGTCAATCAGCATCAGGTGATGAACTCAAACATTGGTTATTAATGGTTAAATCACCCGAACAATGGGTGGAGATGTGGCACAAACTAAAACCCGAACAGTATCATTCAACCTTACGACAACAAGATTCTCAGACATCTCGATAGCAATAATTGTTAACTAGAAACTTTTTGTTTCGTTTTTGTTGTTTTGTTGGTTGTTTTTCTTCTTCTTCTTCACGTATTCATATGATTTGTGAACATTCAATGTGGATTTGAAATAGAAGACTAGACATGAAGAATCCAACGAGAATGATAACTGATGGACAAAAGAAGAAAAGATGTCTGTTTTCTTTCTTGCAAATGTTTATTTTGATAACTGACTGTTTTCATGTGTCGGTTTTTCTTCTTCTTGTATAGTTTTCACCGGTCAATATTTCTCTGTGCCTTGAGTGATTTTTCTTCTTACTGTTCATCTCGACAGAGATCTTCTTTAAATTCTCTGTCGTTCTAGTCTTCCTTTTTCATCATTCTTGACTATCGATAGCGCGTCAGTTCCGGTAAAACTGAATTCATAAGTCCTATGAAGATTTGACCAAACAGAGATGACATCCGAAAATATGAACAAAATCGAATTTTATTTTAGTTGGCTTTTTTTCTTGTTTTTCTCTCTGTTGTGAACTCTTATTATATCAATATCATTTGTTTCTCTTTTGCGAACAGAATCTCTTTTGTCATTTATTTTCCTTTCTCGATCTCTTTTGAATACACACGTGTAAACACATATGTAGAGATATGTGAATGATACTGCTCGGCTTTGCGTAAAGAGTAAGAAAAACACAGGAAAACGTATATCGATGATATTAGCGCCATCTTCAATAAAAAAATCAAAAGAATTTGACGTTAACTACAAGGTTGTTGCATAGGAACTTAAATGGCATGAAAGAGTGCTGTTAATAGTCAAAGATTTTGCTTAGGGGAAGAGGAAAGAAACCTATCGAAGAATAAGCACTTGTTCTGATGGACCAAGTTCAAGTGTTATCAGCTGTTTGTAAAAGACTGAACGGCGATGTTGAATCATTGATGAGTCAAATGACATTGCGGCAATCTGCATTAGCTCAAATAGATGCCAATCAACAATCTCAAGACGATCAACTTCGCCAATTTAATATGGATCTGCAAATCAAACTGTCGAGAACCGATGCAATTATACAAAAACTACAAGGAGATACCGAACATATCTCACATGGTTTACGCGATGCTATCAATGGCCAGCAGGAACTGAATCGATCGATTGCACAGCGCCATCAAGAACTTAAAGCAGAAGTAATGAATAAATAGAGAAGCACACTTGTGAAATAATTGACCGAGAGTAAATATTTATTCGTTCTTTCTAGCTTTCATCATTGAGTCAACGGATTGAGCGTATGTTCAATGAACAACAAGTGGTGCTACGCACATTCGAGACGGATACTGCGCGAGCTTTAGCAACAGCTGATTCGCGTGCTCGGGCGTTCGTAGATGAGCTTCGAACGGAAATTTTTCAAAGTAAAGCGCAAAAACTCAGTGAACGAGAGCGTGCAGAACAACGTATAACTCAAAAAATTGATGAAGTCAAACGATCTTTAGAAAATTATGTAAAGAAACCTTCTCAATTACAGTTCCTATCGAATGAAACTTTCGTTTCCTGTAGGATCGTTATGAAAAACGTATTGAAGACGCCATACGTCAATTCGAACGTAAGAATTTAGATGTTGAGGATCATTATAAACGATCCATTCACGATTTAAATCGTAATGTCACTGTAAGAAAAATTTGCCACCGAGAGAAGTAAAACATCTTCCTCCTTTTCTTCTGATTAGGCAATCGAACAAGATGTTTATAAGCGTTTCGATGATCGATATCAGCGTACGGTAACAAGTCTAGATAAAGTGAAAAAAGAGATGCGTGCATGTTTTGAAACGCTTGAAAGTTCGGTGGAAACCCTACAGCGTATAACTGATAGTCGGATCAAAGGTACGGAAGAAAAACTCGAACGACAAGTTCAACAACTTCGGCGTCAGATTGATATAATGTAACGAGAATAAATTTCGGTCGTGGCAAAACATGTTATTGTATTATTTACCTGTTTACATAAACGCATCTTCATGCTATCATTGGTTACTAAGCACCTGTCACAATATATTATCAAGTATATTTTGATTATGTTTGTCGTTTCGTTTTTTTTCTTATCTCATTACTGATGTCATATGTGAAGTAAACAAGCTTTTTGCCTATTCTTCTTCTTATAATGATATACGCATATGTAACCACATAAATGATCGTAATGCTCACCAAGAGATATTTTTGTTTTAAACTTCACCCTCTTTTGCGCTGTTTAACTACCTTTGTACGTATAGTGCTCGAATGTATTGTTATTGACGCTCTGTATGTATATACGTCTCATCCAGACTAAATCAAGATTAGTATCTGTCTGTCATTTATACATTGATATGTTTGAAAGCAGTAATATACTTTCAAGGTGATTGGTTTCGAAAAAAAATACCATTTATCATCAAAAATAATAAGACTTGTCCTTGTATATGTGATGGATATTTTTATGCCTGAATGCATATTTATACCACTTAAGAGTAATTTAAGACATCGTTAAGAGTGAGTATTGCCAAATAAGCTAATTTATTTTAATCCTTTTTTTTTCTTAACAAAAAAATACTATGGAAATGTGCCAAATGAAATAAAACAGTATCACAGCAGCAAAAACTTATAGAAATTAATTTATAAAAGGAATAACCTTAACTTAAATCAGATGGAAAAGAATTGCATAGTTGAGAAAAGTGGAGACAAAAAAAACGAGTTTCTTATAAACCACCTTGGACAAATTTGTTGAATTCTTGTGCATCAAGACGACCATCTTTGTTGGTGTCAGCGCTGTTGAAAGCTGCACCAACGGCATCAAATCCAGCAAGACCACCAACAGCACCGCCTGCACCTGAGGAAAATGATGATGATTCGTAGCTTGATGAGCTGAAACCACCAGCAGCACCACTTTCAAATCCAGCAGCACCAGCTTCAAATCCAGCTGCACCAGCTTCGAATCCAGCAGCTCCGAAACCAGCAGCTCCGAAACCAGCTCCACCAGTTGAGCTTTCGAAGGTGCTTGATGAGAATGATGATGAACCACCAGCAGCTAAATCTCCACCAGCCAAACCAGCGGCGAATTCACCTCCAGCAGCACCGCTTGAGCCGAATGATGATTCTGCGCTGAATGATGATGAGCTAGCAACAGCTCCAGCAACAGCAGGTGGTGACTAGTTAGACAAGGAAAACAAGATGTATTCATACAGTGACACGAAGGCAATCTTACGATATCTTCGACAACACCAGCAGCACGAGCTTGTTGAACGAGTGTTTGGGCATCAAGTAATTGAGCTCCATAACGTTGAATATAAGCTTGTGGGTTTTCTTGAGTAACACCCAAGCGTTGGAATTGACGAACAACACGGACTTGAGCTTGTTCGTATTGGATGATGACGTTGCGTGGTGCAGCGTAAGCTTTGGCAGCTTCGGCACGTTGAACGATGGTTTTTCGTTTAGCAGCAGCTCCGTATGGGACCCATCGTTCGATGATGATATCACCTATTAGATTTTAGAATTAATGTAATGCGACAAATCGATAAGGAAGTAAAAATACATACGTGGGCGAGCTGGAGCAGCTGGGAGACGTTCGATGATGACTGATCGTGGTGGAACAGGTAAAGCAGCGAGTTTACGAACGACAGTTTGTGAGGCAACTGACGCTGGTGGCTGTGGTGGTCTTTCACGGAGGATGAGTGGGGGTGGTTGTGGGAGAGGTGGAGCTTGTTGTTTGATGCGGAGAGGTGGTGGTGGGGGTGGTTGAGGTGGTCGCACTTCTTTGATGATGAGTGGCTAAAACAAAGAATAATAGTAAATTTCACGCCCTCACCCTCACCCAATACTTACGCCTGGTGGTGGGATTGGTGGTGGTTGAAGGAATCGAACTTTGATGTTTTGTGTGTAGGTTTGAACACCACCTGGTGCTTGTCGTCGAATGATTTGTGGGTTGGCATCAACGTAGAGACCAGCACCTCGTACTTCAGCACCATATTTCGACCAAGCAGCATTGGTTTCAGATGTGTAGCTAGCAGCTTGGTTGATGGCTGTAGCATCGAAACCAGCAGCACCAGCGGTTGATGATTCGAATGATGATGATTGGAAGCTGCTGCTGCCGGCAAGACCAGCATCAAGAGCACCATTGGCTGAGAAGCTTGCTGATTCGAATGAACCGCCAGCCAATCCAGCTTCAGCACCAGCTACACCACCAGTTGATGATGAAAAGCTTGATGATTCGTACGAGGATGATCCATAACCAGCACCAGCTCCTGCTTGTCCAGCTGCGAGCGAATTGCCGATCCAGCTTGAAAATTCACCACGGTCGATTGATCCATCTTTGTTAGCATCGACTTGTGAGAAAAGTCCGTTAGCATCTACGCCACCAGCACCACCGCTTGATGAAGATGCTGAATAGGATTGAAATTCGTAGTTGGACGTCATGTTCGAGCGTGTGTTATTGAAACAGGAGAATGGTTAGTAAAGTATTGTGAAGAAATCACTGTTTATATACCAGTAGCAACTATGCTAGTCTTCCCACACATATAGATGCATTCTTTCTCTCTCTCCATCTCCCTCTTTTCCTCTCATTTATTCTCTCATTTTTCACCTTCTCACCCAAGTACCTTTATGACGTAGATAGCTAATGAAGCGTATGATTTGCTGGGTATTCCTCTATATCTTTTTCTTTTTCTCTCTTTTTTGCTGTCATATTTCAGTATTTTTTTATCATCATGATCAGATATTGGGTAGGAAAAAAAAGGTATCAACATGAATCAAGCGGCTTATTCACTGTGTCCTCAGACATCGACCGCCAAACCGCATCGAATAAGGGTTTTTCTATCCACAAGCAAAAAATCAGATAGTGCGACTACACAATAGAGCCGACCATCACCTATACACAAAAAAGCAGCTATTGATTGAATAGAAAGGGCAAGGTTTAGTAAAAAAACTGAGTACACCTTGCTTGGCTGACTGAAAGCTGAAAAGACAATAACAACCAATGATTGTGAAAATCACCACCAATGACAGTATTGATG